ATTTCCCATTCAATATATTCTTCCGGACCAGGAACGCCTCTTCAATGTTACTTCGGCGTAATACTACAATAAAAATATACTATAAAGTACGAAAATTGTAGAAAGCGACCCAACAATTCAAAGAGTAGCATTACTTCAACAATAAGATGGTTCTCAAAACAGGGTCAATTTTAGGCGACAAAACCGCCACTATAGGCTAGTTTCCACTGAGGAAAAATCTCCTTTGGATCGAAACGGACAGGAAAATTTCCTTTGTTGGTGAGTTCTGAGGCGGCGTTCATACAAAGAAAACTTTCCTGTCCTGTCCGATCCAAAGGAGAATTTTCCTAAGTGGAAACTAGCCTTATTTGGCACGATCCGCAGAACCATTTGGAAAGTGGGATGGAGGGGGGCACTAACAAAAAAGAGCACTTTTTATATAGTAATCACATGTACCGAAACTAAATACTGCCATACACATGTGAAGTATTTTTGTTTAGCTATTTATTTTACTATCTACAAATGTCGGTTGAGATCACGTACTCCTGTTTGGTTTCTTTTTACAATAATTATAAGGCACATTTAATTACTTGCTCTAAGACCGGGCACATTTGCTAAAACGGGGGCGCATCACCGGGCCCCAGTGCCCCCTCCTCCCTTCCTCGGCCCTTGCTATCTGGGGTCGGCTGTATCAAGCCCGTTTAGCTTAAACGGTGGATAGGTCCAAAATAGAAAGCAAGCCTATCGTTTTACTCAACAAGCGAACTAAATGTTTTTTACCTTAATACAAAGTTACTGTTTACAACTACATATTCAGTGCATAATATTCAAGTTGGCTCATTCAAGAGAGACGTACGAGTGTTATTTAAATTTGACTTATCCGCCGTTTAAGCAAAACGGGCTTCATACAAATGGCCCCTGAAGAATTGCGCTATCTGACCTTCGTATAATAATAAATTAAATTTAACTATAAAGAAGTAATTTTCGGCATAATAAACTAATATTTAATCAGAAGTGGGCATTTCAAAATTTAGTCAAGAGTCTTCTGGCCATTGACTATGCCCAAAGTTTTAAGGGATATTAGTTTTCTTTTGTTGCCTTCTTGTATAATTTCAGGAGGCCCCAATTGTTTCCTGAACACCAGCAATTCCTTTTTAAAAGCTATTCTATTTTGATGAACAAAACCCATAACTTTTGCCTTGCAGTCCCAACGGTTGCTCCTGGGGAAGCAGTATATTACGTCTCCTTCATCATCACTAACACTTATGGTAGATACTTCGACTTAACAACAAGTTTACCACGTCCATATGACCTAATCAGAATTATGACAGATCAAACAGTGCGCATGACAGTTGAAGTATCAAACCAAGAAGGTGTTACGTTTGAAGCCACGCTGGAAACTGGAGAGCTGATTGCAATTAATGGTAAAGATATGTTCCTGATCAAACCACAAGATAATCCAGAGAAAGTAACTGTTTTGAGCGTTCCAGATGCAGCACCAGCAGGTAGGTCCTTACAATTTTGGAAATATGGCAAACTGATGATTTTAATCCATTTTTTTTCAAGAGATTTCCTTTAAAAAAATAAATGCCCCATATATACTGACCAATATTAAAAAGCTGCAAATTGTTTGCAAATGTGACATCATTACCTTTTTTTATGGTGACAATGACGGTCAATCAACATGGCCGACATCTTACTTATTCGCGCATTATACTGAAAAACAAGTTCGCTCTGGTTCCCAGGGTTCTGTCCATGCTCCTGATTCTCTCTCGAAGCGGGAGCGTAGGCGCGGGAGCGTAGTTAGAACCCTGGTTACGAGGTTGCAGCGTTTGGAGCTCAATCTTTTTTTAAACAAAAATTTTATTACAACAGTATTTTTTTGTCGGTATTACTTTTTTTTTCCACCACCCCAGCTCCCGAAGAGACAACAGAAGCACCTATAGTGGTAACAGAAGCACCTGTAGTGGTAACAGAAGCACCTGTAGTGGTAACAAAAGCACCTGAAGTAACAACAGAAGCTCCTAAAGTGGTAACAGAAGCACCTGAAGTAGTAACAGAAGCACCTGAAGTGGTAACAAAAGCTCCTGAAGTGCTGACAGAAGTTCCTGAAGTGGTGACAGATGCTCCCGAAGTGGTGACAGAAGTTCCTGAAGTGGTGACAGAAGTTCCTGAAGTGGTAACACAAGCACCTGAAATGACAACAAAGGCTCCTGAAATGGTAACAGAAGCACCTGAAGTGAAAACAGAAGCTCCCGATGTGATCACAGAAGCACCTGATCTGACAACAGAAGCACCTGAAGTGACAACAAAAGCACCTGAAGTGACAACAGAAGCACCTGTAGTGGTGGTAACAGAAGTATCTGAAGTGAAAACAGAAGCACCTGAAGTGACAACAGAGGCTCCTGAAGTGATAACAGAAGCACCTGAAATGACAACAAAGGCTCCTGATGTAATCACAGAAGCACCTGAAGTGGGAACAGAAGCACCTGAATTGGGAACAGAATCGCCTGAAGTGACAACAGAAGCTCCTGATGTGATCACAGAAGCACCTGAACTGACAACAGAAGCACCTGAAGTGGTAACAGAAGCGCCTGAAGTGACAACAACAGCACCTGATGTGACAACAGAAGAACCTGAAGTGGCAACAGAAGCACCTGAAATGACAACAAAGGCTCCTGATGTGATCACAGAAGCACCTGAAGTGGTAACAGAAGCACCTGAAGTGGTAACAGATGCTCCTGAAGTCGTGACAGATGCTCCCGAAGTGGTAACAGAAACACCTGAAGTGGTAACAGATGCTCCCGAAGTGGTAACAGAAACACCTGAAGTTGTAACAGATGCTCCCGAAGTGGTAACAGAAACACCTGAAGTGGTAACAGAAGCACCTGAAGTGAAAACAGAAGCTCCTGATGTGATCACAGAAGCACCTGAACTGACAACAGAAGCACCTGAAGTGACAACAGAGGCTCCTGAAGTGATAACAGAAGCACCTGAAATGACAACAAAGGCTCCTGATGTGATCACAGAAGCACCTGAAGTGATAACAGAAGCACCTGAAGTGGGAACAGCAGCTCCTGAAGTTGTAACAGAAGCTCCTCAAGTTGTAACACAAGCTCCTGAAGTGGAAACAGAAGCTCCTGAAGTGGTAACAGATGCTCCCGAAGTGACAACAAAAGCCTCTGAAATGGTAACAGAAGCCCCTGAAAAGGTGACAGATGCTCCCGAAGTTGTAACAGAAGCTCCCGAAGTGGTGACAGATGCTCCCGAAGTGGTAACAGAAGCTCCCGAAGTGGTGACAGATGCTCCCAAAGTGGTAACAGATGCTCCCGAAGTGGTGACAGATGCTCCCGAAGTGGTGACAGATGCTCCCGAAGTGACGACAGAAGCTTCTGAAATGGTAACAGATGCTCCCGAAGTTACAACAAAAGCCCCTGAAGTGGTAACAGAAGCCCCTGAATTGGTAACAGAAGCTCCGAAAGTGGTAACAGAAGCCCTTAAAGTGGTTACCGATGCTCCCGAACTGGTAACAGATGCTCCCAAAGTGACTACAGAAGCTCCTGAAGTCGTGACAGATGCTCCCGAAGTGGTAACAGAAACACCTGAAGTTGTAACAGATGCTCCCGAAGTGGTAACAGAAGCACCTGAAGTGGTAACAGAAGCACCTGAAGTGAAAACAGAAGCTCCTGATGTGATCACAGAAGCACCTGAACTGACAACAGAAGCACCTAAAGTGAAAACAGAAGCTCCTGAAGTGATAACAGAAGCACCTGAAATGACAACAAAGGCTCCTGATGTGATCACAAAAGCACCTGAAGTGATAACAGAAGCTTCTGAAGTGGAAACAGAAGCTCCTGAAGTAGTAACAGATGCTCCCGAAGTGACAACAAAAGCCCCTGAAATGGTAACAGAAGCCCCTGAAGTGGTGACAGATGCTCCCGAAGTGGTAACAGATGCTCCCGAAGTAGTGACAGAAGCTCCCGAAGTGGTAACAGAAGCTCCCGAAGTGGTGACAGATGCTCCAGAAGTGGTAACAGATGCTCCCGAAGTGGTGACAGATGCTCCCGAAGTGGTAACAGAAGCTCCCGAAGTGGTCACAGATGCTCCCGAAGTGGTGACAGAAACTCCCGAAGTGGTAACAGATGCTCCCGAAGTGGTGACAGATGCTCTCGAAGTGGTAACAGAAGCTCCCGAAGTGGTGACAGTTGCTCCCGAAGTGACACCAAAAGCTCCTGAAGTCGTGACAGATGCTCCCAAAGTGGTAACAGAAACACCTGAAGTGGTAACAGATGCTCTCGAAGTAACAACAGAAGCTCCTGAAGTGGTGACAGATGCTCCCGAAGTGGTAACAGAAGCTCCTGAAGTGGTAACTGATGCTCCCGAAGTGACAACAAAAGTCCCTGATGTTGCAACAGAAGCACCTGAAGTGGTGACAATAGCCTCGGAAATGGTAACGGAAGCTGCAGAAAAGACAACAAAAGCTCCTGAAGTGGTAACAGAAGCTCCTGAAATGGTAACGGATGCTCCTGAAAAGCCTACAAAAGCTCCTGAAATTGGAACAGGAGCTCCTGAAGTTGTAACAGAAGCTCCTCAAGTGGTAACACAAGTTCCTGAACTTGTAACGGAAGCTCCTGAAAAGACAACAAAAGTTCCTGAAGTGGAAACAGAAGCTCCTGAAGTGGTAACAGATGCTCCCGAAGTAGTGACAGATACTCCCGAAGTGGTAACAGAAGCCCCTGAAGTTGTGACAGATGCTCCCGAGGTGGTAACAGAAGCCCCCGAAGTTGTGACAGATGCTCCCGAAGTAGTAACAGAAGCTCCTGAAGAGGTAACAGAAGCTCCTGAAGTAGTAACAGAAGCACCTGAAGTAGTAACGGAAGCACCTGAAGTAACAACAGAAGCCCCTAAAGTGGTGACAGATGCTCCTGAAGTTTTAACAGAAACTTCTGAAGTGGTAACAGAAGCCCCTGAAGTTGTGACAGATGCTCCCGAAGTAGTAACAGAAGCTCCTGAAGTTGTAACAGAAGCCCCTGAAGTTGGGACAGATGCTCCCGAAGTGGTAACAGAAGCTCCTGAAGAGGTAACAGAAGCTCCTGAAGTAGTAACAGAAGCACCTGAAGTAGTAACGGAAGCACCTGAAGTGACAACAAAAGCCCCTGAAGTGGTAACAGATGCTCCCGAAGTTGTAACTGAAACTCCTGAAGTGGTAACAGAAGCTCCTGAAGTGGTAACAGATGCTCCCGTAGTGGTGACAGATGGTCCCGAAGTGACAACAGAAGCTCCTGAAATGGTGACAGATGCTCCCGAAGTGACAACAGATGCTCCCGAAGTGATAACAAAAGCTCCTGAAGTCTTAACAAAAGCACCTGAAGTGACAACGAAAGCTCCTGAAATCCTAACAGATGCTCCCGAAGTGATAACAAAAGCTCCAGAAGTGACAACAAAGGCTGTTGCTTCAACTGGTAAGATCACATTACCTTGTATTAAGAGATGCAATTGATTATTTAAATACTGAAACAAAGTTACCCTGAATGCATTTTTGTAGAATCCCCAGTGTATTACGTCAACATAAGAGTTGTAAATGATTACGGTTATGACATTGATGTGCGCAGTAGTTCAGATGTCATCGATGATTTCGAAGTACCTAAAGGTGAAGAGCGGAATATTCAAGCCACATCAAACACGGCAGAATCATTTGTTATTCGATTTTACGATCGTCGTGATGGCATTCCAATTCTGGTCAAGGGCGAAAATTACGTAAGAATAATGCCAAGAACTTCGCCATTGTTTGTGCACGATATCGTCGTGGAAGCTGGTAAGTTGTCGTCAACGTTGATCAACATCCTTTTGATTGTCTGGGAATGAAAGGCTTAAGGCCCTGTTACACGGTGCAATTTTTCCTACAACTTTCAATGCAATCCTTCTTTTGATAGATGTAAGAAAAATTGCACCATGTAGCATGGCCTTTAGCCTCGCAAATACATTGCAACAGGGTATTTTTACTCACTAAGGTTAATAATAACCTCCCAAAGTAAGGTGATTATTGTGTAGGTAATTTGAACTAAAAATAATAAAAACAACTTATCATTTTCTAGGTTATTTAAATTTTACGTCTGCATGGTGCCCTCTATAAAGCGGCTTGACTCTATTTGCTTTAGTCGGGTTTACCGCGCACGTGTAATACACTTCAAAATATTGTAATTAATGTCTTGAACATCCCTAATCTCGGAACTAAGTTCGTGGCGAACACCACGGTAGAACAATTTTTTCAGGCCCAAGCAGTTGTTTTAGGAGATGTATCACGAATATTATTTATCAATGTTTTCTTTATCCTACGTCATTACGTTCTTTAGAATACTATGTGGGCTGAGTTCGTGGATGAAAATCGGGTATACATTGGGTATATATTAGGTGTTTTTACCGTATTATGCGACACCGAATGCCTCAACATATTTTACTTTTTTCGTTTTCATCCTCAAATTTCGTCTGGTTTCTTAAATTTACCTCAAAACCATTTGGTTCAAGTGGTGTAGTATTTCAGCTACCACATTACTGTGGTCTGCTGCATTTTGATTGTTAGGGAAGTGTTGTGATTGGCCGTTTCATTTGTCTGCGGCAAATTTCGTGTTCTCAATCCTGTGATTATATTTTTTGTAGGTGAAATTAAGTTCTATGTTGTGTTCTTGTTGGTTAATAACTATGATCGTGAGGTTGTTGTTTCTACTGGTCTTTCTGGGACATCTGGAAGTATTACGATGAGAGCAGGTCAAACGTTTGCAGTAAGTGAACAGCCAAACAATGACAACCCTATCATCGTGACCGCGAGGGATAGCTCTAACGTCGAAGTCAACATCAATGATCAAAGCAGTATTTCCATCACTCCAGATGAAGTATTTGGTGCTTCGTTCCAGGTTTTGTTTTTACATCGTAAAGATCCTAGTAAGTACCGTATTTTAGATTCAGTATATTCGGGCAAACCTGAAACGTGTCGTCTTACGTCCGACTAATTTCTTTTGGTAGCGAATATGAATATATGAATATTTGCTCCCGCGGACTCTACCAGTCGTTTAATCACCATGAAGCTAAAACGATAATTTTTTTGTCTTGCAGTACCAACGGTTGCTCCTGGAGAAACAGTGTATTACGTCACCTTCATTATCACAAACACTTACGGTAGACACTTCGACTTACGAACAAGTTTACCATCTCCCTATAACCGAATCAGAATTATAAAAGATCAAACAGTGCGCATGGCAATCAGAGTCCCAACACGAGAAGATGTTACGTTTGAAGCCGCGCTGGAAGCTGGAGAGCAGATTTCAGTCAATGGCAAAGATGTGTTCCTAGTCACACCACGAGAAAATCCAAAGAAAGTAACGGTCTTGACGGTTCCAGATGCAGCAGGTATGTCGAATTTTTTTATTTAAAGGTATTTTTTTCTCTTTGTGTGCAACCGGCTGGAACTCTAATGACATTTACAATTACAGTTGAGTACGCTACGGAACGTTACTATACGTTTGACAACGGAAACAATCTTTTACTTTTTGACTCGCCGACATGCCGTCCTAATTTTAGCACCGTTTGCATGCAATTTGCATATACTAACCCGAGTCGAATCCATGTAGGATAACTCCACTCTGCTTTTGAAGTGTAAGACACTTGACCCAGGTTTATGTGAAACCTGCTTTACGGATGCCCGCTCTGGGCTGAATCCAGGTTCAGAACTAATGTAAACAAAATAGAGAGTTCCCTTCGGTGTTTAGCCCAGGAGAGGTAACCTGATATGATATTTTAAAATCATTTTTCAATTTTTTTTCCCCTAATTTTCCTTTGCACAAATATACAGCATATTCTCGGGAAAGAAAATTAATGTTTTAGTGAATCTTCTGAAATAATGACTATGTGAATTTTTTTGGTATAGGTACAATGTCATAGCGTGATTAGCGTCTAAAATTTGATCTCAATTTGTTTTAGCTTTTGTAGAAGTGATATCAACGCGTCAACCTATTATCACAGAAGGTATTAAAAATATCTCTTTTATAAAAACGCACGTTTAGTTTTACGTATTTGCCTTGCAAGTTTCCACTTTTCTCTTAGGCACCAGCCAGAAAAAAAAACATGTTTATGTTTTCTACCTAACTAATATTAAAAAAACTATAATCTTTTTACTAGTTCCGTCGCCGTTCTACGTGAAATTTAGCTTAACCAACACGTATGGAAAAGATATTACACTGAATTCTAATTTACCTGATCGATATTCTTCCATGAATATTCCCAGTGGACACAGTTTATCTTTAACTGTTCACGTAAACACACAGGATCTCGTGTGGTTTACAGCCGTCGATAGAGATACAGGAATGATAATTTCAATAAATGGAAAGGAGCGATACTGGATTACACCTCGAGACAATGAAGAGTTTGAATATGTTTTGGTTCTTGAAGAAAGTACGTACTGCAAAGTATTTATATGAATGTAAATGTTTTAGATTTCTGCTGAATGTTCGTATACGGTTAGCCCTGGCGGAAATACCCCCTGGGCCTTTCATTGTACATCACATTACCAGTTTGAATCTGAATGTAATTGAATTAGCCATTTGCTCGTTGAATATGCACGCGGACGCTATTGCAGATTTTCGTGTATGTTTGGAAATTTAGAAAATTACTCAAAGGTCACCTGAAGCAATAAAAATGTCCGAATTTAGTGGATGGCGATATTTAATTTATTTTCCCGGAAATTATGTACAAGTCTCCTAATGCTGTTCGATGTTTCAATTTATTTGTTGCAATCTATCACCTATCGCCACTGCAGAAACTCCTGATGTCAGAACACAAGCTCCGGAACCTTCAACTGCTGCTCCTGAAGTGAGAACAAAACCTCCTACTGCTGCTCCTGAAGTGACAACACAAGCTCCGGTTGTAACAACAAAATCTACAACTCCTTCCCCTGCTGTTGAAACAACAGCAAGAACAACAGGTATATATAAACAATTCATTTTCAAAGACGCGAGTTTTATTTCCTCTTTTTTATATCAGCAAGCAAAGTATTGAAAACTATTTCTATGTTATAAAGTTACACACACTGAGATATTGCAAATTAAATATCTAAATTTATAAAAGGTTAACATTTTGATTTTTCCACTCATAGCCTGTTAGACCCCCTGAAAAATATGATAGCTGTTTTTAAAAAAAGAAAAAAATATACATGAGAAAACGCCAGCATAGCGTATCCAGGTTAAATTAAAGGTATCCTCATCTTAACTCTCGCAACGTGTTTCAGATCGTGTTGCTTTCTATCTCCCAATGAGGGTCGAAAACAGATATGCTGGAGCTATTAAATTGAAAACGAATCTTCCATCACCAAATGGACACTTCAAGATTCAACCTGGAATGACGCTGGTTAAGATCATTAGTTTGGCGTCATCTGCCCCAGTTTCAATAAGTGCTCTCAGCGTTTTGACTAACGAGAAACTTTTAGTCAATGGATTACCTGTCTTTATAACCACACCTTCCGAAGTTCCCACGGCAGCGTACATAAAACTTGAGGTTACAGAAGGTTTGTAAATGAAGTAATTTCTTTAAGTATATTATAACTTTATTGGGATACATTAACAATAACAATAAAGGTAATACCCAAAAGGAAAAGTGCGAACGGGACAGGAAAAGCCCATGCGAGGCACCTCCTTTATAAGCATTACAATTACAATTTACATTACATATAACTATTGTTGAGGTAAAGTTTGATTTGCGCAATAACCACAGAATTTTCAAATACATAATTGTGACAGATATTAGAAAGTTGTTCGGAAAAGAAAAGTAACTTGGTTTGAAAGCATGCATGCGACCTAGGCATACACAAAACGAACTTTGCTTCAATCAAAGAAATTTAAATTCTAAGTTCTGTGACATGGGCACTCACGAACAAGAGACCAGGTACATGGCATATCCGAGTTAAAAACAGAGTTACGTAACAATAAATAAGTCTGACGAAGAAAGTTCTTAAAACCAGATAAAGTCAAAAAGCTATTAGGTGAAGCAGTTCTACACACTGAGTTCCATAAATGAACTGTTCGATTAAAGTATAAGAGTTCTTGAATGTAGTTGTTCTGCATAACGGCACTTGAAGTAGTAGACTAGGATATTACATTATAGTATATTATAGTTTTCCGTGGAATAGTATGAAGAAGGTAATCAGGTCCAAATTATTAATACCAAAAACATTACATTCTTTTAGCAAATATCTGACCCGCGATTTACGATTCCATGCTTTTAACAGTTTCTTGAAATATTTAGCTTTGAAAATTCAGAAAAATTGCTGTTTGCTGAATTGTTGATTGCTAATTCGACAAGTTCTCTTAAGTTTCCATGCACTACTATTATTTGAACAAGGGAAAATGCAGTTGAGGTTTTTAGTTACTCTTCCTAATCAAGCCATATACCCAACAACTTGATCCTCTCCCCTCCCCTAGTTGATCTAAACCCTTGTGTATATATAACTTTGTTAGCGTAGACTAGTAGCACTGCAGCCATTTTTTCTTCAACACAATATATCGATATTATTTTAGTCACCACGGTTTCACCAAGTCCAACAACCCAAGAAAAAGGTACTACTTTCTTTTATTTTTGGTAATTGTGCCGAAGATTGGGGGGTTGGTAAATGCCTGGGGGTATTTTTCTTTGTATGCATTTCACATTTTTGGTTAGAGTTCATATGACACAAAAGGCTATAAGGATTAATGAGCAACGTACTTTCTAATTTGCACATTCCAATGCACACAATCATGTGAATATGTATGACATAAAACAGGATGCATGCAGACAAGTCAAAGCTAGCATTAAATTATATCGCCACCGCAGTGGACGTGCATGGTCACCGTACGTAATAGTAGAGATTGTAGCTAAATGATAACTTAATTATTGCACACACTATCGCATGTATGACTGGTATATCCGATTGAGTCATGCAAGTAATATTATGTGTAATAACAATTTATTATCCAACTCGTACCTTGAAATACCTAAAAGTTTGAATTTTCAAAAAGCTTAAAATCTCCTGACATGAGAGATGAGACAATGAGAGATTGACTTTTTGAGGCATTTTATTCGAAACCTTACCATTGATTGAAAGTGATTTGATTAATGCCTAGCAAGACCGTGACTTTTCCCCTGTACATAATATAGAAGTTACATAAGCAGTCACTTTCGTCGGTACGGACATTCTTCCTCGAAACCAGAAGGAGTTTGATAATAACCGTTTGCGCTAGAATTGGAATTGACCTTTCCAATACGTATTTAGGCTGCATCAAAAATTCTGGTGAACTAGTCAAGATTGGAGAGGAATATTCCGAGGATAATTGTAGCCGCTTGTGTGTTTGCACATCAAACGGAATAGAATGTCGAACAATGTGTCCGGATAAGATTTTCAATTTATTGGAATGTAAATTACCTTATATCCTCAAGTTTATTGCTTTTCCTGTTGGTCCGAAGAGACTCGACTGTTTCTGTACGCGAGTTGACTGCGTACTCCCAGGTATAGGACAATTTGACGTTTGGTAACTTCAGTATCGGTATAATGAATGAAGAAAACCAAAACAACTTTGTAAATAAAAAGCAAATACTGTTCCTGATTGTACGCGTAGAACGTTTTCTTGCAATAATTTCGTTTGTGTGCTATTATCGTGAATACCTGCATGTATCGCAATGCGCTCTGTAATAATCATCCATAATTTCGGTGTTCATTTTCTTATTTTTGTTCCTTTACTTTTCAGAAACAGTTCAAACAACCATTCCGAAAGGTATGTCAAGAAGTTTTTACTAATTAAAAAAATCAGAAAAGTTGCGTACAATTGTCAGTGTTATAGCTTTACTGTATACAAATCAGTAATTAATGTTGATTTAATCCTTTTTGCTTTTAGTGACCCCGAAAACGACGTTAGAACCAGGAGGTTGGCTTAATTCCCTTTGACTTCTTTGTGATACTTTCAACATTCAATTAATTACGTCAATTCCCAATCTTTGTCTGGTATTGTGTTAATTGATGTCTTGCCAAATTACTTTTAGAACCTCCTGTTATCAGAAGAAATCCTAAAGCGATAGACATTGTTGCAAAACACAAACGGCGTTACAAGACTGTCATTGGTTCTTCGGTCACGTCACCTACTTTAGTCGCTATCACCATCGTGTGTGCGGCAGATGGTAAACCAACACCGGAATATACATGGACTAAGAATGGCGAAGCTGTTATTCGCTCCAGCAACGTCAAGATTTTAAGCCGAGGCAGTCGCCTTCGAATCAAATCTTTAACTTCAAACAATATTGGACGCTACGAATGCACGGCTAGAAATGCTTTCGGAGTTGATACAGCGATGACCAATCTCTCCGTCTGGAGTAAGTTTTACTGAATTTCACCAGTCCGTATGAATTATATGAAAGAACTGTAAACTGCAGTATCTAAACAAAGTGTTAAATCATTGCAAAGATTGGTTCCAGGTAGTTTAGTGCACTGCCCTCTGGGCCGTAGCTAGAACGCTTAATTGGGGGGGAGATGGTGTGTATTCGTATACTCATGTTTGCATATCATAGGAACAATACATAGCGTTCAAAAGAAATCAGTCGGGCATAAGGCGGATATATGAATACACATCCCCCCGCAATTTAGCTTCTAGCCACGGCCCTGACTACCCTTTCATTTCATTCCATGTGCTAACTAACTATAGGAGGGGAGGGTTATACAAACAGCTGCATGATTAAGAAGGGGGGATAATAAGGTGAACGGTGGCTAGATTCAATCGCGATATGATTTTAATCTTTTTTTTCCAGCTCCTATTAAGTTCTTCGCTCCTGTCAGCTTTACCAACAGCCTAAACAAGGAGGTCGAAATAAGGACGACATTAAAGAAACCATTTGATGTAATATTTGCTCAACCCAAGCAACAATTTCGGTACATACTGCGTCCACCAAGCATGGGGCGTGTGTCGATCTTTGCATATGAAAAGGAATCCAGACAAAGACTTTTGGTTAATCGCAAGTTCACAGTTTCGCTGCTACCGAATAGAACAATTAGTCGATATTGGCCTATTAATATCACTACAGGTAAATATCAGCCTAAAGATTATTTTTAACGGTAGTATACATTATATTATTATCTATCGAGAGCATGGACACTGTTAAATTGGAAGGTTTCGATACGAGTGGTTCTGTAACTCCATAGAAATATGCGACGAAATTATGAGAAATATCAGATAACAATAAACAGTGAAATTTGTCTATGTCGTTTTAAATAACTTAGGTGATAAAACAATTTTGCCATTTTTTGAAATTCAGCTGCTACTAAAGAATATTTGCTCTACCTGAATGTCGAAAACAAATTCCAAAACGACGTAAGGCTCGTAACTACTATGACAGAACCTCAGTTCAGGAACACGACTATTAGAGCATTAAGGACGCAATCTCTTCGATTCTCAACCTCAAGTCGATCACCAGTAACAATCACTGCCTACGACTCCGCCAGTGGCAAAAGAGTAAAGATTAACAATAGAGATTATGTGTCTCTTATTCCATCCACGCAAACTGCTCGCGCTGTTACATTAAGCATTACTTCAATAGGTAAATATGGAATTTTTTTACATTTATTATTGTAACTACAAACACTGGTATCAGGTATAGACTTCGTTGTATCAAGCTTATTGATACTTGTTCAAGGCTCCCAAACGTTTTCAATTCATGTTTAATCCAAGTGGATTAGCTTAATCTTTAGCTATATGTGCGCATTGTAACGGTTACGAGCGTTTTCATTTATGTTTTTACGCCCAAACGGTCGTAAACACCGTAAATTTAGGATAGAAGTTATCGAGCTTATTTAATAAATTAAGCTAGGACTTCACCCCTTTGGATCATGTGAACAGGGCATGAAAACCATTAACGAGACAAAAACGCTCATTAAGCACATTAACGCTCGAAACGACGCTCGTGTGCACATAGCCTTCTTTGCTCATCATCCATGACCAGTCAAGATCAGTCAATATGGAATAACTTTAAATATGGAGCTATTATCTTTTACTGTCAAAAGTTGACGCGTGTTTGGTTTGTCAATGTACGTATATATTCTTGAGCGTTGTTTTGTGATTAACTATATAGCGATCTGAGATATTCTTCATATTTTTACCTTGTTTTTACCATATTTCTTTATAGACAGGCCTGTTTGGTACTACTTCATTTTATCGGCCATAAATCGACATCACAACGAGGTGCAGTTGGAGTCAACGATGGAAATAACCAATAGTACATTTGATATTCGCCCTGGCGCTGAATTGAATTTAACGGTTAAAACCAACAGTCCAAACGAGGTGTCTTTCCGCGCCTACGACAAAATCAGTGGTTACCCAGTTCTTATCAATAGAAGACCTAAGGTTGATTTATTGCCAGTAAAATCTCTTGCATCGCCCAGACAGGTGATGATTATCGCAGGTATGCATATGTACAGTTGGTTAATTTACTCGTAGTTAACCTAAAAACCATGGCTGTTAATGAACAACTCTGTCACAAGCTCTGCATGTGAGCTTGCGGCCTCAGGTAAAGCGTTTACCCCGGCTTTTCAGGGCAATTTTCCATTCGTCCGTAATGCGACATCGGCATGCGAAGTTGCGCATTCCATCTTTGTATTTGCACCTAGTCAACTGTTTTTATTATAACATTTTTGTAAGTTTGCATGGTGATCGACATCAATAAGTAAATTAGCTTGTAGGTATACCACGTAAGTATTTTATACTGCAAAGCTTTTGGTCCGTTAACCAAGGCCTTCATCAGTGCAATATTGAACTGTTTTTATTATGTTCTTTAGACGCTCACGTTGCCCAAAAATACTATGTTGCGTTTAAAATAAAGAACAACTACCAAAACAGTATCTCAGTGCGAACAACACTTAGGAAGCCGTACCAAGAATTCCAGGTCCTACCTTCTGACACGTTTTCTATCGAAATTGCTATATACGACGACAAAGATGTCATAATACAAGCCTTAGAAAGTGCATCCGGGAGGCCTGTTACACTTAATGGCAGGCAAACAATTGTTCTAAAACCCCAAGCCTCGTACCAAACACCTCGATTGTTTAGCGCTCCAAATGAATGTAAGTCCATTTATCATTCACGAACTGTATAGTTAGTAAAGTAGCCTGTTTTGCTATTTTTATGAATCTATTCCTCTGAAATGGCACGAATGTTCCCATTCCTTGCAGTTTAAGGGCTTCGATTCGGATGTATTTCTATTTATGCGTTGAAGCGTACGTCTGAGGCGTATAAATTAACATTTTCCCCAGTCCCGTCGAGTTATCGACAATTGCTTCAGCTCCGCAGAAAATCGTTCGTAACATGAATTAAGCTGTACAGCGAAAGTTATCAATTTGCTTATGGTCAACATAAGAAGTTATTCCAAATCCACTGATCCCAGCTATTATACTGTCGGTCGGTCCAGCCTTGTGCTCTCATCGATCATTCTCAACATAAGTATGTCATAACTTTTATACGCCTTTTTCAGATCAACAGCTCCATTTCGTAACATTTAAACTGAGAAATACTCTGGACAAGGCTATTGTTCTGCAAGCAAATCTTCCTTCTCCGTACCAAACTGTCGTGCTTAAACCAGGAGAAATTTTCATACTAAATACAACTATTCCAAGACCACGTCCAGTATTCATCAGTGCCTTCTATGACCACACAACCAATCGACCAGCGAGAATAAATGGAAAAACATTCTTTATTATTTATCCCACAACAAAGCGGGTAGTTAAAGGTATATATAAGCTACGTTTTTAAATGTATTTTTTATCTCGCTTTGGTTTTAACGCCTTAATAACCCAGAATAATTATACTGAAATAAAATTAATGTGTGAAATAAATTATAATCACCAATTTTAACTTTTTTACTGTTTTTACATTGTAGTATACTAAATTGATGACTAGTTTTTCTGTCCAATTTTTTATTCTTCCCCAACAACAACTAGAATCGTGTTTTGAATCTCTTTTGACAACTTCGTGGAGGTTTAGATGAGGCTATTCAATATGGCCGCGTTATTTAATATTAAATTCATTACGTGTATTTTAAAAGTTTCAGATACCCCAAGCCCAAGGGGACAGTATCCTCTTCGTTTCTCCATTGAGAACAAATTTGACAAGAAAATATATATAACAACAACGTTGCCACGGCCATACGGTTTGATCACGTTTGATCCTAAGCAGAAGATTACATTTAAAGTTAACGTCACATCACGCGATCCTGTTACTATAAAAGCATATGACTTCCATCAAAACACCGAGGTTCTACCAATTAACGATAAATTCAGCATCGAACTAACACCTGGTTCTAAAACTTTGGTCCCCTTAGCCATACCATCGAGAACATACGGTACGTATATTTACAACATTTACTAATTGACAGAGTATACTTCTATATTCCGAGTAATGACGTTTAAGAGCCTTCAGTTCTTGAGAAAATCCAAACAGAAACGGGTGACCACTTGAAAAAATTAAATGATATCCCAAATGGCCTGACGTCTCGGGTTATAACGCAAGTGCTAAAATTTTGATGAATTCTTTTGGCGAATCTATATGATTATCTATCATACATCAATCATAAACTGTTGAACACCTGAATTGTATATCGAGCCACCTTAATTAACAAAATACATTAAAATTTTGCTGACAAACGTACTCTAACGTCGTTCATCCAACTCGTATCTTGTGTACTTTTCTTTTCAAACTATTTGTTTGCCTGGGTGTGGGCAAATTAAAACATCGAGAGGATCATTGTGATGATGGTAAGCTGGATTGATGATAATCCCGCTCTAATATGATGTATATTATGCTTTCTTTAGCAATGTACTACCTCAACTTCCAAGTTTACAATAATCTCGGAAGGGATATCATCCTTTCAAGCCGATTGGACGCGCCCCATGACTCAATTCGCGTTCTTGCTGGCCAAACGCTTAAAATGAAGATCTCGACACCTCGAAATCTAAGCACAGTGTTCACAGCGACTGAAGCAACCCACCGTAGAAGAGTGAAACTTAATGGGAAAGATATGATAATACTCATGCCTTCCAAATCTCAAGATATCTGGCAATCAATTTATATTCCTGCAAGAGGTATTTAACTCTTCGACTGCGCGAAATTTAGCTGTCGGTTGTTTGATTCCTGTTTAGCTCATGCATAGTTGATAGAGTAAATGGTTAGAACACAAACAACTGTATACGTTACATACTTGTACCAACCGTAGACAAGTTGTTCCAACTTGACGTCTTTACATATCGAAAAAAATAAACCAATGGTTCTAACGTTTGAATTAACATGTGGTCCATGTCCCGGTTGAAGAAAGGAGCTACCATTGCTATTGGATAGTTGCTAAGATAATAGCCATTTTTGGAAAAAACGTGGCCAACAATATTTAAGAATAAATGGTATCCATATTGTCTACGAACCATATATGTTCTAATGTCTGTATAAAGGTTGATACGTTTCGCGTACATGTATCTGTTGATACAAGTTGATATGAAAAACTTCAAATTTCCAATAATTTACATGATATAGTTAATTAACTTAATATTAACTGATACGACCATTGGCAATGCTTTTCTGAGAAGACAAACATGACGATTGAATCTTTTGGATTTTTTTAGTTGTTTACTACGTTGCATTTGGCGTGAAGAACAGCTATGGTAAAGATATTTACCTGACGACAAACATGCAACCACCTCATAATACAATCAATATTCCTAAGGATCAACAAATTCAGAGAACAATAGTGCTGCTTGACCAAAACTTGGTGAATGTTCGTGCTCGTGACGCTGCTACTAGACAGGTCGTTAAAATTGATGATCGAGATTTCATCACGCTGAAACCCAACCGAAGTAAACCAACCACCTTAAGAATATACCATGTTCCAAAGGAAGGTAAATGGTGCAATATGTAATAGTAATATTTACCGATCTTGAGAGGGGATAAGCAATCAATCTAGACGACCTTTCTCTATAGACACTGTTTCTCCCTTGTGCCTTCATAATTTTGGTCTCCCTCTAAAACTATAGGGTCCGGGGAAAGTTGCCCCTTTTGCCCCCTTACCCGGAAAGGTCCTGACTCCGGAATTGTTCAGAGCACAAATTAAACGAGAGGACATTAATTAAACCTATTCACTAAACTGCACGGCCACATGGTTAATTTAACAGTAATTTAAAGTGCTAACAATTTTTCAATGCATTATTTCCCACTCTCTTCTTGTTCCTTACCTCGTGATCTTTTTAAATTCTATATTTCAAAAATATAACGTTTCAACGATGTTAAATTTTATTCTCTTTGTCTGCTGTGCCACTCGACGCTTTTCCTCTTTTCATACACTTTTGTTAATGTTTGGTTTCTATTTTACTGGTTCTTATTAACGTATCGTATTTACAGCCGGTAAAGCCTTCTTGTATAGCAGAAATACGTGGAATAGGTGGTCACTTAAAGATTAGTAGCTATATAAACGCTTTAAATTATTCATACTTAAAACAGCGCAAAGGGTGTGGGACGATTGAAGAGTATTGGACGATTCTGAGACACAATTTAATTGTTCCAGGGCCATATTTTCTTTCTGTCACAATCAAGAACCTCTACCGTGAAGCAATCCTGCTTCAAACAAATTTACAATCCGAAACGTACCCTAATATACAGCCGGGAGATGCATTAACACGCACTTTCAAGCAAGAAAGATCAGGCAACATAACATTCATGGCTTACGACACACTAGCATTAGAGTCTGTCACTTTAAATGGTAAAAACAAGATCAGTCTTATTCCTACAACTCAGCGAAGACAACCAATTGTGATATATGTGCCATACAAAGGTTAGTTTTTTTATATATCATAGTATTCAAAGATTTCTTAGTTGCATGTACACATATTCTGTAGGTATAAATGGGTGATGCCAGATTTTTGTCAGAGCAATTATGTAAAATGTATAACTGCGTGAAAAGTTTTGTTGAGAAATGCTGTAAAATGTAAACATATAGTGTTCTAAAGCATACAAATTCTGGATATCTGTTGGACGCGGAAACCACTAATTAATTTGTTCTGCCAACGAGACTCTAACGTGTAGCATCTACGACGAGGTCATTATTAGATTCAGTCGAATATACAACAAAATTGCACCCAGAAAAGACCTTAAAATGTTTTTATTTAAATGTTCTGTTTTAGGTTGTCCATTACCTAACGGTCGCTTGTTGAAAGTTGGCGAACAGTACACCAACGATGAATGTACAAGACTTTGCACGTGTAATGAGAAAGGCGTGTCAGCTTGTGTCGCATTATGCCCTACCGCTCCAATAAGTGTGTGTAGCCCTCCATTGGTCCAGAAAAGAAGCCGCGTACCGACAGGTCCTGCTGATGGTAAATGTACATGTGAACAAGTCATCTGCGTTGAAGAACGTATGTGTGAATTATTCTCGTTTAGAGTATTGCTAGAAATTGTAGAACTATATTACGCTGATAATTTTGAGGGATGTTCCTTACTAGGTTACTCCACATAAGACTACACCATAATGTACTTAACGAAGGTTGAATAGTTTTTTTTAAGGTTTTTTATAAAGGCTGAGAGAATTATCCATTCCGTACACTTCTTGCTGTTTTCATCTGCTATATATGTTGTTATTACATAGCAAGTAATAAATTAACCTTCCTCTTATTAGAAACAACAACAGATAATTCAACTGAAGTTACCGTTCCTTCTGGTGCAGGTGAGTTTTGTATCAATGTGATCCTTTCATTGGTAGCAAAGCTGGGTTTCGAACATGATTTTTTAAAGCCATATTTTCAAATATTCAAGGACTTAAGATACAGTAGAACCCCCGAGCTCCAAAAGGAAACGAAAAATACGCTCTTTTTACCAGGGAGCACTGGCACTTTCGTGAATTCCGAGCACAACCTTGGGTCTATAATGTTGAGGAATTTACTGGAAATAATGTTTTTAACTGAAAATTGAAGATTTATTGTAGTATATCGAGCAGATTATATCAAGTATTAACGCAAATTGTTGGTGGTGTTTAGACGAATTAATTGACTGAACGGTGCTGTTAAAAACTGGTTTAGATTTACTATCACAGTATCACGTTTTGAGATTAATTAGAGTTCATGTGAACTTTGATGAAAAGAAATTAAAGTTAGTACGAAAAATCGAGGGATTGGGTCAAGCGAGTACGAGTTAACTAGAGTCAGTAGAGAGAGAGTTGCTTTAAAATGTACCATCTAATCAAAGAAAAAGTAAATTTAGTTCAGGTTTGCGAGGAGTTCATGTTTGCCGGGGCTCTACTATATCTCCATTTCACTGCATGTATATGCATATCGATTAGGCGAATTATTACAATGTATTAAATTTATTCTATTTTTTTCAGTCAACCAAGCCCTTGGGCGTTACGCTTCACAATCAAACGTGAGCTTAGGAGGTTATGCATATTTGGCCACAGATGGCATAAGAAGTGGCAATTACGGCGATTCCTCTTGTACCCATACACCACCTGAAGAAAATCCATTTTGGTATGTGTCATTTGAACCCTACAAAGTCAACATATCAGTTATACGTATCACAAACAGACAGGACTGCTGTCGAGAAAGATTGAGTGACTTCGAGATACGAATTGGAGATTACTTTGGTGAAGATGCTGAGAAGAGTCCAAAATGTGGCGATCGACATACAATAAGTGGAGACTCGAAAGTTATCTCATGCCGCGGAATGGTTGGTGGCTTCCTGACCATCAGAATACCTGGAAAACGCAAGATTTTAACCTTGTGCGAAGTCGAAGTCTTTGGCACTCGTAAGTATTTGCAAATATCGCTGTGGCGGTACAGGGCCTACAATACAATTGTCTGTATTTAAAAACCTCGCTCGCACTCGCCTTCATTTTGTGTAACATAGATTCACAGATTCACAGATTCAAAAGATAGCTCTTCTATCTGTCCGACTGCTTTTTTTAATATTGCGACTGTTATTCTGCTATGGTTTTCTTGATTGTTACGTTGTCTTATATATAGAAATCCCAGGAACAGACACATTCAGACGTCGCCGTCAACCACATGGTCCACGAAGATAGAATACTTATAAAATATATACTGTATTAAGAGCTAAGTAAATTATTACATTTTAAATAAACAATTGAAGCAAGACATGACATTAATGATAAATCTATAGACTTATATAGTAGAGTTTGTTCAGATAAAAAGTTGTTGTGTATTATTTAACCTAACCTTCTGTTTTGTTTAAAGAGAATAGTATATGTCTTTAAATAATATTTGTGATTTTATCATTGTATTTAATTTATTTCTATTCTGGAGAGAACGTGCCGTGGGGAACATTCCTAAAACAACAATTGCGCACATCGCCGTTAGCAAAAAACAACAATATTATTGAAGCAAGGTTCCGACTTTTCGGTTTTTTCTAGAAAATCATAAATACTGAATACTCGTCTTAAAACGCAGTCTTCAAAACACTGTGATTACTATAGCCAAATTAAATGATTGTCTCTACAATAGAAAATCACCCATGGAACAAGGCCTAATGAAAAATGTACCTTATAAATTATAAAATCAAAATTTTCTTGTTTACTAGGCTAGTTATAAAGGCAATCATAATAACCTGCGCTGTTTTATAGGATGCTAGCTTTAGTTTCAAGTTGTCTTCTTAACATTTGTGCTCTGAACACAATAAATGGGCTCCAACTTATCCCCCCCCCCCTCAACCTCTCCGCATAGCAATATCGGTGCGGTAATATTTTAATATATTATGTGGAAAACATTCAGTATGTGGAAAATTTTATTTGTTATATCATATAATAATAGGATTCGCGCATGTTGACTAGCTGTTTTCTTGTATGTTGTTTTAGAGTAATTCCGTGAACAATCTCATGAGACATCGCCGGCCCGTCTGCGAAGATAGATTAAGACTTATAGAATATATACAGTATTACAGTAAGAGGTAGCCTAAATGAATTATGTATATTTATGGCATGAACAATAACTATTGCTGTACGCCATTACAATGTTGTCAATAATATTATTGATGAATTTATTTAGATTTAGTCTTAGCTTGGATAATGCTCAGATAAAAAATTGTACTGTCTTTTCAAATCTGCAATGTATGTCTTCAAATAATCTTTGTGATTTTATCATTGTATGAGAGAGTTATTAAACAATATTATTGAAGCAAGGTGGTTTTTAATTCCGCTAGCTAGAGTTCAGATAAATTCATACAAAAAACCGAGCGCAGGCCGAGCGCATATTCTCTTGGTTTTGTCCTCCCAGACGGGGATTTGATTATATATTGCGTATCGCTCCAACGCTTCGTGCTCATGACAATGAACCTGCTGTTTCGACTATCTAAAATGAGCTCTGCTACAGGTTGTATCATAAAAAACGCAACATTTAAGTAAATATTCATGAGAATATTCGATCTTTTGTCGCTGAAATTATACTAATATTGAACATTTAGTGTTGGGTCTTTAATAAACACACCGTGTAAATGCATTTGTCGTGAATATTTAGGTTGATGTATAAAATAATACTGCTACTTCTGTGCAGTCAAGTGAGTCAACAATGGTTGATCTTTGCAGAAAAAATAAGGGCAAAACTACAACGGTGAAATTCATTTTTTACGACAACGAAAACGAAAGTAAAATTCATTTTTACGACAACGAAAACGGTTTAATATAAATGCTGTTAAATCTTTCGAAACTTGGCTAGACAGACTGGCTCACCCAATTGTGGTATGACAAAAAATAGCCAAAAAAAACTTCTAGACGTTTCGATCTTTTGTATAGTAGAAGAATTCCGATAGATTGTATGTACATCATTACAGACCGTCATAACCCCAGTTTAAAATATGTAACAAAAGTTTTGTCATAACTACTAAGAAACTGCCAATATAACATGTCTGCATACCAAATATAATATGGTTTTCTATAATTCTGAATGAATATGAACTAGATTTCTTATCCAGAAAAATGCGAAACATGGGAAATATGATCAACTTTCAAATCAGCAGACCTTCGTTTTTTAAACTTCCGATCCATTGTTATGAGCAGAACCGATGCGCAGAAGGCGGACCGAAATCGCAGGGAAACAGGTTCTATTTCCAAAGAGTGAGGAATATTTTAGGGCTGGCTTTTATTAACAGCTGCTCTAGCTTGGGTCTTAAAATTGGTTATATTATTATTTTCTGCACTTTCCAAAAACCTTTGAAACTTTACCATTCTATTTAGGGATTTCCCCACGTTTCGTCGTCTGTCCCCCCCTGAACGTTACAAGCGAGTTCGAAACCAAAGAATATTCTCTGCGGTAATTGAATAGTATTGGCTGCTTGTGATTAGTTGTATTTTAAAATATAAAGCAACGCTGTATGACCACAACAAGTCTATATACTCTATACTATCATGTGTTTATAATAGAAGAATGGTTTTTGAATCAGTTGTGGTTAACCTTGTCAACACTTATCTTGGCAGATATATCAAAGATTTAGATTCTTCAAATCTCGATTTGAGCATCTGGCGCGGTATGTTGCTATACGACCGTCTATTAAAGATAAATACCTCGCAATGTTGACATAACTTGAGGCCGGTATAAATGTTTATATGTTTTTCTTTAACATTAAATTTGTTTTTATTCCGTTTAAAAGGCTCAAAATCAACAATTAATCCCAATGTTATAATATCATTTGCTTACAAAATGTTATTATGCTATCTGCATTATATTCATGTATTTGAATGAATTAATAAATAATCATTAGATCATTGGATTGTTCGTTGTACAGACTGGCTCAAAAGACATTTCCAGTGTACACTATGTGTTTAGATAGATATACATTAGGAATTGTATGCTTATCACATCCTTGTGGCTTAATTATAAAGTACACAGAGCTATTTAATATTTGCCTTAATCCACTCTTTCCCTGATCTCCCTTCAAAATATGCTCATGCAGTGTATCATATGTTCTAATTTTTTAAAAACACGATATTGTGCCAAACTGAATCATCTCTTGCCTTCCACCTCAAGTGCTGAGCTTCATGTACTAATTAGTATCAAATGATATTTTTCTATGCATATACAATTTATTAAAGATGTAGGAAGAATGCAATGTATTAGAACACTTCTGAATGTCAAAAACCCACTAAGAATTTGTTGTATGTTGATCTAATTTTTATTGGCCCATGAACAGCTGGAATTTAAGGCATATACCAACATGACTTGTTGAGTCATGTGAGACCATCTCTATAGTTCTGACAATAGGAATATTTTAGACATTTACGTATAATTTTTTTTCAGGGGATGTGGTGCTCAACAATCTGACACTTAAAGATGATGCACTGGTAAATTTCTAAATTATATAATACAGTATTTTTCAATTAATCTAAAAACATTGCAAAGTATGTATAGGTAATGCTGAAACATGAAAATAATTATTTTTAGGCTGAACTTGACTTGCCTATTCAGGTTAAATCTGGCAATATTGGTATGTATATTCATCATGCATTGATATGTACGCTCTGGATTTTATTTGGCTGTCTCTTGTATTTCACTCATTGACATTAGGCAGCCTAGCTCGAACCCTTTTTGGAAGATATACAAGAGAAGCTTGTGTTCAGCTGGTTCAGCTATTATTCAATAGTTCAGTCATGAGTCACTAAGAAGAGCATGCCCTCAAAAGTGCTTGTATTGGGATGAATGCAAGGATCGAAGAAGCTTTGCTTTGTTGTCAAGATTTTTTGCTTGTGCCGCCCAAACAGGACTTACATAGACTAGCCTCCAGGGTTTTTTGCTCGGGACTTATGGTTCTTGATTTTTACTAAATAATATGAATTGAGCTATAACCACAAAAAGGTCGGTTGGCAACCCACTAGCAACCACCTGAATTTATTAAACTGATATGTATTTAGATATAAAATAGCTATTATTGACAGTTTTTTGTACTAAATATTTAGTATAATTATAAGTATTTATAAGTAAAGCAAAATTATTATTTATTTATAAGTTACCAGCGAATTTTTTTTAATATTCTTTTATATACAGGTAAATTATCAGCAGAAATCCCCTGGTCGAATATATATACAAAGCCAGTTGTTGTAAATATTGAAGATGTATTTATTCTTGCTGCACCAATTACAGGTGAATTATATAATAACATATTATGCTGTGAGTTGTGAGTTACCTCCTCCCCTTTTAGCTGTAATATCTATCTGCCTAATTCCCGGTTCAGGGTCGGATTCCGTTTTGACACTGTACGTCAAAGTTGTTTTATAATTTTTTCTTGTATAGAGATTATCCATCATAGAATAACACGTCTCTTCGAGTAAAACTACTGTTCTTAAAGCGCCTCAATTTTTTTGTTTAATTAATCCTTTCCAGAAATTGATTATGATGAGAAAGGCGCTGAGGAATGCCTGAGAGCTGCCAAGAGAAGGAGGTTGCAAGCTATAGATAAATCAAGTGAACCATTAAGTCATGAAAATCCTGAGGAATCCCAATTGTCCGACAGCTACACGTTTGTAGAAAAATTAACCGCCCAGATTGTCAAGAATCTTCAGGTATGCCTGTTGTTACAGGTTAGCTCTGTGTGTGTGGTGACGTACGTAATTCAATATTCTTTTCGGCGAAGATGCTTTCTCTCGCAAATCAGACACCTATAACGGTACTACACACTTTTTCCTCTCTCTCTCTCATTATTCCTCTCTTATACGGATAAGTTGGATTCATCATCCTTCAGAATATCAAAGTAAAACAGCCATTACATGCTCCGCAAATTAAGATGTTTCTCCAACGGACGTTATGATGCGAACTTACTTTTTCGGAAAAAAACGCCCTTCACGCATATTTTGCGACATCGTATTTGTCTGATAACTTTGATTGAATTATACAGTGTCTTTTTTAGATTTTCATAAAGAATATTCACATTCGCTATGAAGATAAGGTGAAGACTTTCTTGCATATTTATCCTAATTAATTGATTTTATTAGTTTTCTGGTACATGACTCGGCAGTCGGTATAGGATAACAAATGTACAGTAGGTCTTAATTCAGAATTAATTTGGAATTATTAATCTTATTCTCGTGAATATTATTCCTTTTTCGGAGGACAATGATCTTTGCGAATTCGAAAGATTTTCTTATAATTCTGTTATATAGATTACAACTCCTGGCAGTTCATTCGCTATTGGATTGACATTAAAGCATTTAACCGCAGAGGTAACTATTTAACAATTAGACAACGAAGGCGAGTTGTCTAATTAATTCAATTTTATACGGTCGCGCGAGCGAATTTTTCCCAAACGTTCACCAGTACGAATAGACAATGGTTGAGTAGCCAGTCAAAATGTAGGATTTGTAATAGACAGTAGTCGGGTGTATACTAAATAAAATTATTCAATAGTTACAATAAGAGGTTTAAGATCTCCAACGGTTGGTTCTTTATATACGCACAAAATGTGACTTAACGGGCCAAGTTCCCAACCTTCACCATAATCAAATGCAATGCTATTCCCATTTCGTACCTTGTCTTATACATAACTTTACCAAAATGTTGTTGGAGGATTGCACTTGCAGACGTTCGCATTTAAAAGAAAATACCTACTGACAGTACTTTTCTTCCACTTTATATCGATGGAATTATATACAGAGATGTCAAATCGATTGCTTTAGGTGAAAGAACCAATCTTTTTTCAACGCAGCAAATAGACGACATGCATGCGTTTAAGCTGTACATGCAGTTATTTTTCATAGTGCCATGCAGCACGTGTAGTCGACATATAGCAATGATAATAGCTTGCTTTCGTGTCATATATCTATATATGCTTTTACTTACACTGAGAATTAATTCAGATGCCTCGATCACGCTATTTTTAACGTGATAAAGTGCGTGTTTGTCGTCAGAGACCATGCAGATATCCTATCAAGCAGGAGGGGGTCATGGGGAGTCAGAGAGGATATTTCAAAGAAGTTATATTTTTTAGACCACGGATGAATATTGGAAGCCATGTGTAGTTGAGGCAACCAAAAAGACAATTTTTAAGGTTAGATTATTGCACTATCATGTATACATATGCATCTTATATTTGAATAGTTCGCAATTGCTATAGAAAGTGCTCGCATATTTTACTTGAAAATAACTTCTTGCTTTTATAGTTTATAAGTCTCGATTCTTTTGCCGTTTATTGGAATACAAATATTAACGAAAGTCAGTACGGAGGATCAAAAGATTGGAAGGTAGATCTACTTGGTATACTTGTGTTGATCGGAAAATCTGGACACTTAACGGCGAAATTTATATTATTAACTATTTCCAATTATTTAGTCATCACTTCGTTCTGACATTAGAACGAAAGAAGCAAAGAATGATGATTACGAATATGGTAAAAGTTTACAGTGATAATATTCTTGAATCCAGAATTTAAACCGCATGCCTCTAATACTGCGCAATCATTCATTATATATGCTCATAATATCTTTTGTGATCTATAATATAGTCCTGGAACCATTCTCTCTCGAAGCGCATGTGGAAATTGATCAAAATTCTGCAATGATAAACAACAAACCAAAGGTATGTATGAAAATGAAGATGAAAGTTAATGGTTCAATTGTAATATCTTCATGCATGCAGTCTACGTTGCTGTCTGCTGAAATTCGAACTAAAATATTCAGTAAAATTATACGAAATGTATTGACTGTCAAAAGTTTCCTTTTCACATGTTATGGAAAATCGTAATTTAGGTGTATATTTATCATACATATGTCACTCTTTAATGCTTGTAGATCACCGTTGAAGTTATTCAACACGACATGATCCTTAGTCTTTCAAGATCCCAAGTTAGTATATATTGCAAAATGCCGTACATCTTTACTCGTTTGATTGAAATTTTGGTAGAAATTGAATCGCACGAATTTTTTCTCATCAACTCGTTGCTTTAATTTAAAACAAAAGGTGAATTCGTAAAGTCAAGAAATCAAGGGTGGGGCCTTTAGAATAATTTTTTTGGCCATGAGAATCCCACCCATATCATGTAGGAGCTAGGTACATGTATTACACAATAGTTACTGTTAACGTTATGTAAAACCTTTAAATATAGTTTCAAAATTTGGTCCATTTGATTGAATCGTTTGAACTGATGATTGCAAACGAACCGTACAAGAAATATCGTCCAAATGTCCCGCTGCGAAATAACGCCAAAATCTGGTAAGATTTCATTCATTGTCAGATGAAAATACAGTGATAATAACCTACTGTAGCTATATATTACAATAATCATTATTGTATCATGTCGTATTGCATTGTGTGAAGTACAGTATATGTTTCTTGCTGTCGATGATGTATAACACACTAGCTCGCTTTATAGGTTAAAACGTGTAACAGTGTAAATGCATTTCGTAAACAGTCAAAAATTTTCTTATTTTAAGATTTAGATCCCATCTGCGTGTTCTTGTTGATGATTTTTATGGGATTTTTAGGTGGAAATATGCAATAACTGCCATTGTGAAAGAGAATATTAGAACGTGGTCCTGGCAGAACATCAGAAGACATAGGTTTGATAAATTCATAATTGATTTCTATACGTTACAGTTCACTCATAATATTTAAGGCCATCTAATTATACCAATAAATCATGTGATTGCCTTATTTGTCCAATAGGTCCCTTTATCATGAATACAAAAATGTGTACAAAACGAAACTACTTTATGACCAAAGAGGAATTAAGAATGTTTCAACATCGTTTAAATCTAAAATACATGACATTGAAGACGAATTACAACTTTCATCCATTCTCATAGCGAGGGAACATGCTCTTGCCGAGGTAAGTATATACACCATGCATATAATTACAGTGCGTTTCCAGTGAACAGGCTACATGTAGTACTGTATCTCGTATGTTATTTCCATGATAGCAGAGATTCTTCCCCAATAGTTTAAAACAAATCCTGGTATTTATGAAGACGTTAATCTGGAGGAAACTTCATCTGGCTGGTGGAATTGGATATTCGGTTCTAATGAGACGAATTACGAATTGTCGGAAGGTACTGTATACTACAGGGCACCAGGTTCTGACGAACGAAATGAAATGTGAAATCTAATGTTTATTCATGTGTTTAATTGTTTCAAACTGCTAAAGAATCAAGCTCGACTAATCGTATCGAAGCATTTGAGCTCGTGAACGCATCCATGAGCGTTACCCTTTAAAGCCCGCATACATGCTACCCAAACGTTATCAATTGATTTTTTTGTTTTCCAGAAATTGAGATCTCCTCATCCCTATCACTGTCTGCTTTATCTCCGTCGGAAAAACAGCGTTTATACGACGCTCTTGATTATTCTGAAAACGTCGAGGATACCAAATATCCCAAAGAGGTTTGTCCAGATGCATGCATCCTTAATGTTTCGCTGTCTCCACACGACCTGATCATCAGTGGCGTAGCCAGCCTAACAATTTTTTTACTGCTATGCTAATATTTTAGTTTTTCATGATGACTATCAAAACAACAAATTTTTAAAGAAATGCATAATGATGAATAACTTATCTAAATCGTGAGGGGGGCTACGTCACTGCTGATCATGCTTCAAATTAAAATGGACCACATATTTTAAATTTGTCATTCAAATATTCAGAAATTTGTCATGCAAATTTTTCGTGATCATAATTTTTCATGTACATATTTCCGCAACTGTGCCGTCTACTGAATTGCTGAGCAGGGTTAATTGCTGAACCATGTACGACTATACTGTTTTATTTCCCATTTATTCCAAAATGCCAAGCTTTATATGTTTGTTTCCGCTTAATTTCGGTGAACGGCATTACATTATCATGCACATATTGTTGCCGTGTATCATGCAAATCATGCAAAACTACAATCATTGACAATTTCATTGAAACGATGAATCATTTTGGCCAAACGAATCCCCCCACGCCCCCAAAACAATGTTGTATTGTTTTGCAGCGAAAATTTTTGAGTGATTTTACCTCACTTACGTCAACATTGATTTGAGGGGGGGGGGCGGGGGAGGGAATGAGGTGAATAATGCTAATTTTGAGACTTTCGTAAAAAAAGGGGATGTTTACATGCCATGTCCCAATATTTTTTGTCAATGATTGTAGCTGTCGGCAAATGAACGATTTTTAACCATCGCAGGACATTTCGTTACTGTTTAGTTTTTTAAAATCTAGTTAAAATCAATATACACGTAAAGTAAAGATGTCGAATTTCAAAAATTTAATGACGTGTAATAATGTAGAAAAACCAATTTAGAAAAACCATACCCATTCACCACGCCCATTTTTTCGGCAAATTCGATACACACACCCCCCCCTGCTTAAACCGCTTAGCGACGGCCCTATGCACATAACAATGTTCCGACGACCTCTTTTTCAGTATGTCAAATACGTGTTGTTATTTTCGCTGGAACGTTTCGAAGTGCATCTGATGAATGAATTAAGAAGGTAATATTTATTGGTTCATCGCAAAGAGTAATCAAGGTTCTCAATCAGGTTAATCCTGTTGGAAAAACAACATTTGTGCTGTAAATGCAGTTTGAGAACAATGTGGATTTCTTAGGAAGATTCCGAAGTTGCGTTTTTAAGTAACACCCTGCACTGGTGATTACGTTTCTAATTGCATGATTTTCTAGAAACTTAAGTTTTGTGTCGATGAGTGGTGTTTCTGGATCAGTTCAACATCGACCATCTTCATCGAATACAAGGTAAGGATTGCACTTCAACATCAAAAAAAATTCCAATGAATGTAACGATATTCTACATCTCAAAAAAGTATATACGTATATATATTCAGTGCACGTCTGACATTCGAGTTTTATAATATAAAGAATTTTGTCCTATTTCTCTCTTTCTTTAATTAAGCATTAAGCACTTTATTTCATTTGATTTAATGTTATACTTCACACCCTTAGATGTCAAAATGCTTTGTCTAAATTTGAAGTGAAAAATGCTGTATGCAGCATAGCGTTGATTTTAGAAAAAACTTATCACATATTTTATATAGTTTTAACTTGGATGTTAACGATATTATTCTTTATGGTCACGGATCAAAATTGGACGATGAAGCTTTACCTAAATTGTTGTACCTTCAGACAAGGGAAAAGGGTGAGTCTGATTTAATAACACATACAGATCCAAGTACGTCGTTTATTAGCCGTATACAATTAACTAATTAGCTTCTCTTACTGACGGGGAAAATGTAAATCATGTTCATTAACTTAATAATATATATTTATAATTATAATTAAGACATACATATATGTATGTATATAGCCTACATTCATTTTTTTTCTTCTGTGTAGATAGCCATTTGGCATTTTTTGAATTTTCGTTTGAACTTAACCCGATACATGTGTCTGCAGACTATTCTGTCTTTCTTAAATTGGAACCAGTAAAAATTGTTCATGATACGGTACGTACAGTATGTTGAATTACTAAGTAAGTGCGTGCATAGTTTTTATATTCGTATACACTTACTGTAATGCAGTATTTTATTGTCGCTCTCGTTTGTCTTGTTTGTAGCTTAATTCCATAATTCTCTCGACTTGAAGACAATACAACTGCAACATATATGTAACTTGTAAAAGTAACCATTATGACCTGTATGTACTATTTTTTAGAATACTGTTATGCAGTTTGTGAATTTCTTCAACATGCCACAGAGCAGAGCATTGCAAGAGTAAGTATATATACATGTATCATCATCCCAAATATGCAGATGGAAGATTATATATACGATCATTTAAGATGTCGAATTGTTCACTCTAGGGACGCTCATTTATGAAATATTTCTTTCTATTATGTTATGTAGGCTTACCGAAGTGGCTTCTTTGGGGATAATCGAGATTCAAAATCGTACTCGAGCTGGTCTGGAATACGCCGTATCACAGCAAACTGTAGGCTATGTGATAAAAATATGTCAATACAACATTACTGTATATATGTATATATATACAGTAATGTTGTATATACAGTAACGCCGTATACCACTGTATATATATACATACTGTATATATGTATATATATACAGTGGTATACGGCGATGTCCATAGTGGTAGTCAGTGATTTTTGAAATGTAAAAAATGTATTGAATGAAATGTTAAATTTTCTTTTAAAGATTTTCTATTTCGACGTCAACCTTAAAGCACCTTGCATTGTTGTTCCTGAGTTTGGAGCAATGGAAAAGTAAGATAAAACCTGAGAGGAGAATAGAGGATTTTCACGTATTGTTATAATTGTAAGGATTGATTCTGATCTTACCTCCTGTTTTGTAGGCCCGGTTCAGTTTTTATTGTCGATTTCGGACACCTGACTATTAAGACGGATTTGAATTCCAAACAGTCATTAATTCAGGTAGAGTGAGGATAATCAGTGTTACGTTTTTGCTTGATCAATCCAATTCTCTCATATAACTTGAAGGGGAGAAACGTGATAAAAGTATGGTATGATAGTGACTTTGATACTGGAATTGCGCCTCTAACTTATATGTCTCTTATATTTTACAATTTCCACAGATATATCAGGCACATTTAACCTTATACCATGGGATAATTGTTCAAACGCCCACGCATTATGGCTCTTACTTTCGGCCCTTTGTTTAGCCAGTTTGGGCCCTGTACATAATCGATTATAACAAATAACATGCAGGTATACCGTACTTTATTTTCCATATCTAAGGATGCAACTGAAAGCGAATTGGAAAACATGTTATGTGACAACTTTGATGTCTCATTAAGCGACATGCAAGTTCTTATTGCAAGTAAAGGTAAGTAAGCTATAGGCAAATAACAACATTTATTTTTCGTGTCCGTTGTATTCGTGTACTGTAGCATGATCTTTGTAGCATAATGGCTTCATTCAAAATCTTAACCTTAGCTGGAATGTCCATTTCTAGACGATGATTGGTTGTCTGCACATGCTCAGTCAAGTTCGCCATTCCATTTGTTACCCTCTTCTGAGATCACTTTAGAAATTCGAAGAAACACAAACAGCGTTTACTCCTCATTACCTGAGTACGTCCTTCATCTATTATTAATTACTCCAATTCGAGTGCGTCCTTCATCTATTATTAATTATCCCAATTCGAGTACGTCCTTCGTCTATTATTAATTATGTAGGTCAAGACATATGTATTGAGGCAACACTCGAAAGAGAACTTTTTTACGATTGAAACGTATTTTCCGAAAAAACTTCTGCAAATTATTTATATGCGACCTTAAGCGGAAAATGTCTCGCAATTTTCAATGTCACTTGCTTACAGCACCAAAATAATTTGAATGAGTCCGCATAATGTTTGCATAACTAAATGACGTATACACAGCAGTGGACTTTCTGGGACATTATTTTAATGGTGACGAATGGATTGACGTATATCCATTGAATTTATCCCCATATAATTATTGCCATTGTCTTTCACTGTCTTGCGAAAGACAATTACAGTAACTGCCTTTCTCTCTTTAATTTGACTGTCGATGTTCTGAATACTGTCCAGTTGCATGCCTCCATTCGAAAGGTTCTATCACAGCCGTTTGCTTTCATGTCCAAAAATATAAGTGGATTCTTCCACATTAATCTTTCAATCTTCCACATTAATATCCATCTCGTTTGATGCATTGAAGGACTATGCATTTATATTTCTTGTACTTAACGCCTGGTAATTGTAATCAGTGAAATTATAGGACTGTCTTGGAAACTTTATTCGTTTCGGAATTTCGCGACGTATAACATGAAACAAAGAACACATTAACAAGTAATCTCTCTATCTAATGTGCAAGAAAAATGAGTGAATATGTAACACAAAAAGGCAGCTATTGGCTCAAAAGTAATTAAACGTTATTTTTGACTGATCTGACCAGGCCATATATGTGAAAAGCTCACATCACGAATTTTTTTTTTCTGTTTTCCTTTTTGGCCACAGAAATACGATGAAGGGAACTCTCCCACGGCTTGAAATCAAATTGTCAGAAGAAAAATATCGGCAACTTATGCAGGTATTTCCATCAATGCTGTTTCTTTTACGGTGTTTTTCAACCGCATACTTCAAACCTCATTTTATATTTTATTTTCTAGTTTATCTCCAACCTTCCTTTACTCACTGAACCTTTGGATGACAATGAAAAATACGGTTTATCCCACACAACATATCCAGTGGTAAGATAATTTTTGCAACAAACTGTATCTGCATGTAAACTTTTAAGATCTTGAGAACTACACGCCATCGCGTCTTCAGTATTCAAAATAAATTCTAATGAACAGCGATGGCTAGTGTTTGTCACAACGTGTTAGTTTGCGTCGGTGAAAACCACCTGCCTAACTAACTCGATCAGTTAACTCGATCAGTTAAAACCCCACAATAACCGCTGATCTGTAATCTATAACGTTTGCCGTAACAAATCCTTTTCCCCAATCCAACCAGTGAAACCAACCTAATTCACGCCCGCGATAATTTAAAATTAATTTTTGATTGCTAGACCCTTTCTCGGCATTCTTCGCGAATGTCCTTAGTGGAGGCATCCGATATTCAAATCATGACACGTGAAGCTCTAACAGTTTCGAGTGAACATCATGATGGAGAATCTTTCTACGACGCTGAAGAAAAATTCATACATATCGATGGTATGTCTTTGTTTACAATCACGTGACGTTTTTTACAGACGTACAACTTCATGGCGTTCTCGTGATTTCATGGCAACCAAAGAACGATGTGCACTTGTGCAACAATCCTTATTTTAGCTCATTAAGCGTCACTTTACTTGTCATCTCGACCATTGCATGCCTGGGCTATCCTGGAAAGTGTTTGTTCTCTGCAAATGATAAAACTGCGGATTAGGATTCCTATGTATTTGTTTTCTTAAGCGGCCAGGTAGACGCTTCTTCATTCAAAATTCACGAAGTCCGAGGCAATTCTCTGATTTAATGAAATCTTAAGTCCGCCAGCTAGGCAATCTCGGAAATTCATCGTCTCTTTTTCAGATGACGAGGAATGGGTTTTAGCTCCCGATTATTTCGAAGAAAAGGATCCTGAGATTGACAAGGAACGTAATAACAGGTGTGAGCATGCAGTTATTCTAGAAATCAATTCCCTCGACGATGACTAATTCTGTAAAATATTTTCACTTATGGACATCCAAGGGTCGTGCATAACCTAAGGCTCCGTGTTGTACTCTACACGAGTGATTCGTAAAATAATTATACTTTTTTCTGATCTCCAGAATAAAGAGAGATGTTGCTTTTAAGGCTATATACATTGTTTTTACGATTTTTTTTAAACTTCTGTTGCTAATTAATTTGGTAAATCTTCTTTTTAGCGGGACAGAAAAACATCCAAAGGCGAATAAAATTAAATTGTCGGCCGAGTTTTCCATTGAAAAGGTGCGATGAAAGTTGATGATCAGCTTTATGCACATTTAATACTACAGTCTGCTCCTTTTAATCAGAAATATCTACCACTTGAATTGCACCTCATATATTTATTTACATTGACTGATATTCTTGACTAAATCCACCAAAAAAACGCAAAAGGTTTAATGAGAGGGATATTCGTGTTACCATTTCTTCCTCGACATAATCCATTGATGTTCTTTTGTATTTCATTACAGGTGTTTGTTGCGTTCAACAGATTCATACAAACAGTGGACGAGCCGTACATTTGCTTAGAAATAAATGAGCTCAGCTCAAATATATGTGTAATGCAATACGAGATGACTGTTTCCGCAAAACTTGGGTCAGTTCACCTCACAGATTATTTGTTCAGAGGTTAGTTGGATGATTAGTGTACAAACCCAGTAGTTGAACGGCAATTCTTTGTTCATTATGTGTAAAAATAAAGATTCCTTCGGCAATTTTGAAGATACTATGGTGATTATATATTAAGAAGAAAGTGCTGTTCGTGAATAATTTTATTTTTAAGTTAATCTGTTGATGTCAGTTTTCACAGATTTTGTTGTCATTATGTTCCAGATGTCGATAGCGGTCCACTCGTAGTTCTCAGCTCTATAGCTGAAAAAGAACTTATATCACTTTTCTACAGAAAGGTATGGTCAGCTTACTTAACTCAGTTTCATTGTCGTTACCCTCTTTTCCGTTCAAGAAAGAGAATGTTTGTTATATTTATCTCTGCATGATTGGTTTATAAGGTGGATTCAAACTGCCCGTATATGGATGAATCGTTTGATGGTGTGCAATGTTTAATAAAAACCGAATTCAATGCATTGAATATTCTGCTCCATCGAGAAGGGATAACAACATTTCAAAATTTCATTCTGTCTCTCATTGAAAGGTGAAGTGTTTTTACCCAGTTTAAAGTGTCACACTATAGTGCTTACTGCTATATGACTGTACAATGTTAGCTTCTCAATTTGCGAAAAAATAATTCTTATTTCCTTTGCGACTTATTTGATATGGTCAATTTGATATTTAGGAGTGAGAAACCAAACTTTCACAAGTTGGGTGAACGAGTAACATCCTATTTAGAAGTTATTCCGGAAGGGGTGCAATTGGATGTTGTTGCACTGAACAGCGAAAGTGAGTGAACACTCTGTAGATATTTAATCGGCAATGGTAAATTTCAAACATCGTTTCATCCTCCACACGTACAAATAATTCTGTATTTAAGTGACCATTGCAATTTGGTATTCTCAAAAAAATTCGTCATTCGTTTAAGAAAACGACGAGACTCCGGCACCTTTTGAAAAGACAACGATTGAAACAACACTTGACGAGGTTCACATAACATTTAGTGCAAACAATGAACACTTTTCCCTCACTAAAATAAAAGGTAAGATTTCTTACGTGTTTTGCTTGAGTTATAATGTAACAAGAGCTTCGAATTTTCATAGATTGCAATTTTTCAATAATAATCCGTCAGTTTTTCTCTCTCCCTTGCCCGGGATGAAATGGCTCATATACTTTTGAATACATCCTGCCCATGCACCGTAAGTGAAAATGAAAATTATCTGTGTCTAATTATTATTGTAAGGCCTCCGTGTGGACTCGTTTCTCGAGGATAAACAAACACACATAAAAGCAAGGTAAATAAAAACTGTGAAATTTTATGCGTAAGATGAAATTCGAATGTACGTCAACATGATGGATTTTTTAAAATACTTGTCATATATACAATAGACCATTTTTTTCCGATTCTTTTTCACAGATTGGAATATTTCACCGTTGAAAACATCACCGCGAATACTTCGTATAATAAAGTAAGTTTATATGAATAACGTTTGGGGTATGAACTTTTTATTTCGCAACATTATATATTCTGCGGTTTTTCACGGATTAAATACATGCCTAAAATGAGTGTAACTGGTGCGTAGCTTAATTAACTGAATTATTTCACATGGATATTCAACGACTGAGTTATAAATTGCATTAGATAATGCTTTAATCTTTTATAGATTTTAACAGTCGACGATGGGAATTTGTGTGATTTTGAAGTACAGTACTACTTTATATCGTTTTTCCCGCCATGCAAGATTATTTTCGGATGTTCCCGCATGCATGCATGAGTACAATAGACATACTGTTGTACGTAATGATCCATCCTTATTCTTTTCGCTTTTTCCTCCATTAGGCTACGATTTATTCGAAAACGAAGAGAACTAATCCCACCAGTGTGGACATGGATGTCCGTTGTCGTTTTGGCAGACTAAAATTTGTGTTTTTGCATAAATTTGTTTCAGAGATACAGGTATTTCTGTGATTCATTATGTGCTTGCGATATTAGAGAAAGCCAATGTACAGTATATTTTATAGAGCAACGTGCAAGGTATTTGTCTTTCTTTTGACGTACTAGGAGTTCTTCGCCTCTTTCGCAAGTCCTGAAACACGACAGTATGCTCAAAATGCAACCACACAGGCTGTACAAATGCAGGTACATACCATCGATACCCGTGATATAATAGTACTATAATATGACATGATCTTACCATCAGCCCAAACCTGTTGATGTTATCATGTGGTGAATTTCAGTATAATAATATACGTACATTTCAATTGTAGAATTGTACAACTACATTACTGTTTTAACTTTCATATAACTGAAAGGGAGGTCACGAAGGTCAAGACATATAGTCCATAAATTCTTGTCATTTTCCAATGTAGCTATATTTATTTTCAATTAATGCGCGCAATTTTCATTCTGTAAATTTATATAGGTCGAACAGCTTCAAAAAATGTCACCAAAAATCGGTCTAAAGGTTGATATTAGCGCCCCAGTTATCAAAATTCCCCTAAACGCTATTTCGAACGATGGTATCATAATTGATTTGGGCTCCTTGGTTATTCGTAATAAACTGGAAGAAAAAGAAACTAGCTGTGGAGGAATAAAAAATAGAGTGCTTACAGATAATATCAAGATTACTTTGGAATCCTTTAATGTTATAAGGTTTGATTTTGTTTTTATGGCTCGGGTGGCTATCATTGTATGGCTTCACCGCAGGGAAAAATCTTGGAAAAAACTTTTTAGAGAAAGGGGGTAATAGATTGATACCATGGGAACATTATGATCTACTATTAATATTATGCAATACATGGTGTGTCTAATTGCCAGTTTATTGATACCATGGTTACCAGGTTCTATATAGTAAAGGAAATTTGAACCACTACATGTACCGCATGTTCACCACCACAGTTAACAACTAAGTCACTAATTAGTAGTGTCAGGGAAAAGTAATTGGAATTTATCGTTTAAATTATATAATAAGTAAAGTTTTAACTTTATGTAATTCAGATTCAACCCCGCAGATTCATGGACAGGAACCCACAATCTTGTTGATCCAACTGGACTGGATATTGCGTTATCAAGATGTATCCATGGATTACGTCATCAAATGCCAGCCACAGAGATTGAAGCTGTATTACGGCAGCTAACGGTACGTACACATTGCTGATGATATATCAACCAAATTTTTGTAATTTCTGTTCCCAATTGAGAGAAAATAAAAAAAAATCGTTTTATGCCACAACATCATACTACAATATCTTTTCACGTGAATATATAAATTTAATTTTACACATTTTTAAACTTCTTTAGTTGTTTCTTGTTTTTTTTTCGCGCAGTCATATTAAAAAAATAACGCTTTATGCTGTTATTCACTTTTCTTATAGACTTCAGTCGATGAAAGTGATTTCAAATTGCTGATAGGAATTTGGGTGGAAAATATACAACACACATGTAACGATTATTATTAGTTCACCATTGTTCATGCATGATGTAGCACGCTTGTAGTATGACCTTTATTTTAATGTTCAAAAGTATTTTTAACACTTGTTCAAAATCGAGTATATATGAAAAAGTTTCAACGTGCAGGTGAATTTGTCACTTACGAAATTGCCAAGGTTGCAAGTATAACGTTTAAAGTGAAACTGGCTTTAGAAAAAGACGCTATAGATGTAAAATCTCGTGTTATATAGTGTTGCAAGAAACATATGAAGATGGTAGTGTCGACGAGTTGTCCCAAATGCCAGAGGCTGAACAACATTTGATTACTTTTGTTGATGGTAAAGATTTTAATGTTGAAAAAGTAGTTAGGTCGGATGTGTGATACCCATTTAACTTATAAACTGTGTTTCTTATAATGCAAACGTTGGTTCCACCAATAAACATGCACAACGATGTATGGTGTTATATACAATTACATACATTTCCAAACCAAGATATTTGCATTGATTTTGAATTATCTGCAGACAATATACGTGCACTCTATAACGATTATATTATACCTTGATCTACCTTGATCCGCTAGCTTGGGCGATCTTTTTCTTATTGACTACAGTTCATTTGGTAAGATAAAGGCGACCATGCTTGGATTCGCGGTTTGTGCTTTAATGATTCCGTGTATCCATTAACTTCATTACCGTCACGGCTGTCTGTGATATACAGTACTGATCAAAAGTATTCGAAACTGTGTTTCTTATAATGCAAACGTTGGTTCCACCAATAAACATGCACAACGATGTATGGTGTTATATACAATTACATACATTTCCAAACCAAGATATTTGCATTGATTTTGAATTATCTGCAGACAATATACGTGCACTCTATAACGATTATATTATACCTTGATCTACCTTGATCATTAACAGATTTCTTCACCAATTAAGGTCCGATAAAGACATCCCAAGATGTTAGCAGTGAAGTGGTTAACATGAAAATATGTGCTGTAATAGAATATGTAAGTGAATTGCATGTGATTGAAAACTATATGTATACTAGTTAGTATAAATAAATCCTGTTTTCGGAAATGCGCGTATAATTCAGATTTTGTAATTTTGCTTTCCAGGTTAGTTTGCAGTTCCCGCGTGCAGTGAACAAGAAGAGACTACCCTATCTTGAATTTAATGCGCAAAAGCTAAAAACAGAAGTAACGTTTAGTGAGAACAACACGTTTGGCTCCGCTAGCTTGGGCGATCTTTTTCTTATTGACTACAGTTCATTTGGTAAGATAAAGGCGACCATGCTTGGATTCGCGGTTTGTGCTTTAATGATTCCGTGTATCCATTAACTTCATTACCGTCACGGCTGTCTGTGATATACAGTACTGATCAAAAGTATTCGAACACCTCTTTTCGACCCTTACAAAAAAGCGTCGTCATACACAATTTAAAACAGAACCTATTTGAATGACTATTCCTATATTATAGAGCGTGATATTATGTTCTCCCTAGCATGCAGTTTTAGGAATTAATTGGTCACTCCCAAGTACATTTATGACCAAAGAAGTGGCATCTACCTCTACTTTTTTAAAATTCAATTATGTGAATTGAGAGGTATAAATCGTTGAATGAAACCATGAATTTTACTTGTGTTTTAGGCAGTCTTATAAAACCACTGTCAGTTTTGGAGTCATCGCGGAATAATGATCTTATCACCGTACAATTTCAGCAGGTGCTCAGTAAAGCTTAACTCAATACTGAGTGGTGTGTGCAGCTGTTTTCAGACTTTTAAACATTTTCAAACATTTTTGACTATTCAAACTGACAATTTTAGGAATTATCCCAATCTACTCCTCAAAAAAAGACACAGAGGTTGGACGTCTTGGCAACTATAATGAAACTGCATTTTGAAGAACGATCAATATTAGGAATTCAAGATCTTCTCAAGTCGTTTACAGAAAGGTTCCATTCCTGATTCCTCTCTTTATAAATATACACTAACTATGAATGCTCCGAATAAGGGAACGCGGCAATGACTATTACGTAGATATTGCGGGTGCATGTACATTCTACCAGAATGCATTGCTGTGCGAAAAGCGAGCCGTGCATTCAAGTCAGTCAAAAACACCAACAGTCCTCAGGATTTCACTGCATTACCTCGATGATTGCAAACAAAACGATATCCTTGGGTTCAAATCATCCACTTAATTCAAAATGTAACTGTAAAGCTGCATGCATGGGCAGGGCCGTAGCTTGAAGCTTAATTGGGAGTGGGGTGCGTATTCATCGTCTATGCCCGACTGATTTCTTTTGTGCGCTTTTGTTCCTATGATATATATGCATATCAACATGACATATATGTATATCAACATGAGTATATGAATATACACGGCACCCCCAATAAAGCAGTCTAACTATGGTCTTGTTCTATTTTGACTATTGTATGTAAATAATACTATATGCCGATTACAGTTTGTTTATCAATGCTCATTCATTTCAGGGATTATATAACATAAAACCATTAAACCCATGTAACGCCATTTTTTGTAGTTTGAAAGTATTAAACAATCCTGCTGGTCACGAGCTAGATGAGTGCGCTCAGGATGGAAAAAATAGCCCCGAACAAGTCGACAGTGATACAGAAGATGACCTGCCCAAAGGAAGTGATAATATGAAACTTACGGTGGTCCTTGACAAACTTGAAGTAATTTTAAGTCGCAAAGAACGCCAAATTGTTGGAGTAATTATAGAAGGTAAATTTATGACATTTTATGAGATGTTTCTCAGGTAGCCTTTCCTGCATGTTTGTTTATAATTCACTATTTCCCATGGAATTTACTTTGTCTTCGCATGCTGCTGAGAAATCTGAATCATTAAACTAAGATCTGTTGTTTTGTATATTGTTATTTTAAAGACTGATCGTACTTCCAAATGGAACTTACAGATCGTACTTCCAAATACTATCTTTCCGTTAAAATCAATAGCTCAGTTAAATTTAATAATGTTGAATTGACGCATTTTCAGATGTTTATACTGAAGTGGTTATTGATGATGAGAAGTGTGTAGTCATTTCAAGGTAACGGTATGAATTGTTTTAGAACTCAAAAATGCATGGAAATGTAATCAAATTGGTTCTTTTGGACCCCATGATTCTGGATGCCTTTCAAAGAATAATTCAGTATATGCATTTCAAGTATAGGACATGTCTTTTGTTTGCCTTTGCAATTGTACTGTCAAGGTGTCTCAAAAAAAACGCAACCACTTAAATATGCAGGAACATTAATACAGCTCTAAAGCGCAATAGATAAGCACCTCTGGGAATCGAAAATTGTTCTTAAATGACTTAATCCTTCATTTAAATTGCTAAAAGTAATTGTAGCTGAACTATGGTGCAAACCCGAACAATATTAATATTCTTGCATATTTAAGTGGTTGCGTTTTTTTTGAGACACCCTGTATCATATATATAGTTAATTGCAGCTATTCTGATTTTTAGACAAAAAGGATTGTCAGTTACAGATTTAGATCCATTATCCAACTATTCAAACGTGAGTACCGTTCATTTATAGAATAATGTTTTAACATGTTTCCTAGAGCTATAGGCTGTGATAATAGGGCATCTTGTACTTATTTTTCAGGTTATTTCAATTGAAGCAGATAGATTGTTTGATTTTGAGGTAAGTCATCGCCAAATATTTATTTATTTTTCAAAACTACAATGTTGTCCTTCATGCAAAGGAATCGTCTCCTGTCGCCTTCAGCTTGCTTTTGTAAGTTGCATACAGTATCGTGAAGCGGTTAATTCCTAGCTTTTTTTTAAATTACCATTAAAAAATTAAAACCATCGTGTTATATAGTACCGGACTCTTCCAAGCACAGTGACCTCAACCAACCGCGAGAAATTTCTTACCACTCCCCATAGTCAACTGTCTCTAAATATTGGAAAAATTCGCTTTGTATTTCTTTACAAATTGCTAACAGACATACAGGTAAGAGAAATGGTAGTCTTCTCATTGTCTCTTTCTGTGTCTTCTTTGGTTTACATCATGTGTCATTTGTAGGCATTTTTTCAAAGTCTTGTTAGTCGTGAAACTACGTCATACAGTTATGAGCTCGCACAAAAGACAGTTCAAGAACAGGTGTGTGTTTTCGCATAGATCACAACACATCAGAACTATTGATGTGTATAATTATTATTACTTTTTCTCTGGGAGGCAAATTAGTCTCCAAAGTCCGGAGAGATTCGGAGCACAATTCGTTTAACTTCGGAGGGGGTGAAATCTTTACAACAGTAAATTGTTTTTTTTTTCATTTTTCGTCAAATAATGGATCGCTTAGGAACTGTTCAAGAAGATTCTCTTTAACTCACTTTTTCTAATATTTAGCTTGAAAATATAGAGACGCAGGGAACAAAGATTGCCCTCAAACTATCCATTGCAGCACCATTGGTAATCTTACCAAGTCATTCTAGAGCAACTGATTGCCTTATCATAGACTTAGGCTGCCTAAATGCTAAGAACCAATTCATTCTGCGAAAGAATATGGATAACGCGGACAACGAGGTCGTCGTTGATAAAATTGATTTCGATTTAGAATCTGTACAACTGTCAAGGTATGTTTATAGATAATGACGTATTTGCTATCCAGGGTCGCCAAGAGAGGGGGGAGCAAAAGTGGCAATTTTTCCCTGCCACTAAAATGCTATAGGAAGGTTCAGGTCATTCATTCTCGCATGCAATAGTACAAAGTTGCAAGATTTTTCCCCGGGCCCCAAAAACTCTCTGGGCGGCCCTGGTGCTATGATTGGTGCTATGTAGTCTACGATATTTCGTAGGAGTTTTACGCGGTAATGTAGTTCGGCCATGGTTATTTTTAGTGTTAGGTATCACACTTGGAATTAGTAAGTATTGTAGCTATATAACAACGGAAACTTTATTTTGAAATCATCCTAGAGACTGATAAATTCTTATGTATTCTGCTTTATGGACAGAATCTCATCCAATTCTTCTCTTCTCAGTTTAATTTATTCTCAGTTTTATTTTAGTTGAATTTGTTTTCATGTTTTGTTTTCAGGGGTGTGCTGGATTTGGATTCAAACACAATGGCCCGTCGCCTATTAATGAACCCCCTGAAGATGACCTTAGTAATAATGCGCTCTATGAAATCTGAAGCACGTTGGTTACCTTATTTGAGCTTAGAAATAGGATTGGACCATGTTGAGGTAACCTGCAACTTCTGGTCTTAACCGTTAATAATATAATGATAGGTATAGGAAATGTCGTGTCATTTCCTTGCTTAATACGCCACTGCCCCGCTATATGGACTAGCGAGTCAAGATATTGCTAATTATTCACTTGTAAATATTTAGATGAGATTAGACGAAGCAGATTATCAGTTGCTCGTTTCTGCAATGCAACAAAATTACGCCGAGTCACATGTCGTTTTTGATAGCACATCAGGTGAGAACACCTAATATATGACGTGTAAGAAAGCCGCCTTTTTTTAAGGAATAATACGATCAGCCTAACATTATTAATCATCCATTTTATCGTCAACCATGCAGGTTTGTCCTCTGGTGATGTATTTGTTGGTGAGCCAAAAGATTATTCAGATACATCAAGGGGGCTTGTTCAAGAGAGAACAATACAAGGTACGGAAAGGTTCACAGGTTCACGCTTTTCAGTAAACTGTGAAACGAGGAAGCTAGACATTAGATTATAGGAAGCAAGAAACTGATTTGTTTTAATGAATGCATTGTATAAGTTGTATTGGTTTCTGATTATGTAAATTTCATCGACTTATTGGATGTTTACATCGTACGTATAATTATGTCATTTCAATACTTCCCGTGTGTGTTATATGCGTGGACTTTTTTTATCTTCCAGTGGAACAAAACACAGTATGGGATACGACTGTAGTTGTGTTTGCATTTTCTGGTCTCAGTCTTTCTTTGTACAACGATGAAAACGACACTGTAAGTTAACTTTTATTATATTTTTCTCATGACAAGGATCATATTAATCTACCCAGATCTTGTTGGAACATTGTATACAGCGCTTTTCAGTTTTACAAATTGCCTTTTTGTTCCGTAGAAACTCTCCAAGGTTTCTTTTCAACTACACCGTACAGAAAAAACGCTTTGCACGTGCGAGCTCCAGAAAAGCAACGGCACCGTCACAGTACGTAGTGATTCGTCCATCGATCTTCGGCTTTACCTCTATGGTTGCATTATTGAAGACGCGCGACCCAGCAAAATGACTGCTTTTCCAAGGTATTTAACCGTAAACACTTTGACCAGCAGGGCCGTAGCTAGAACGGGTAATTGAGGGTGTTAATTTATATACTCATGTTTACATACCGTAAGAACAATCGCTTTCAAAAGAAATCCGTCTTTAAACGTCCATATTTGAGAAGTGGTTGACGATCGGCGTGAATCTTATGAGAATCGACATCGAATGTGATTCAACCACTGCCTAAAGTGTACCAAAAAGTCTGTAAAAGTGCATTAACTGAAGGAAAACCTTTCAAAGTTACTGTATGAGTTTTTTCCAAGAAGCTTGGTGCCACCCAGGCGACCCAGTTCTCTTTTCAATGCTGTAATCAAATTTTGATTTTTTCTATAGAATGCTCTCACACAAAACAGAGCAAAAACATGGAAGACGTTCTCAGTTTAAGTCCAACAACAAAAACCGTCCTAGCATGATCGAAGTTTCATACAAACAAACACCTGTTGGACAAATGATTGGTATGTAAGGCGATCCGAATTTTAAATTTGTTAAAAGGAGCGAGTTAATAGATGCATGTTAATACCTCCTCAATGTTTTTTTATTACCCTTATATATCAGATGCATGATAATGCCTCCTCGATGTTTTTCTATTACCCTTATATATCTGTTAAATGATAATACCTCCAGGTTTCTTTTATTATACCCTTATATATCTGTTAATAGATGCATGATAATACCTCCTCAATGTGTTTTTTTTCAGTGGACTTAACTATGCAAGATCCAGTATTGTACATCAGTTTTCCTCTTCTGTGGTCATTACTTGATTTCTTCGCCGTAAACTCTAATACTGAAGCTGTTGTGTTTAATGATGCAGGTATGATTTATTAGGGTACTCTCGGTTCCATTTGCTCTTCCACGGCTTATATTATTGTGGAGCTGATAAAACTTCAGCCTAAAATTTCCAGGTACTACCCTGTCTCAGTCAACAGGAGACCACGACAGTCAATCTTCAGCTTACGTCCTTGAGGTAAATGGAGCCTTAAACAACCCTGAGATAGTGTTGTTAGGAGAACCTGAAAACCCAAGCAGTTCCGCCCTAATAGTTCAAACAAGCATTGAATTTGAGTATAAACTGGTTGATAACCAACAAAATTTCTCAACGACGAGCAAAGACCTTATTGTTCATTCTTGTCGATATCCTGATCGGGAAAAAACACTGTACAAGGTGAGCCTGGAATTGTATTGTTTAAAATAAGTACTTAAAGCTCTCTCTGAATCGACATTCCATGAAACATTGCTGATTTTACCGAACAATGTTGATTAAAGCTTTTGAATTTTAGAACTTTTTATAACCTGAGCACAATTTCATGAGAGCATAATAATTATGTATATGCTTGTAGTAGCAATTAAAAGATAAAAGCAATACGCAATGATACATCGAAATCTTGTAACGACAGGTTGTTAAACCTTGCGCCATCGATTTCCGTTATTCCTATCCCGGCAGTGATTGCGAGGGGCAAGAAATTAACCTCTGTGTTCCACAAATGACAATAAAAGCTTCTCCATTGTTGCTGAAAACGCTACTGGCGATCTATCAGTCATTTTATGGTGATCAAGAGGTATGTCAAATATCAGCATCTATCAGAATAAGATAACATAATAGAACTGATAACAAAGATTTCTTTTTCCAATGAGTAATATTAGTTCATGAAAAAGTATAATAATTTATAGAGAGCAAATACTTTATGTATTAAGATCACAGAGGAACGCACACCCCAGCCAGATTTGAATGTGGACCAAAACGTGGATCTGTGGCGTCCTCAACCAATATGCAAAGACGACTGGAAACAAGATCGGGGTTAGTAATATGCTTGATACGTGAACGAAAGTATGAAACTCAACTTGATTCATTATGAAATCATTATTACATTCTTCAACATTTTCCCTCTGTAGCTCCAGTTCGTTTACCATCGAGAATCCATTTAAACACAACTGTAACTGAAAAGGTATCTCAAGATATTACACAGCTATTTGTGCCTCAATAACAGGGAGTCTTCATTACCGCCAATTACCACGATCCCATAATCATAATTCATCATAATTCCATTGAGTGCATGCCTCATATTATTGTATACTTTAGCTTTCCTTGGAGATGAAATCAGTCCGTTTAACTCTTTATAATGAAGTCATGGGCCATCGCGTGCCACTCCTGTTGATGAATTCCAGTGTTGTTTTTAACTTGAAAGACTGGAGCTCTGAGGTTAGTAAATACTTAACTCTGAACTTTTAACATTATTTAAAGGAAACAACCCACTCACATGTCCAATAAACTAAACATCACGACGAAGTCTATTGCGCATTTTTTAAACGTTTTGCAATGATAATTTACGTTGTGTATCGGAGGAAAAATATGCTTGTATTTTTATCTTTGATGCAGCTAAAACTTGTAGCTAACTTATCTCTGGAAGCGTGGTATTATAACGAGACATTTGCAGCCTGGGAACCACTCATGGAAAGTGAAGAAACATTAAATGAAAGACACCTCTGGCAATTGGAACTGAAGGTACATATGTCAATCTTCATTTGCTTAGATATTATATAAATTATTGTGTATATGTATACTTCAAATAAGCTCGATAAAGGCTATTGTTCAATATTTTAGATATTTAAAGCCGACAGTCACAGTCTGTCGTTCACACCAGACAGCGAAGAACAAAAATTGATTGATAAAGAGGATTTTAGAAGCTTAGCTTCGTCGCATGTTATTGAAAGTTCCAGGTAATCTATATAGGTCACGATGCAAAATAAGCTAGGTATTAGATTCGTCCCGGCTTAACTCATGATTAATGCATGAAAACATGAAAACGGGTTATTAGTAAAACCTTAGTTCCATGGTGGATTCGTGGGGGAGGTCACTGACTAGTACCCTTCAAATCTTTCATATGATTGTCTGACAACGATATTTTTCGTTTCAAGCCCCGTTTTACACCAACGAAGCCCAGTTCAATTTGCAACACCAGATTTCGACCAGTATCGCTCTCAGACATCTTCTGACATGCTGACCCGAGGCGGTCACTTCAACGTGAGTGAAATTCGACCACTAGAAATATTCGACGATGCGGATAGTTATCTGAGCCATCGCTCGCCACTGTTGTCAGAATGTAGGACGGATGTATCATCAGATATTCCACAAGCTACGTATATTGTTCTGAGTTCTGAAGATATAATGCAGTTAACTGTCACACGTCCAGCTGTTGATGTCCTTACTGAAATTTCTGTGGTAAATGAAGTTTATAAATATTTTAATGTTCTACACCTCATTAGATCTGTAATATGCATGTTATTGCTCCTTGATGTCTTCTGCCGTGTTGAGTTCGTGAACAGGGCTACAAAAGTAGGCACCACACAAGAAAATTCTTAACCTAATAATAAGGAATTGTTCATGCAATTAATCGTCTTAGATTTTTGCCGACGTTACCTCAGCAGCTCCAAGTGAAACAGATGTGATGGAATCGCCGTTCGTTGTTGTTAATGACGTAAGAAATATATTATGTTAATAATATTACGATAAGACCCTATCATACCTATATAGTGGTTTAAATTTTTCATTGCTTAGCAAAATAGCACTTTGATGAATAGGCACCTGTGCTGTTCAGTATGGCCCTAGGTTATACGTCGCATTTTGGTCGCGTCGAATGCAATTCAAACAATAGATAATGAGAAGATAATGAAGCCTAATGAGGTTTATCAGCTCATTATCTATTGTTTGAATTGCATTCGACGCGACGAAAATACGACGTTTAACCTAGGCTTATATGATGCATGAATTATTACGCTTAATTTTCATCAATTATTAACTATACGCTCACGGCTCACCTTTTATTGTTTTTCAGCTGGGGATCAACACATCCGTATCTTTGAGCTACCGCCATGAGGTTGGTTGATTTGCAACCAAATCAGTTTTTCATTCAAACATTTTCATCCTCTAAAATTCCTGGATTTTCCTCCCTTTAGACAATTCAGAAGTCGACGCCAGAATTAACTATTACAAAAAGAAATCGCATGGGATATGCAGACGGTTATCAAGATACCTCAAAGAGTTATCCAGCTGGGCTTTATAAATTAGATACACCAAGGGATAAAACAGGTGTTTCAATGTTGAGTAAAGATGACAGTGTTATACAAGAGGATCAAGATGATATGGAAGGTGAGGATTGCATAGCTTATGTGCATGGGAAAGATGGCGAAATAAAGGTGACGAAAGAGAAGAAATTTACTCGCAGCATCTCTATGCCTGCGAAAGACATGCGTACTATGGTAAAACTAGTGGAAGAAAAGGAGCGTAAAAGGAAAAATCCTGTAAAGCGTCTCGTAGATGTCGTAGCTGAGAAGCATTCTCCGGAGGCAGTTGAAACAACGATACATGAAAGCGAAGAGGTAATTGTTCCAGAAATGAAATTGGGTATAGATTTACACGATAAAGATACTGAAAGAGAACCTAAAGATGGAGAAGATGCGGTTAGGTTTGATAAGAAGCCTAAGAATGAAAGGAGTTCTGAGGCAAAGAAGAGGGTAATTTTGGACAACATCGATGAAGATTCACCGGATGGAGAAAAGAAGCACGAGGAAAACAATGAAGCAGAAACAAGTGGCAATGAACAGGGTATTAAATTGTCCATGTTTTAAAGTAACTCGATATGTTAATAATGACCAGTGCCGAGAACGTTTTGTTTATTTTTCTGTAGCACCAAGCTTTATATCTGGTGCTTTTGCTACAATGGGTCTTATTGCCGGAATAAGTGGTCATCCAATCAGTAGCGCAGATCAGTTGATTGGGCAACCTGCTGAGGAGAAAAAGGAAGTCTTGTTCGAGAGGCCAGAATACAAGAAAGCAGACGACTATATTTCTATTCAGGTGAAGAAACGATTTCAACGGGTTTTTTATCTAGTATTCCTAGCGCTTTGCCTTGTGGTTATAGTGGCCGGTATCACTGATACTCAAAACAGATTTTTTTTGTCCCGTCAGCCGTCAGGCATCAAAGTTTTGGTGGGCGATGGCGAACGAAAAAATCTTCGTGAAAACATTTGATATTTTTTTGAGGCCGTTTTCCGATATCAGTGGATATCACTACATAATGTGAAGCGCAATTCAAAGGGTAAAACAAACCTAATTTTCTGTAAAAACTAACAATTTTCTATTATTGATGGTCAAGATTGCTGGTTTTGACGAATTGTCGTTCGTTCCTGTATCTCGTGCTGGTCGCTTTCTCTACCAACTTTATCCTAAAAAGGTCTGATTCTATTCCACTTTGTCGAGCCAATCTAGTATTAATACAACTACTAACAGTAAATTTCATTATAATTTTTTACAGCGTGGCAGGTATTGTTATATCGTAGTTCAAATCGAAATTGAACATAGCCAAAAGCGAGTCACTATCCGGGCGCCACTACAGGTGAAGAACAACTTAGATGTAGCGATTGATTTGATTGAAGAAAATGCAAGTAAAGAGGGAAATGATCGAAAGATCTGCACCATTCAACCGAAGGAAGTTGGAAACCTACCCCTGTTTAATGCTCACAAAGAAAAATTTTTTCTCAAGCCAGCAGCTATCGATGGGTAAGATGCATGTTACATTCGTTGAACTCCGTAGATATTCCTCTCTAATGTTTTCAATCGTACACAACTAAAGCAACTTGCATGTTTAGTGAAACGATTATCAACTATTAAAATTAAATTTTTTGGCTGCACTTTGTCAGTTGACTCAAAATTAGAAATACTAATTATATTTCTGTGGGACTACTCGATCTTGCATCTTTACGGCGGATGGGGCGTGCAGTAGGTCTCCACTACCACGAAGCCCAGTTAAGCAGTTTACACTCAGTAGCAATTTAAAAAACATTTAGGTTCAAGAAGAGCACAACTTGGGTTTCTTGGCAGCATTTGTCGGACGAAAAGCAAACGAGTATTGTGACCTGCTTACCCGAGGAGGCCGGACCAAATTACGCATTTTGTGTCAAGGTAATATACTAATTCTTTGATCTCTGACTCATGAGAACAAGCTTGCCTTCCAAAAATCTCCTTGAGAACCTATAAAATAACAAAAAGATACGAAACGCTTTCTTAAAATGCGTATAATATCGTGGAATAGTTTGATAGTCTCATGAACTTATAATCCTCTAAAGTTCAGACCATGCAATACCTCTTCCGACATACATAAATTACCTTTCAGGTTCTTTGCGAGAGAGACTCACTAAACATATATCCTTCAAGAACCGCTCCACATCACATTTTACAACTTTATCCCACAATTAGCTTTGGAAACTTTCTTCCATTTTCCGTAACGTTGAAACACGAGGTAAGATACATTCTATATATATCGCGTATAAAAAGGTAGTATGTTCTTTACGTGGGATATACGAATCTTGTTATGGTTCAGATTTGTTGACCAACAAAACGGGACTAGATCGCCAAGCTGGCTACACAACATTATCTTATTTAACACAATATTTGTAAACTTTTCATGCAGGATTCAGATGTTGAAATCATGAACATTGAACCCGGAAAGCGTCATCAGCTTACATGCGTGACAACGAATAAACAATCGACATTTTTGCTGAAGGTATGAGGTCATCAGTAGAGTTGCTAACATTGTCTATATGTAAACTTGAAAGTTTCCCTACCCCTGCTAAAAGGGTTCCAAACTCTCCCCCTGCATTCAATGTATTGTGGTTTGCATGAAAAAGAGAGACAAACGTATTGTTGACGTTTCCAAAATTTGACCTGCACGAAGCGAAATTGGCTGGTGTCACCTTAATCCCAGGTTTTCCTATATTTTTTTACCTGACCAGGAGTAAAACACAACTTTTCAGTGGGATTGAATTCTTGGTACTCTGTATTTCAGGCCTGCTGTACCTGAAAATATTAAATGACTATAATTCACGTAATATAGGTGGAACAATACATGAAGACGTCTTGGAGTGGCTTGTTTAAACTGGGTGGTGATAGTCAGCCGGATCTTTTGATTGAGATGCAACCAGAGCGAGATGTATATAATAAACTGGTGGGTAAATAATAATTCGACATTTCGATGTACGCTTCATCATGCATGAATGCATGCATGATCTCCAATTCACGTGTTGTCGATTGACTTAATTTGTGAATAGAAGATGCGCTACTTGGCATATGTTTTAGGATCAGGGGATGATAGTACTTCAAGGGCAACTCTAAACCCTATATAGCTGGTGATGTTGAAAACTAATTTAAAGAATTCTAAAATTTTAGTTCATACGTTTCGAGTATATCGACAAAGGAAGCCTTGGTGTTAATTTTTATTCCTCCTACTGGATGGTTAATAAAACAAATTTAAGCATCGCGTACAGGGTATGTCTTGCATGATTAGTTTCATTTCTTGTACTGGTCAAGATTGTTAAACTCATTAGGCGAAAAGTTTCTTGTCTTATCATGCACGTGTCTTTTATTTTTTAAATTTTTTGTTTGTTTAAATTGTTTGTGAACAACCAACTTTGTTCGTCGACTCGGAGAATGCAATGCAAACTGGTCAATTGTTTTAAAGATGTCACCGTTTTTTAGGCGACAAAAAGTTCAAGTGAGACATACAAGCAAATGGCATCTGACACCGAACCATTACTTTTTGAATCATCTAACACTAAAAAGGTAAATAGTGTAAACGTAATTAATTTGATGAAAAATTTAGGGTATTAAACAAAAGAAGAAAAAACTCATTGCTAACGACTGTTTTAGTTCCCCTGAATATTTCTACCAAATTGTTTGAATATTAGAATTTACACTTGAAAATACCAACTGTGATCACAGAAAATTTGACAGTGTAAACCTGCCCTAAGACGTTTGAAATTTTTAGATAATGCTAAAGCTTCACGGTTGCGATTGGTCGAAGAGTTTTTCCTTGGACGCTCTGGGAAATGCCGGCGATTTAGTGTGTGAAGAGATAAAAACTTCCAGAGAGTATGAGGTAATGAGAAATATCCAGATTTGAAGAGATACAATTCATAGACATGCAACCATGCACTCTTCACATCACTCTTCACTCTTCATAGCATAGGAAGAGTTTTGATGACTGGACATTTTGCCGGATTGATATAATTACACTGTACCTTCCACTTGTATTTTATGTCTATTTCTTTTATGTAGATGGCTATATCCATTGAGTTATCCAGTAACCGACTGACTAAAATCCTGACAATAATGCCCAAATTTGTAATTATTAACAAAACTGAGGTATAGTATGTTGCGTACGTAGATTGCTATATTCTCCTATTACTATAATATAACCACCTGATGTGGCCTGAAAACTAAGCAACCATTTTATAAAATTATCACCAATATGTATAATTAAACCATAACTGACGTTTTTTAACAGCGTGTGCTGTCAATTTGTGAGACCGGCCAGAAGGATGGACTTTGGATAATCATAAAGCCAAATCAGGTAACAAGTGTATAATATTTCTCCATTGATTTATAATTTTTTTTGTGAAAAACCTAGCATTTGATACATAAGAATCATATAATTTTTCCTTAAAAAAATATAAGCATATCCTCTCATTACGTTTGTAGTGTGTTCCGTACTGGCCAATAACTAAGTCCAATGCATTTCTGGTGAAATTGTCAGACAGTATGTTAACTTCAAAGGTTATACGAATGGATTCGCTCTTCCCAGCAATATTTAGGGTTGGTCATGGTGTTTTGTTGGAAATGAACACAGAGATTACGGAAAGTTCCACTACCATAGTCTTTACACAGGGGTGCGCTAGTAATTTACCCAGGCTCGAAAATCTATGTGAAGATATTTCAATCAAATTACATCAAAAGTAAGTTGATCGGTTGTAGCTACAATTCAAGCAAACATAGTCCAGAAGTGACACGTTCTTTACAATCGGCAGGGATTCAGGCACAACGACCGTCCTTTTACCACTGACCTCTATTGTTTATCTGTGGGATGAGCCTGGCGGGGACCTTACGTTGTTATGGCAACCTGAGAATTACCACAATCACCCAGAAAACATTCCTCTTAATAAGGTAACTCCTTAATGCTCTATTGTGAATTTGATGGAGGATAAATTGGTGTTTATTTTATCCTGTGTCATCTTCATCAATCTTGTTTGATATTTTGATTTTTCTATGAACTTCAGTAATTAACCAATCGTGCGGAGATGTTTTAGTTTGGTTTAGTTTAGTTTAGGGATTGCAAAGTTCTTTTTACTAAGAAATAAAGATCTATGGTAAAAAAAAAGGAAAGGCGTATTTCTAAATTTTTAAATATAATTCAGCCAAATTTACTGTCTAATCCCTCAGATCTAAACGTCGAGATGTTTTCGTCTATCTGACAAAGTTGTTATACCACCTTTTCGAGAACCTGCGGAACATTTATAATTATTCTGTACTTTACCTAGGATGGGTTTGGTCATGTTAAGTTGCGTTCCAAAAAAAAGAAGTCGTCTAGTATTGGCTGCATGGGAAGACGATCAAGACGTTTATCAGAACCTGTTACGCAAATGGAGCCACCGGAAAGCAGGCGCAAAAGCGATCGTGAATTTATCGTAGGGAAAACGATTTATTGGATGTCTTTTTTAGACGGTTTTCAAAGAGTAGTTACTTTTACTGATGATCCAATAGTCGCAAGAGAAACGCGTAAGGTATGCGCGACGGGACATTTTGCTCTTGTACAACCAAAGAATAAAATCTGTCTGATTCATTCCAGTTCTATAATAGCGGCATCAACTATGTCCTTTCCCACATGATTCTGCTTCTTGTTTATAACTATAGTCGAATAATAATTTAATTTAAAGAAAAACATAAAACTGTGACAGGCTATTTAAAGAAATTATTCCCACAGAGATTATATATTACTCGCCCAAATGCACGACACTACACGTCAAGAAAAATATTATATAAATAAATAAGGCTTCAAGAATATGTAATAGCAATACATGTGATTTGTTTACTAGCAATGTGAAGGTGAACCTGTTACCACTGAGATATTTTTATCACTTGATGGTGTTCGATTATCTGTCGTCAACCAAGAACAATCAGAAATTATCTATTTAGGCATCTCAAGGTACGCATTCTATTTCTTTGGTCGCCAGCCTTCATTCTTACATTATATCATCTTACATCACACAAAGCCACCCAGAACCTTTTAGGCAAGAATGATTTTATGCAATAAAGATGCTATATTTTGTTCCATTATACTTTATCTTAACTCCATCCATTTTTTACAGCGCAACATCTATTTGGGAGGTGGAAAAATCCCCCAAAAAATGGAGGGTTCTTAATGTGGAAACATCTTCAATCTTAGAAGAAGCTTGGAGGAACAATTTTCCCACGCAGAAGCTGGCTAAGGATGTTGAGGTAACATTAAAGTCGATGGCCTTTCGTGAAAAAATTAACCAGGAACTTTGTTCTTGACTTCACAAATTTTTTAAATTTAGGTCGACTTTGATACGATGACGTTAATAAAGCCTTATCGTGGTTCATTAAATAGAAGATGTGAACCAGGACTTTGGATACACTATTCCGCATCTCTTAATTATGAAAGTTTTTCCGCCAAAATTCATCGGGTTCAGGTAAGCTCTCCGTTTGCTCATTTTACATATTATTATAAACATTCTATATTAGGTTGCGTACTGTACACCGTCTGTGCATGATACATGACACATTGTCGTATACGTAAACTCTCCTTTTCGCCAAAAAGCTTTTATTTAAACTATTTTTTTCCAGATTGACAATCAAATATTCGGGACCATTTTTCCGTGTGCCTTATATCCATCGCCTCTGCCAAGTCTTATTACTCAAAGATATGGTAAGCTAATAATATGTTTACAAACCAGACAAATTTCAAAGATGCATATCGAAAGAATAACAGAAATCTTTTGCAGGATTCAAGCCATTTTTTGAACTATCCGCCATCTACCGCAACGATACTAAGCACAATTTCCTCCATCTTAGGTAAAGCTTATATTTGACATTTTGTTTTATCACTGCCACAGTTCCCCTCATGCAGAGATTTCTGTGAAATTGACTACTCATACAAAACACCTTTGTTCATTTTTAAACATGTAGAACATATAGAAATTCAACTGTATGAACAGTTTTCGATAGAAACATTGCACAATTAACACAATGCCAACTTCCTTTTCTTTATTCACAATTTTTCAACGGGTTTTCCAAGCTCAGTTTCCGTGTTCGGAAATATAGGGCTTGGTATGACCGTTTCTATGATACCGTTATACTATGGCAGAGCACGCCATTTAATCACAGAAACTCCGTGACAAATAAAAACAACTCTTATGTTCCTTGCCAGGTATTTTAAAGTTCTAATTCAGGAAATGAATATTAAGCTCGAGAAGGAGTTTCTTCGTGCAATCTACAATTTAATCTATGGCGACGACACAAGTGAACAAGATGCGGTAATTATTAGATGCAAAATTTTCTATGGAAGCAATTTTTCTTGCGCAGTTTCTTAATATCAACATTCAAATGTTTATCAGCAAGTTGTAAAACGTACCTTCACTGTAAGATTCTCTGCAAGTCAGAATTCCTTGCGGTAATAATATATTTCAGTTATCTTGAAATTGTCGTCAAAGTGAGTCCATCTCTCATTGCATAGGCCTGCGCAAAATTGAATCTGCCTATTCTTATTCCTGTTTCCATGGTTACGACTCCAGAAGATTTCTACCACCTCTATATTTTATTTAAATATAGGAGACACTTTTTAACCAGGACTTACGAAATATGTCACTTACATTGGAAGATACGTTGATCAAAAGTGTAAGTAAAGTAACAAACTTTATAACATTGAACAAAGGCAAAACATGCTGAAAACGCATTTTAACTCCATCGCCTTTAATAGGCATAATAGATTTCAAAAAATTTTGCGGTCTTTAAAGACTTTGACCTTTAATGCACTTGCTTCTTAGGACATTTTATTTTACTATGGGCGTTTTTGATACACTCTATATATAAGTATAAATTCTTTAAATATAATGTCATTCTTGCAATCCAAAGAAGCATACAAAATATGGCGCTTAACAATTCGAGTCAATATATCGATGGTTAACTCGCACACTGATTTTACCATGCAACCTCAAATTTAGGGTTCTTTGGATACACATCGACTGTTTCTCGAAGTGTTTCACCTATCTCCATTGAAGGTACAGTGTATATGTATGGTGTATGCATATAGTTGCTTAATTGCCTAGGAATAGGACAGTAGAGGTTTAAAGGGTCTTAATTACCAGTGGAATTATACACACTTGAAATTCAAGCCGGGAACAGTTGGTGGAAGAATGAGTCAACTATCGATCCTCCGGCAGGAATGGAACTTAGGCGTTTGCGATGCCGGTGCAATGCTCATTTTTTTATTCTCACCTATTTCCGGCATTACCATCCTATACACATTAACCCCCCTTGCTCTTGTCAGTTACCTCTGTAGCTCAGTTGCAAGAGCATTGCAACGGCATCGCAAAAGAGTAGGTTCGATTCCTGCCGATGGACGGATAGTTGACTCATTTTTGCAACAACTGTTCCTGGCTTGAATTTGAAGTGTGTATAATTCCACTCAAAATTAAGACCCTTTGAACCTCTACAATTTACCTGCATCGAGTGAAGTGTCAAAAATCAAAATATATTTGTATAGCTCTTTTGCAGCGCAATCCTTTATTTTAATTCAGGTTAATCTCAGTTTATCCCTCAGAAGTGGGCTTTATCAATCTGAAAAACATGGCGATTCGGATCTTTTTCAAGTTCTAATCAACTCCGTTGGTTCGCCACTGACAGAGGTTAACGATGTTTTAATAAAGTAAGGATTAATAAGTAATTTAATTCACATGCATCGAGCAAGTCAAAGTAATTTGATCCACACTTTAAGCTCCAGATATATTTGGATACAGAATATTTATTTTATTTATGAAGTTTGCATGTTCGCTGAACAAAGGTCAAACCGGAAAGCAAACTGGATATGCATGAAAGCCGTTCATATACTGCTCTGTTTCGAAATAAAATAATCAAATAAAATCCTTGGGAGTGTTACTTAAACAGTACGATGGCAAACAATATAAAATAATAAGAGAAATGTTGAGTTTAGTCTTTGGAAAAGGTCGCGATCAAGTGTGTTTTGACCTCCAGAGGCTAACTGAATTATTTGTACATTGTTATAATGATTGTTTCCTATTCTTCTAAAGGCTGGCTTATTTTGAAAGAGCTGGTCTTTTCATAACAGAAAACTCTCTGATTTCAAGTGCTAAGAAGCATTACACTTGGCAGGTATATCAACCACGTATATATCATGTATATTTGTTAAATGAGAAAATGAAGTTGTATAAAGCTCGTTAATTCAATTATTTGTTACGTTATATACGTTTTAACGTTAATTCGTTAATTTGAATATTTTCTCCTATATATTTTTTAAAGGCTCTCCGGCAATTTCACGCCATTGCACTAGGTCTGGATGTTCTAGGAAATCCCTATGGTCTTCTCACTGATATAGGTGAAGGTGTAAAGGACCTATTTTATGAACCATACCAGGTAAAGTAATGTTATTAGAGAAACGAGGAATCGATTTTTTTTCTAGAAGCAACTAAAAGTGAATAATTGTGTTATTGTTGTGATTTTAGGGTATTGTCCTGGGACCACAGGAGTTCGCGACAGGACTTGCCAGAGGAGTAAAAAGCCTTTTGGGTCACGCTATTGGTAAAACTACTGCTGAAATCGTGTACTTGCAGTTTTAAATTTCCATTGAATTGCTTTAACTGTGATGTGTGTATTTTAATGTTTTAGGGGGTACAGCAGGTGCTATGTCAAAGATTACTGGTACATTCGGACAAGCCTTTGCGTCTCTGTCATTTGATGAGGACTATCGAATGGTAAAGTTATTGTTTTCAATTTCAGCTACGTTAATTTATTACCTACGTTAATTTATGGCTATATGACACAATTGTCTAGCTGCGATGCCCTAACTCGCATGTAAAAAGATTGCATGATCATGCAGTTTTTATACTGAACTGCCGTTAATCTTTCTTTACCTTCTTGTAAAAAGTGCTTTACTGGTATTGATTTGATCAGTGATCACTCCTTAATTCCCTGAAACGCAATTGTAGGTAATTAAAATCTAAAAAACTGAAACCTTGAAAGATGTCTTACTGTGGCTTCCCGTTATTTTTTACAAGAAGAGAATTGATTATTCGGATGGCATTTAATTCGCGTTCAAAGGACGTGTGACAGAGACGTTAAAGGCCGACACAGACCGGACGCGATGCGGCAACGCGATCCTGGAAGTAAAATTTGGAAATTATGGACGCTAGAGGAGTCAAAATGTTTTATTGTTATGTAATCTACAAGAATATTATGATAGTTTAAAATTTATTTGATTTTGAAAAATTAAAAACGTTGAAAATTCGCGCCGCGTTGCCAATTCGCGTCCGGTCTGTGTCGACCTTAACTGTTCATTTCTGTCCTCCCTTGACATCCGTCTGTTCACTGCATGGTTAGATTTTTTACTAGTGTCAAGCTTTCTTCTTATTGGTCGGCAAATTTCTCTGTAGAAACGGCGGTTACGTATGGCTAACGGTCCGGCGAGTATTCAGGAGGGTGTCGCTATGGGAGGAAAAAGCTTCCTTATGGTAAGCTGCGTTTAAATTAAATTTTACCATTATATCGTGGCTCTAAAAATAAAAAAAAATTGGTAGCCCAATGATAGAAGTTTTGATTGGCTCCGCTAAATTAACGAGCCAATTGAATTTCGTTCAAAGTTGAAATGTGCATAATCTTCACAGAACATTAAAAACCCAATCGCATTGCAAGATCGATTAAAACCAAAGGGGTCTTTTTGCTATTACGGGTACTTTGCTTCATATTGTTATTCCTTACTTCAAAGGGTTTAGTTTTTGGCGTATCTGGTGTTGTTACGAAGCCTATTCAAGGTACGTTCTGTGAAACAATATTGTGATTACTTTTTAAAATTTAGGCAAGCTTAGCCTAAAAACTACTTTTCTATAACTACTGGGTTGTATAAAACTCTTTAACTGCAGTTTGCATAGTTAAATCCTAGTTAACTCAGAAATACACGGCTCTGACTGGCCAATTCTGTCCTTTAATACAATTAAGTAATGCATGCATAGTATTTTCTATAACTATTTCTAAAACTAATTTAAAGTTAATTACACTATACAAGGCATATAAACTTGGATGGTATATGTATGATATAGGTGCTCGAGCCGATGGTGTTGAGGGATTTTTCAAAGGATTTGGAAAGGGTATAATGGGACTTGTTACCCGACCTACAGTAGGAGTGTTTGACATGGTCAGCACAACACTGGATGGAATACGAAGGTAAATGTTGATCTTACTGTATACAACTGAAATTACTAATCTTGTTCATGTTATGATCCGTATAATGAAGTCAGAGGATTGTGTTCCTTTATAAACAACCAGGAAAATGAAGAACCGCGGTTCTGCTGCCGTAAAATTTGGCCCGACGAAAAAAGTTTCATACCTCTTAATGAAGATAAGATTTCTGTCCTTCAAAAGCAAATTAGCGATGTTTTTCGAAATAAACAGTTGATTGCATTATGTATTAGAAGTAGTTTTGTATTAGAATTAGAAACGGCACAGATGCATGCAGCGTATTTTTTCTGTATAGACATTATAAGCCCCGTTTACACTACACTCGATTTAATGGCACGGCACGGCTCGGCGTTTGTTTTGGTAGCCTGAACACTGATAAAATTGGGTACGGATGTCAATTTTAGCCGTGCCGATTAATTGACTGTAGTGTAAACGGGGCTATAGTCCCAGAAAAATCCATACAAGAAGTAAAAGAGAACATTTTATATTTTAGAAAATATCTAGCGACGTTATCCTATTTCTTTTTCTTTGGCACAGGTCTGCTGAGCAAGATGGCGAAGATGTGGTCGTCAGGATGCGAATGCCAAGATTTAGTCCACCAGATGCTGTGAGTTACTGGAATTCTTTAAGTGTTTTGAAGCCGATTTTTGTTCGATGCAAATGTTTTTTTTTGTTTCCCTTAGCCTTTACGCCCTTATCTTGAATACCAAGCAAATGGAAATGCTATAATGAAGGTATAAATTTGATCGAAACCGTCAACGTCATTTTCAAACAGCGTACCTAGAAAGCTAAAAATGTTTTCTGATGCAGAGTTTACCATGGTCGAGGGAAATAATACGCGATGTCTATATTGATCACACGCCGCTCCCAAAAGATGGCAATTCTTCTATAGTCATTTTTACTAACATGTAAGTATTATAATATATTGGCCACAATTGACCTGAGCCCAGCTGAGGCTGTGTTAAAAATCTGTTAAAAAGCAATATGTGGGTTACTACTACTTTGTGTAATGTATGGAATCCCATATGTTATATACATTTTTGTTCTAAAATTAATAATTATCTTAATATAATGAAAATTGTTAGGAGGATTTTGGAAGTGCATCAAACTGCATTCTGGAGTGAGTGGAAAATCAACGAGGATATAAAATATGATGATATTTCAGGAAGTGTTAAATTAAGTCTAAGTGGAATGGAAATTTGTACCAAAGTAAGTTATTTTCTCGGACTTGAAGATTGCAAATTTCGTGGCAATCGAATAATTATGTAATATATTGAATAGTATGATTACTTTCAAAATTCCAGTGTCATTATTCTAATTATACTTCTGCAATTATTGATTAGTTCTTTTATAATATATTTAGACTGACAGTTTAATAAGAATTGAATCTACTGACCTCGCTACTTTACAGGTAAACGTATATCAGGTATACCTTTATATAGCTTTTCCCAAAGTGCTACGCAATACTAACAAACCAATCAAACTTCGTGAAACATCAGATTTTTTCCGCGCTTGAGTCATTATAGCCATATAGGAAAGGTGTATTGTTGATACGGGGGTGAATATCTCAAAAATATTCTCGAAAAATAGTGCTTAAAATTTGATTCCATTTTTCAGATGGTACAAAGGAAGCTGGAAGAACATTTGTATCATTATCGAACTGCACACTAAATGGCATCTTTGGTATTCCAAGTAAGCTGAAGTGTGTGAATACTAATCTACAGCCGGGCATTTCTGCGAAAAACTGAAATCGGCCTCATGTTATACCTCGCTGACACAACGTGTTTATAGCCAAATGTATGTAGCGCAGAATTAAATGTCACAACCCAAGTCAAGTTAAATACCCATAGCCATACCTAATTTTTCATCCCAAACAAACGAATATATTTTAAAAACAATTTTCTATCTTTCAGTTGTAAATAACAGTACTGGTAGGGATTTCCGTAAAGCCAATTTGTTACCGTAATGGTAAACGCCCCATTTTACAATCTAACTGTAGGTTACAGTTTAATTTTTAATCTTAATTTTTACAACTCAAACGTTATAATTTGAGATACGTGCGATTCTAATACCATGGAACTATCACTTCACCGGATCGTTAATTTGAATTTGAGTTGTTTTAGAATAGAGAAAGATTCCGGTATTATATAAAGTTATAAGGTGTGAGTGATCACCTTTTTAATAAGTCGAGTAGCTATATAGTTTTTCTAGTATCGGTGTCGAAGTTTGGTATCGATATCACTAAAATTCCTTGGTATCGAAGTGGTATTGTATAGCATTGAAAAAGCTGGTATATTATCGCCCATCCCTTATTGAAAGAGCAAAAATATTTTTTCATGGAAACACGCATAATACATACCTCTGCTGTATCTAATTTAGCGTAGCATTGTTTTGACTAGGTAATTTGTAAACAAAGCTCAAAAACACGGAGGCAATTATGACATTTTTTCATTTTTGAAGTCGGAACTTTCAGGTCTAGTGGTCTCTAGTCGTTCTGAAGGGTAAACAAATCAGCCTGTCATTGTATTGTCTATGGAAGAAGGCAATGATATACTTCGTTATTCGTCCCCGAACGACTTGTTATCGACATTTGAAAAAATGAATACCTTACGAGGCAACACTCAACTTTGTGATGTCACTTTAATGGCGGGGGAAAGAAGGATTCGAGCACATCGTGTAATTATGGCAGGATTTAGCGATTATTTCGACGCAATGTTTAACGGAGATCTAGCAGAAACCATCCAAGATGTTATACATATAAGGAATGTTGATCCAGATGCCTTAGCTGCCATTGTGGATTACGCTTACACAGGGAAGCTTGATATATGTGTTGACAACGTTGAAAATCTGCTTACTGTGGCTTGTCTGCTGCAAGTTGAGACCGTGAAACTGAAATGTTCCGAGTTTATGAAACAGCATTTACATTCCACAAATTGTTTAGGAATTAGGGCCTTTGCTGAGGGCCATGGTTGTGAAGATCTTTTTAGAGCTGCTGACAACTTCACAAAAGAGAACTTTCTACAGGTCAGTTTTTACCATTTTTACTCCCAAAAAAGTTTCGACAATATTAATGTACTTTCATCCTTGAAATAAATTTCTTGAATTGCAAACAAGAAGTAAATTTTGGCTGCAGTTACAGTACTTTATTATGCCCATGCATTTGGAATTAATGTTTGTATATAATATTTCTATACTACCACTGCCACCTTCAGGTTGTTGAATGCAAGGAATTCCAAATGATTAATGGAAACCAGTTAGAGGAACTATTTGCAAGTGATGACCTAAATGTGAATATGGAAGAAGAGGTTTTCTTTGCAATGGAAAAATGGGTCCAGTATGATAGGGAGAATAGAAAGGCATCTGTCACCAAACTTTTAGAAAATATTCGATTGCCATTGATGAGCTGCAAAACACTGACGGATCGTGTTGAGGAGAATCTCCTGTTTTTGCTCTAAGTGAATGTGGCAGCAAACTCTTGTTAGAAGCAATGAAGTATCATTTATTACCAGAAAGACGTGCCCAAATGCAGAATTCAAGAACCAGGCCTAGGAAGTCCAGTGTGGGCCTGCTCTATGTTGTAGGAGGTTTGTAGGGTTCACATATATATTATCATATGCTAATTTTCTGGCTAATTGATTTTTTGCTTTTTGATGTTAGACTTTGTTCATTATCCTATTTCCATGCAATTACATATACCTCCCTAGACTTCCATTTTCACTGTGTTTTTGCTCTTGGCCACCCAACTTTTTAACACCACCTAATTTGGAAGCTTAAATCTACCTATATGTGTTATACTATAGAATTATATAAAATAACTTGCATACAATGTTTAATATGTATATTGTGGGTATTGAACTGTGCTACTTCACAGACTCTACACTATTTCTCTTCAGGTGTAGAGTCATATCAAAATCGTACTCCAAAAGGTAGGTCAATGAGCTAGAGTTCATTGATATACTTTCTAAATAAATTTTTAGTAATATTATACTGCACAACAAACTTGTCAAACCACAGAACTTGTTTTATACCACATGTGACCATGGTATTGTTCAGCAAATACCATGCCCTAAACAGCTCATACCCTGTGTGTTTTTCTCAGGCATGTTATTCACTAGATTACCATGATTGAGCAGGGTATTTAACTTTTAAATAAGGTACCCAGTCTAGTATTATTTTGGTTTCAAGGCTAAATGGAATCACTAACATATTCTGCTATTTCAAGGGGGAAAATAACCCTTTAAACAAGTACCTACCTACAAAGGTAACCTTCTCAATGGCAGACTTGCAACCAGATGTGCCATGCACAACTTGTATGATGCACGCTCTTATGTATATACATATATAAACTTTACTAAATCATAGGTTGTTCAACCCAGTAGGTACAAGTAACGGCACGGATACCTCAAAAGGCGCAATAAGTATTGAATGTTATGAATTACGACGTAACACATGGACACCTGTTGCGATAATTGGTAATAAACGTTTGCAGTTTGGTGTGGCAGTGTTGGATGACAAGTTGTTCATAGTCGGTGGCCGAGATGGCTTGAAGACGCTGAACACTGTCGATTGCTTTGATCCACGGACGAAAGAAAAATCTTCAGTTACACCAATGAACATTCACCGTCACGGGTTGGGTGTGGGTGTACTCGGTGGTCCTTTGTATGCTGTTGGTGGCCATGATGGATGGTCATATTTAAATTCGGTAGAAAGGTACACGAATTGTTTCGAGCATGTAGTTTGTTTTTTTTATACATGTTTAAGTTGATCAATTAACATCTACGTACCTGGGTCAACATTATTTTACAATTCTAAACAAAGTCACAAACATTAGGAAATAGTTACAGTACAGTATACTAATAACCTCAACGATTGTCTTCCCCCAGCAGAGAAGGTTCATTCGCGCGCGATACTACAGTAGCGTAACTAGTGTTTAAAACTAGATCTTGGCCGCTGCCGATCGGTAGAGATGGAGATGGTAACACACGGCGATACGATCGACGTTGGTGATGCGATCGTGTTAGGTCAGGGAATGCGAACGTTCTGTAAGATTTGCTGATTTTGACAATTTTATCAGGAACACCTGGACCTAAACGATACCCTCTCCATCCCGTGATCATGCACAATAAACACACATAAGAAATAAACACGCCCAAAACAAGTCATACAGTACCAGGACTAGAATAAACTTATACTGAACCCAAAGAGAATTCACCCACCCCGATCCGTGTAATTGTCCTGCAAGACTAGAACAAAAGAAGAAAACCTCCGACGCCAGAGGATAAGAACTTGTTAACCAACAATGGGGGCAGTTAGAAGGGAAAGGGTGGGTGGTGGTCAAATGCACAAAACGTGTTGGCTAGGGGCTAGGCAAGTCATATTTATACAGGGGAGCCAAACGCCCGGTCTCGTGACAACTATAGCATCTTCGATATTAATTTCCTTTATTATAAATAATAAATACATTTAAAAGAAGTGGGTTTTCAATACAATACATCACACGTATACACCACAGATGCGCATCGTGACCAATTTTTTTAATTGTTATTTCCATTGGCGAAGCACCGATTTCAAAAATAAACATTGCCCATGTCGAAAATGATCTTGAAGTTTACTCACTTGGCAGTTTTTCTTAATCTTTATGAATGAATGAATTTAGTAATAACTTTTAAATGTATAGTTTATGAATACACATCTTCATATTATTAGTCTGTTATGTTATTCAGGTATGATCCTCAAACACGGCAATGGAGTTTTGTTGCAGCAATGAGTACTTCACGAAGCACAGTTGGTGTTGCTGTTCTTGATGGTAAACTCTATGCCGTTGGAGGAAGAGATGGTTGCTCTTGTTTAAATTCTGCTGAAGTTTATGACCCACACACAAATAAATGGACGTTAATTTCTTCTATGATCCATCGACGCGGAGGTACAGTGTACTCGAAACATTTTAACTGTAATAAAGCGTGCATGATTTGAAATTGTCCTTCACAACCCAATTTGTATTAATATTAGTTACCTATATATCGAATTTTGTATCCAGGTCCAATACGATAACAAGCTGTGCGTGATTGAATTTACCACAGGTTTACACGGGACAAATGATACAGTATTTAAAAATGTATTGTGGACTAGGTTACATATTGATTATAGTTGCATGGGCTATGAAGCAACTGTATTCCCCTATATCTTATAGCTAAATATTTATACTGCGAAATAGTTTGTAAAGTTTTAGAACGTACGCACACACATTTGAATTGTTTAGCATGCATAAACCAGCCTTGCATAAACCATTTTTAAGACTAGTGGCTTGTGGTTTTTTCAGGCGTGGGTGTGACAGTTCTTGATGGTTTTCTTTACGCTGTCGGTGGGCATGATGCTCCCGCCAGTCAAGACACGTCAAGACAATTTGATTCTGTGGAAAGATACAATCCCAAGACTGATGAATGGACAATGCTTGCTCCAATGCTGAACTGCCGCGATGCTGTGGGGGCGTCGTGGCTCGGAGACAGTATTTATGCTGTGGGAGGTTACGATGGTACTAGGTATCTAAATGATGTTGAACGTTACGATCCAATTAAAAACGAATGGGAACAAGTCAGGAGCTTGAATACTGGACGTGCTGGCGCATGCGTGGTCGTTATACCACCAGTAAACAGAGAACAGTATCAATAAGGGATCCGTTTTCAGCCTCCGTATCACCTGGGGTACCAGATTACGCAATTGGGATTATCCAATCACGGCCGAATAATTGGATGTAATTATTGTAATTAATTTTTGTTGACGTAAGTGTCAAAATTGTTAAATAGTAAAATTGAGGAAGAGTCGTTTAAAGTTTTTGCGTGCAGCCCTGAATGACAATTTGCATTTTATTTTCGTGATATTCAGGGCATTGCCCCACGGTAAAACGTAATTGATATGCAATGACAAGTCAATCTAAAGGGTGTGCCCAAAAAACCCAAAACCATTGAAATCATCCATAACAATGTAATACTGAGCTGGAATTTGAATACCTAGGCACCCTGTTGGGACCCACAAGTCTATAAACTGTTTGACATACGCATTTTTATGCATGATGACAGTAAAATTTGTCTGAATCCACAAATGATTTTAGTAGAACAATATTTACATTTATTTATGACACAACAAATATGGACAACAATATTTATATTATACAACTCAAACACCATGTCCTTCGACATGTCCTTCAGTCCTTCTTCTCAAGCAAATTTTAAATCCTTGTGATCCTATTTAGCATTTTATAAGTTGCGTTAATCCCCACGAGCAAAAATTCGCGAACAAGTCATTCAAATTTTTACAACAGGTGATTTCAATAGTTTTGGTTTTTTGGGACACCTGTAGTGCAGTGTAAACGCGACGAAGAAATGCAGCAACATGCATGAATGTAATATAAGAGTAGAAAACTATTGTTGATAATTTGAATAGCTTACTGTACATTTTGCCCTGGTGAAAATTTATGTTGAAAGGGTTATATAATTAAAAGGGTTAATTTATTTTCGTAGAATATTCATTGTTATATTTGGACTTCTTTTTGTTCTTATGATCAGTCAGAATTTAATACCAAAACTGTTACGACGAGCACATTGCCTTTTGGAAATAAACTGGGTTATACTTAGGTAGCCACTCAAAAGTTTCACTTTTCTTCACTCTCAAGAAAAAAGTCCCAAAAAACTCATACTGCATGCAAGATGAGAAAGAACCTCAAAAAATATACAGATAAAATAAAATAAACGTTGGATAAATCAAAAGAAAAGCAAAAAGGATGTTTCAAATTCAAAGACCAGTGATTTAATATGGTCTTATGGTGAATTTAATATGTGTGTTTTGACCGCATCAAATAATAAACTGAACCGAAAACGTTTGGCTATCCAGTTGCTTTTATTGCGAAATTATACAAAGTATTAAGAACAAGTATTATTCTTTATCTTCTGTTCATACTATTTTAAGGAAGCGCCAAAAAGGCCAGTCCTGGTAAAAACGTATTCCCGGGTATGTGAATGTGAACCGATAACGTACATTGAATACGAGGCAGCTTACTTCGACACGATATTTACATTTCTTAAAATTATACTAGAATTCTTCTAGGTGCGTGTTATATGTGTTACAAATAATAACTTAATAATCGATGCAAGATCGACATAATACAAGCTTCAATAGTCAACGAATGCTAGGGACAAATCTGTTCGTGCTTATAATGATTGACGCAAAGCTTAAAAATTACTATAGTACAGAAGGGTAGCTAGGATTTTGGGAAATGGGAGGACCGGCAAGAACCTAGGTGGGGACAAGCCGTCAGTGTGACTCGAGAAACAAAGCTCATGCACAATATTCTGAACAGGACTCCCTCAGTGGCATTAATGATGGGCAATTTTATTTGGAAAAAAAACCTGCAGGCATTATTAACTGTATGGAACTATAGAACATGCAGGAATCAATTCGTTCAAGAATATACATCTCAGGAGGGACGACCACCATGGGTGCGGGGTGTTCTGGTCCACGCCCTAGCTAGCCCTCTGCTAAAGCACTTTCTATGATACTAGAAACCAGTTTTCATTATCGAATTAAGTCGTGCATTCACGTGGAATCCACGTTGTGCTGGTGCTCCCAGATCATTCATGTAAAAACAAAGTATGAATATAGATGACTGTCTTGGTTTCTGTGCACTATTAATGCTAACGTCAGTGAATAGGTTAGAACACAATTTTAAAACTGAAGGGTTTTTTGGAAAGTGTGTAACTTTTAAATGCATTCTACAACATTCCAAGTCAACTGATCGCAGGTGCACTTTCTCTAGCTAACAACACTATTACGCTACTTCTCCTATTCCACGGTATCATAGATACCATAATTCTAAAGTCACTTTGTCTTGCGTTGCGTTACAAAAGGTACCAAAATTATGCTTCAATTACAAACACGCCATTTTCTTTGTAGATGTTTAAATTTTTCAAAGTCTTCACGGTCATACGTGGTTTTTTCTGAAATAAAAGGCAACATAATATGAGCACCGATATTTCATCTTTTCGTAAAAGTATGAATTATTTTACCGGAGCAAAATGATATTATACGTGGTGTCTTAGATATGAGGAAATATATTTCATCATATCAAGTACCTTACTATACGGGGTTGTGTCTGAATTATTATACTGAGTAATAATTTGCTTGAGTCATCAGTCATTCGATCATTCATTGTAATATCTCATTAACGTACAACGTGCGATTCGGTTGGTAAAGTGTAAATTCTATCTTACGTTTTCGTTTTCTTTTTCTTCTCCCTCCTCAGCGATATCCTTTTCCACCTCTTGAGTTTTTTCGTCTTTATCAATTGCCGTCTCATTATTCACCTCTTCCTCTTTCCAGAACAATTCTGTCGACTACGAAACGGGAAACTACAGTTTCATTTTTTCAATAGGACAAGATTCAGAAGCCATTCTTATTCGACTTATCGGGTATATATTTGATACTTATCGGTAAACATTTGATAGAAATGAAATTCATCCATTGGATAATTTTGTAAACTTATCCCCGCTGATGTCTCTCCCTCATACGATCGAGTTGGAGGCATCTAAAGGGCATATTATTAAATTCAGTACATACCTCATGACAAACATTGTAGCTCAAAGCGCCCTGAAATATCAGAAAAAAATCATTATATGGAAATACTTGCACTTTCTTGGAATTATAACAATGATCTCGGAAATATTTTTTACCTGCAGTATAAGAAATATGCAGAAAAAGTATTGGTGACAGAATCTATCATCCAAGATCACTTTAACTCCCACACACCATGTGATGACGAAGGACAGCATTATAAAGAATTCTTTGATGATCCTAGGCCTAAATAATATTTTTTTCAATCATATTGTTATTTTTGACGGAATAAGACAGTCAAGACAGTTTGTGGCATTTGAGTGAAAACTGATGTGAACAGTTGCTATAAACTGCATGATAACTGATATATAATATACCTACACTGTATATGGTTAGCTATGATTTAAAAAGAGAATATGTACTAAGACTGAACTCTGAAGATATTTGACTCATTCTTTTAATAGATCAACCTCTAATCATAATCTCTCTGTTAATTCTTTGGCGATGTATTGCCATGATGTTAACCAGGGGAGGTTCTTTGATACTTACCTAAGTTTGTCATGAAAGTATTTGTGTTTAACCACGGGTAGTAGGAGGTATACCAAGATTATTACGTTTATCTAAAGAAGAAAGATATCGCTATTATAATTCAACACATGGTTGACTTATCATATTGGGGCTTTGCATGGTATATATATCTGTGATATAATCTACTTTTATATTTTGTTTAGGGTGGGCTTAAAAAATCTGAATGTACTCACAATAAACATTACAAACACGGGAGCGCCGTAGCCCCAAACAGTTCCAACGCCACTAATTGAAACCCAGCAACTGAAATGTATAACATACCGATTGTAAATCAGTTTTTATTATTGAATTAAGAATCCAGAACATATTGCATTGTACCAAACCCCTGGTTATACTGTTTTTAGGGGTATAGCGAAAGATATATAGTGAAGTCAGTATTTTGTGAGAAATTTTTTAAAGAATGACAAATTATCAATGCATGATACCATTATACGGCAGCAAAGGGTACAATGTTGTTTCCGCATGCACCCATAGACAAAGGGCAGTTGGGGTGGCTGCCCCTGTGGTTTCGATGCCCCTGACTCTGAAACAAGATGCACGTATGCTCACGTGCATGGTAATCAGTTACAGATATCAAATAAAATAAAATTTTATACTAACACGTTGTCTGGATGACCATTTTTATCAATATCAATTTTTCCAGCTACCCCTGCCAGTACCAACGGAAAGCCTACATGATATTAAAATGTACACATTGAAATCAACAAATGGATAACTTTTATCATCTTTTATCAGTCCTAACATAAATTCTATTCAGCCAACACCTACCCCATCCTAGGACGAAATACACAAGCTTTATTTTAACTCTTTGAGAAAGAAATCTCGCCATAAAATTTTGCATCCAAAATACAGTGAGAAGCATCCATGTGAATTGAGAAAGCACCAAATAATAAAGGAAGAATGCGATGAAACCACATAACTCCTAAACAGTAGATTGCGTATTAGAATTGCATAAGCTTCCGTTTATTTTACATCTCAATAACGATCTAGACTCTGTATGTGCTTCCGAGTATTTATAAAGTCACCCCATTCTTTCAACTTTAGCTTGTTTAGCTTTGAAGATTTCGAAATGAAGGAATGATTATCAGATATTTTGACTATCGTGGCTTGATTTGCGAACACTTGTGAGCCGGTAATTACATTAGTTACCTTTTCTGCAGGAACATGAGCACCGATTAAAAAGATAACCATAAGAATGCCAGATATGATTGCTTCGAATAAATGAAACAGTTCACCCGTGGTCTTTTTCCTGGAGAAATAGAGAGAAATACACACTCATTGACACTAACCACATCTTTGTTGAAAAAAATTATGTTAGCAAGAATGCGAATTTCAAAATAAGCAGAAACATGTAGACTTTTAAATATTCACTTACTGCTTTGTTGCTAACGAATGGACGGTCGCGAAGGCAAGAATCAAGAATACAGCGCAACCAACGTAAATATTTGCTTTGAAATTTAGATCCTTTGGCGGAGGCTGTGGAAATACAGTTGAAAACATTATTGAAATGGTTAAATTGCTTGCAAATATTTTTATCAGTTAACCATTATATTTCACAAAATGCAAAAAGACAAATTATAGCGATTGTATGAAGAGCTTGAAAATGAAATCAAGTGAGTAAAACGTGAGACGAAATTTATGTCTTCTCATCAAAAGAAATAGGATGCGGTAGAGGAAATGAAGACCTTGCACTAACATAGATATCTAGGAACTGATCGAAGGGCTATGCGGAATTATCAAATATGGGAAGACATTAATTTAATGATCAGTTATCCCAGGAACCCAGCACCGATGACGGTGGACTACATTTTTGATACGTCATGATTGCTAGAAGCCAATTGTAAAATCGTTTTTAAAAATAGGGTAACTAACGCCTTACCGCCTTTTCACTAAGGACTGCAAACATTCCAGTATGGAGACATTTACAGGTTGTGTGGGTTAGGTTACTAAATGACGTCATACAACCACGTTTCGTCCAGGCCTGCGAACTTAAAATAAAGAAAAAGAACAAAGGTAAACCGAAGGTCTAGTTCTAAAGCGCAAAAATTCCCAGAACATGCAGTACCCAATATACAAAACGAGTTTATGTTGTATGTGTTCTAGCGACTGGAGATCTGCGATAGTGGTGAACACTTCAAAATTTCAATGCAAATGAAATTCTGTGTATAAAATATAGCCTTTTTCATTGATGGCATAATTGTGAGCTATGAAAGCAAAGAAAACCTAGAGCAGTTTAAACTTAAAACTTACCTTTTGTGATCCCAGGTAACACATGTTTTACGACCCGTGTAAGCCTCAGGAAACATAGTCTCATCCTAAAGAGAACACAATTTACAACTTCTTATATGGTATTACCTCCAAATCAGTGGCCCAAAAAGTGCCCCAAATCAACTATTGAAAAACTAGCAAACCTATAGCTAATATTTTTGCCTAGACTTTATAGAACCTTTATATATACTTTGGGATACATAATGCCCCGATTGAAATAGTTGTGTATAATATTTGTAAGGATGGTGAATTCACTCCACTGAGTTCAGTTGACAACACGGAATAGACTCAAATAGAGAAACCACTTTGAGGGCGTTCACTTACCAAAATATGTTCAAACTTTATTACAAGGGGATTTGATGCTGTGATTCCCAAGTCTCGACTGAGAAAGACAGAAATTATTCTGCTTATAATGTTTTGTTTGAGTGGGAAATAGCAGTTATCATCATCCTTCCTGCAATTATAGAAAAAAAAACGATATATTAATTATAAATCGAAATCATCGATATTTTAGGAAATTAAATCATCATCGCACTATATAAGCACTTTGACTTGCACACATGCTCTGCTCGTGAATGAATATGAATTATAAAAATTATTTTTTGCTTCATTCTATAATAAGCCCGTTACAGACATCAACTTTTCGTTTGACGATCAACGTGACCCTGGAAACCACTAGGAATTGTCTCTTCTTTGGCCTCCGGTTTATTTTCATTTTGACAGACTGAATGTGAAAACATTTAATACTTTAGTTTATTAATAAACGCTTTTAACTGACACCTCGGGAAAACAGTGTGTTTTGTTGACCCTCGACCGCTCGTTGTTGCCCTCGGCGTCAGTAAAAGTGTTTATTAATGAGCTAAAGTATTAATTTTTTTGGGGCCTTCTTCAATTTAAAACGGGCCTTTTAAAACATTGAGCCTTACACCACTTATCGGTTATTAAAACTCATAAACGGATCATGTCAACATATGTATCGCCAAAGGAATTCGCATTGACATCTCGTAAATATCACGTGATCTCGGAAGGCAAACAAAAAGCTGATGTTTAGTCAGAAACAACCAATACCAAATTTTCATTTCTTACCCTGGACATGTGGTGGCTTTACCCAGCGGTACAGCAGCATCCCTCAAAGTTGACCAAGGATTGTAAAAAAAGGACAGCGCAGTAATATACTGGGGTGTGTTTTTAGGAATTCGAAGGTCGTCTATAGAAAAAAGCGAGGAGAAAAGTCGTGTGTCTAGTCACTGGTCATCAGTTTTTAAGCCTTAAATTGTTGATTAATTATATATATTCTCTTCATATACTTAATTATATATATATATATATATATTAATATATATATATATATATATATATATATATATATATATATAAATTAATGGATTATGACAGAGCTGTAGTTCTTATAGCTAAACCTATAATAAAGCTATTTTTTCTGGTCAAAACGGGTGAAAAAAGATAGTTTAAGATGGGCAAACTCTTTTGTATAACGATTTACTCACATCTCAACACCTTATGCCAAATTGCTGAAAATCCAAGTCGTTCTTTTGTTGCATCACTCTTGAAACGAATAGTCATTTGATTGCTGGAAGAGTTCACGGGGTATCCGTAATCTGGGAAGGAATGAGGTGGAGTGGTGTTGCCACAGAAACGCATCAACTCGTACTGGAGGTTGTCTTTTACGGAAGTATCTCCATCATAAAAGGCGACGTAATCAAAGTTGCATTTCTTGTCTTTTTCCAAGTTGAATCTCTCAAATTGCACAACAATGGTGTGGTTTGTATCAACGGTGATTTGCCATATGCATTCAGCCTTTTTGGGATACAAACCATTGACAACTGGCGAGGAAAAGTTACCCTGGTCACCGATCAAATTCCCACCGCATTCTAAAATGAAATATCAATTTAATGCAATTCCGATAGGAATGCAACTAAGATGCAGACAGCTAATTTATTGGTCCACGCAAAATTCAATGCTTAATCTGCATTCTACAATTACATCTATGATTATATATACCGCTCATCACACATAAAAAAATAAAATGCATGCATGAGTTTACTCATATACCCATATACTTTACTGCATGTAATTATATTGCGATATACATAAACTATAGAATTTATTATTAATCGAGTCTCATGCATGGTTACATCAGAACGGGACGACGAATTTATGATCATTAGAAAATACTGGGAAATTATTTCTCATACCATTCGAACAAAACTTTTCGTAACATTCTTCCGTTTCCACAGAAGGGCCAATGTGTGCACAAGCAAGGGGTGCAGTAGAGTTACAAGTACGATATCTACTATGAGTACCAGTGCCACATGTTTTACTGCAAGAACCCCACACTCCCCATTGAAAATAGTGCGCGTTTGCTAAAAAAAAGCATAAGACAGTTGTCAGTTAGACAATATAGATTAGATATCTTAGCATTAATTCACATACACTTGCATGCGTGACCCTGCGCAACGGTTGTGTTCACAACAACGCCCCGCGACCACTGCATGGCGCTGATTCAGTTAACAATTGCCGAAGGGACTGTTTACATGAGCCCGGTTACCCGAGTTCTACGAAGCATGAGATGATTTTGAGGTATTGAAATGAGCAGAGACATGATCCTGGTAGTCGTATAATCACCACAACAATAGCATGTGCTTGTTTGGTGTCATAAAGATTTATTTCAATACCTCAAAGTCCCCTCACGCTTCGTTGAATCTCGGGTAACCGGGCTCATGCAAACAGCCCCTAAATTTCGCGTGCAATTTGATAGCCATAATTTATTACGAACATCTTTGTGTTAGACATGTCAACAATTTTTCAGATTTTCAGGAGCAGGAATCGAGATACTAAATTTGGTGTAATTTTTTTTCTTTTAATTGAATTATTTCTTGAACTGTTGTTAAACCATGTACGCCGGTAGATGGAAGTTGAGCAAAAGTTAAGACATGCCGAATAATAGTGCGTGTTTGAATGTGTGAGGAAACAATTTTAAAAGGCACACGGTTGATGCAAGTAGTAATGGGCACTGGCCAGTACACATGACTTACCAAAATCGAATACACCAACTTCTATGTTACTTGATTGAACACTAAACCTGCCCAGTGTGTTGTTAGAAATAGCCGCACTCAATTTACTGTTTACAAAATTAACGGGATCCGAAGCCGAAGTTTCGATGTGAAAGGTAGCTATCACACTTCCTGGCCTAAAAAAAGAAAATATCATGATTTTTAATAGAACCTTAATTTGCCTTTCCTAGAAAATTTGTCATGCTTTCGTATGCAGGAAAAAATTTAAAATCCAGGCAGGGAAATCTATGATGAATAAATTACGTGTAATTGATTAACCAGATAAATTTTAAAAAATCAACCGAATATTTATGTTTTCACATAATCAGTGGCATACGGCAAAGACGTAGTAGTTCGGATTACTATGCATGCATAATAATTATTTTATCGTTTTGTACGTATACCACAGAAGGGATGATTCAGCAGCGGAATCACCAGAGCCACAGAAAATAGGTATCAATTAGTACTTTATTAAATATTTTTAGTTTTACCTGTAACTGAAGTCATTAACCCCAATGTACTCCGTATCATTTAAAATGCCGGCAATCTATTGAATGAAATATAGACATAGTTAACATATAGATTAAAGTAATTATCTACTACTTTCCCTATCTTATTTAGATGACTAAAGAAAACCCTCCATTTCGCTAAAATGTTAGACACACAAAAAAAGCACTTTTAAGTAGGAGCTAAGTTTTCAATAGGAATTCCTAATCATATCACTACAACAAACAGTCATCAAAACTAGCAAAAATGAACTGAAAGTAATTTTTGTTAACGATACGAGTGGAACAGAGTCGTGTGCATCCGATCGAAATCGAAACTCACCAGTTCCGTTAGATCTCTTGTAAGATCCTTGTAGTCGTCGGAATGACTATTGTAAAACGTTTTTCGAAATTCTTCGTTTGTTAGGGTCATGTTCACTTGGACTATGTTACCTGAAAGAAACGTCTTATTCGATTCCAATATACCTTCCATGGTGTATATCATTAAACGATCGTATTTGTCTTCAGGCCTTTCTACTTATTATCAACATTATTAATAAAAAACTTATAAATTATTAATTAAACTAACATCAGCCAAATATTATCTCTATATAGCTTAGACGCTATGCATGCACGTAGTGCCTTTATCGTTCCCCAGTCATTCAGGATAGTATCAATGGCAATATGGTGTGTCAAAAAACGTATTTATATGATAAATGTATACTATATTATATCGTTGAGAATTCTCTCCTGAGTTGAGATCCCACCTGTGATCGCACATAAGTGCAAATATATGAAGCATTACGCATTCGCCTAGGATGAAACCGTAATAGCTACTACATAGTATATGTGTGCTCAAAAAATCATCCTGACAAAAAAATCGCTGAAATTGAGACGCACGTCAAGAACATAGGCAGTGGCGTAACTAGAACGATAATTGGGGTGGGGTGAATATTCATATATCCAGTTCTGCCCTATACGGATTTTTTATGTAATTGCAATAGCTTACAATAGAAATCCGTCGGGCAGAACTGAATATATGAATATTCACCCCCAATTCTAGTTACGCCCCTGAACATAGGTCAATAAATCTTATACTCACAATCTTATACTTGCAATTTAATAAACATGCAGGATGAGGACATGAGGTTGAGTGTTAATTAAATGAGCCAAGCTAAGCAAGCAAGATATACCTGTACCTGCACCCGAAGCTCTCCTCACTCGGTAATGATGCAATGTATCTGTTCGGGCAGCTTGCTCGCGACGTCGAGCCATAAACTTCTGATGGTCTCTGGCAGCCTGTGCGCGATCAACTGTAGAAATAATAACAAAATTTGTCAAGTTTAAAAAAGCCTTTGCAAGTGGTGATGTTCTTTCTGTTTCTCACCTAAATTACAATGCATGTGCATGCAGCCCAGAAGCTTGTATCCGGATTAAAATTTAACTGTATAAAAATAATTTGATTACTTACAATCAGGTTCCTCAGGACAGTTAAAAGGAGCATAAACACTGTCAGAATATTCCATCCAAATGCTGCCTGAGGCATCTTTGGGCACAACAATATCTGACGGCAAATCCGCCCCTTTATTCTTCAAGCAGTCGTATTTCTTAATCTCGAAAACTATACCGAAAGTATGAACAATAAGGTTAGCACATATGCCAACATAGATAGCCTAAAAACTGTGTTATATTTAGAGATTTTCATTTATGCAAGTGCAAAAGTATATCAACATTACGTAGGTCAGGGTTGCTTGTGAGAATTTGATAAAGACTATTATTCATGGTTGCAAGGAATCCCCATCTTCCAAGTCTTTCTCGTTCTTTCTCTTCGATGGTCTTAAGACGTTCGTCGACTCTTTCTATCACTTTCATGCCCGTGTCAGCCAGAGTTTGGAGTTTCACAATGCGTTTCATGTCAGAAGCGCCCGAATGCGAGCTATCTTCGAAGGGAGAGAACGTCTCCGGATACCATGACTATACAAAAAAGCAAAAATACAAGCTGATTTATTCCACGATCCGTCAAGCGAAGAAGCGGAGGAATTTTGGCCATTCAATATTCTCTTTTGAGCGCAGAAATTAGTAGGAATGGATGCGACATCAGGAATCGGTATCGAATAAAATAATTCTTTTCTCGTTTTTCTCCTCGAACGCGTCTTAGAAAGTGCAAAATGCTTTTTGTATTGAAACTCAAATTCTATATGGCAGTCATGACGGCATTGAATCTCTTCAGTAAATCTTTTGTATCATTTTTTTGTATTTTCTGGGAGGCCAAAGCAAATATTGTGATGACAGTTCTGCCGCTGAGTATGAATTATTATGAACTGTAAAACAGGTGCAGTGAAGACGGAAATTTTCATTTTATATATTATTAAACAAAAACACAAAGCAACCAAGCCTCATATATCTACGGCTTACAATACGTTATTTTTCGCTGTATGTTTTTTCGAATATCTTATCTTATTTTCTAGCTAGCAAGGTTTAGGTGATTTATTTTATATTATATATCTTGGCGGTTTGCTCGTTTTTGTTCACACTTCGTCTACTACATATCGTCTTCTTAATCTTAGCCGGTGGATTACTCACCCTCTTTGCGCTGGAAATTATTCCCTTAATTGTATCTGTAAGCAGAGTTTCTTCAGAAGGTGTCTAAAAAATAGGACAATTTTGAACAAAATTTTGCTTGGTAAATATTTGGCGTCTAATTATTAGGCATGTTGTGTTAGTACAAGATAACTATAACTTTGCATAATAATCTATCTGAAAGACTTCAAGATCAAATTTCTAAAAATGAGAACATACCAGTCCACTCGTATCCTTAATCAAGTTTTCAATGTTCTCTTCTTCAGCCGCTATTGCCATGCCTAAACCAATAAGTGATGGATAGAAAACGAGGAATTTCGAGTAGGGGCCTTTCAAAGAATTTGGGAAAAGTCGTGCGCGCTTTTGTTCCATGTAAAGACGAAGAAACCCCATGCAGCAAGGCAAAAAAGACGTTCGCCTGTTCTCGCCTTGACTATCGATGTTACTCAGAGGGCGTCGAGAGGAGGGTCCAGGGAAAATATTTCGTCAGGTCCATTTCGGTATTAAACAATGTCCAGACAGTTTGACATGCATTCGCCCCCCCAAATATAACAGTCGAATATCATTTGACTTCCAGTTGTCATGCAATGCCAATGTTAGTTGCGGTTTATTCAACCAGGCTCTATGTGTGGCAAGCTGATTAAAATTTTAGGTTTTGTTTCCCCAAGAAGCAAAGACATCATCTGACATCACAAAACGGTTATAATTTCATGACATACAACACAAAGTAAATTATCAACACGTCCCAACGACTGTTTCAATCGCATTTTTCTTGTGTTGATTTAAAACTGATTAGGCATAAGCCCATAACGCCAGTGTTATTGTCTATAGTGTATTCGACGTGCATGAAAAACGCGACGTTTGAAACAGGCCTAAATTTGCCTTAGCCCTGTTTCAGATAGCTTTGACAGGTGAGGATCCATTGGCAGTATAAACTATTCCTACTGAGTTTTCTTTGTGTTTGTGTTTCTGAAACAATTTTCTTTTTCAATGGATACTGCACACAATGCTTAGCTGGCAAATCAGCGTTATATACATGGAAACTATAACTTTAGATATTATGTCGCTTGCAATAAAATCCGACTTCTCTGACGACCATGCGAAGTACATATGCGGTTCGCGCCGCGATGGCAGCCTGGCAGGTGTTTTCGTTTAAAAATACGTATGTAGAAATTATGGCTCGAAGTTATCATTATTCACTATATATCAGCTCAAATCTACTAATAAAATTGATATTAGTATTTGAAGTTTTAACCGCTTACCATAAGAGTTATCCGTTCCCAAAGTGGACAGAGCGAAAACTAGGAGAACTTTTACGCAAACCTGTTTCCAAGGCGCCGGGGAAGAGATCCACGATTTCATCATCTGAAATGATGATTCAGATCTAACGCAGTGAGAATAATAAATACTGTAGTAGTAAACGTTTTTTCTTCCAGTAGCTCGAAGACAAGTATGGCTTTTACATAGTTATTAACTTTTACATAGTTGATACTCTAAATGCTATCAAGCTGAATATGTGAACGTCTGCCTGTCGCATAGTAAGTAGCAGTTGGCAAGGAGCATTGAGAACAACATCGGTACTGAGAATGCGCACGGCTAAACTCATTATTATTTCATGCATAGCAGAACAAGTGCTGCCCACGAACATTGCCTTTACGATTAACAGCACGCATTTTGTAGCAATTGCAGAAACAAAAAAATTGTCCAACACGTGGACAAGTGTTTCAAAGCAAACGAGGGGAAACACAATTTGTTTTATCGAGATTTTATCTCCATGCATGTATATATGTGCACAACGATATTTCGCATTGCGGGTTTTTTATTTGAAAATCAAACAACCCGGTTAGTTACTACAGTATTGGCCAGACCTTTCTACCACCTGTAAAACATAGAACTATGATTGGCGAACTCTCGCTATATAGAACAATTTGTTTTAATCGTGTAGCAACAAGGCGCCACAACTGATGCCATGCATAAATTGAATGTATACACAGGTTTAACAGCGACACTGCAATTAGAGCAATAGTATATAAACTTTAATATAATTTTTGCATCTCCCTCGATGAATGTTAATAATTACGTAGAAAATTAAACGTGTACAATTTTAAAGGCATAAACATAATATTCGTTCCGATTTCCATTCAGTGCAAAATGTCGTGCGATCGACTTTTTTCAATCGATTCCCTTTGAAATACAGACAATTACGCGGACCTGGGTTGTATCAAGCCCGTTTAGCTTAAACGGTGGTTAAGTTCAAAATAGAAAGCAAGTCTATCGTTTTATTCAAGAAGCAAACTAAATGTTTTTAACCTTAGTACAAAGATACTATTTACAACTACATATTCAGTGCATAAAATTCAAGTTGACTCATTCAAGAGAGATGTAAGAGTGTTATTTAATTTTGACTTATCCACCGTTTATGCTAAACGGCCTTGATACAACCGGGCCCTGAACCCCATTATGCAGATGGCTTTACTGAAAAATCGATCGCGCGATATTTTCCACTCAGTTGAAATTAAATCCACCTTTATATACTGTATAGACTCGTATGACACACTGACACTCCTTATACTCAACTTTTGTTACGTAAGCCAATTCTGAGGTATTCTGAGCCGATTCTGTATTCTTTCTCGTGATAATCTAACTTCTGAAATAAACGGAATTTGTTTAGACCGAGTTCCGACAACAAAATCACTTGTATTGTCTTCATTAGATCAAAATCTTACTTGTACGAAGGGCGCTTTCCTTTTAGCGGCCAAAATGATCAAGCCTGTCATTTGAGATAGAGTATTTCGTTAAAAAGTAAAGCGGTGAAACTGCATGCTTTTCCTGTGCTAAATAGCGATATAGTTGAATGCAGAGTTCTTGAAACGCTCGATCTATAACCAGTAATCTGTGAAATACAACAGGTCTGGAATCTGAAATACAACAAAACTGGTTTGGTCGTTTTTACCGTACAAAGCAAAGCGCTCTAAGAATTCATAGAGTATAGTCATATAATATTAATAAAATGACAAAACAATTTATTTCTGGTATCCGGCGCGGTGCTCTTTAGCAATTAAGCCGGTCATTTGTTTCATCGATCAGAAATGTTGCAGGTCATATATCCAGCTCGAATACAGCCTCACTTTGATTATGGTAGTATTGTGTGAGGAAATTGTGGTAAGACTTTAGCTAATTAATAACAAACTTCAGATCTTTCAAAATCGTTCAATACACCTATGCAATACGCTTATATGCAGTGGTTAAAGCTAAGGCGTTGGTTAAGAAGTTAATCGTGCAATACGCTTGCAGTGGTTAAGGTGGTGTGAAAGACGAAGTGAAAAACTGTAAATTCACGCGCGCATCTCTCCATCGAAGAAAACTGTAGATTCTAATTCTCCATCGAATTATTATTTCATTTCAAAGTCTCCAAAGAATTCGCAATGAACAGGGAAATATATATATATATTCTACTAAGCCTTCGACTCTTTGAGTCATATCCACCACATTTTTTGGTCTCTTCGTTCTTCTTGCGACTTAATTTAAACGGGGTGCCGACATGCTGTGGAGTTTTGTCTTCTCGCACGTCTTAAGGTGGTACACCACAAAAAAGATCATTTGCATATTTATAGAATTAGAAATATTTTGAAGTAGAAATGTATAATTATTCTAGTTCTAATTCACAGCACAGACATTCACATGCGAAATTCGCTTCAGCAGTCGTTTCGGAGTTCAGATACACATCCGAAAAGAAAGAATTCTTTGTGCAATCGTACCGAAGTTAGTTTGAGTATATTGTGGCAAAAACTCTCCCTTTGTTCAACCATAAAACTAAGCTCTATAAAACGACCAAAGAATACTTTGCACCCTGATGTCTGTGCTGTGAACTAGACTCTAAGAACAGATATAAAGTATCTGATTAAGATATTTCGATATTTTCAATTTTATAAATAAGCAAATCAACCTTTTTGTGGTGTACCACCTTAAGTCAAATGATGTGGTGGTCTAGTAAATGACGGTGATCTGGCAGGGTAGTAGCCTTAACCACTAGGCCTCCAGATATACTAGTATATAAGGTTGGTATCAACACACTATCCTGTGGCCTAATGGTTAAGTCCACGAACCCACCAGGTTGTAAGCGTAGGTTCGAATCCTGCATGACAAATGTATCGCACATAAATTTAAGTTTAAGCACACACATAACAGTTTACACTACACTCGATTTATTGGCATGGCACGGCTAAAATGGGTACCCGTACCCATTTCATCTGCGCTCGGCCTTTGTTTTAATAGCCTGAAAACTATTAAAATTGAGTATGGCTACCAATTTTATCCTTGCCGTGCCGATAAATTGAGTGTGATGTCAACGGGGCATATATATAAGTCAAATAAAGAACAATAGCTTTCGACAAATGTTGTTGTGATCTACTGGTTAAGATGTGGTCTTCCAATCTATGGACAAATGTTTCAGGTCCTGGCAAACCAAAAAAAGATTAGACAGAAAAATTTCGCGGCATAATTTGGAAGCGCAAAACAAATAGAGGACTCCTTGGCCATTAGGAAAGACTGTGAATTGAAAAAAAATTGAAAGTAAAAAACTGGAAAAAATTCTCGCGTTTAAAGGTACTTAAAAATTGAAAAAAAAGAACAAGTAAAAAAAATATTAACCTCGTCCAAAATGAAGAACAATAGCTAATTTCGACAAATGATGCGGGGGTCTAGTGGTTAAGACGTTCGTCTCTCAATCCGAGGATAAACGTTTCAGCCCCTGGCAATGCAACAAAATTAGCCTGAAAATTTTCGGTGTGATTTGGAATCATTAAAACATTTGAAAGACTCCCCGACCTTCCATGGCATAGGTTGTTGATAGCAGCCTTAATATATACGTTATTGAGGTAGCCAAGTGGTTAAGGCTACGGCCTACCAGGTTATAAGCGTGGGTTCGAATCCTGCATGGGAAAGGTTCGTTTTTTCCCACCGAAATTACTATTAAAAATTCTTCCAAAAGGATTAGGTCAAATAGAGAATAATAGCATTAGCCAAATGATGTGGTGGTCTAGTGGTTAAGGCGTTCGTCTCTCAATCCGAAGACAAACATTTCAACTCCTTGCAATGCACAAAAATTATCCTAAAAAATTTCCGTGTGATTTGGAAGCTTTGAAACAGTCAAAAGACTCCTCGACCGTTCGGAAAGACTGTAAATTGAAAAAAATTGAAATGAAAAAAACCAAAAGAAAAATTATCGTGTTAAAAAGTACCTGAAAATTAAAAGAAAAGCACAAGTAAAAAGTTTTAAAAACACGTGTCTTCTAAAAAGCCTGAAATAAAGAAAGTCAGACGGAAAAAAAATTAACAATTTCCCGCTTTTAAAAAACTCATGTTTACTTACCCTAATTTTTTTTCACGAAAATTTGACAGGGTGATTTTCTCGAGAGTGAAAAAATTTAATTTTTTTCCCTTTTTTGAAATTCTCTTAGATTTTTTTTTGACGAAGAAGTATTTTGTCTTGGGCTACCTGTGTCTGTCTTGGGCTCTGTGTCTGGCTTGACATAGGTAGGCCAAGACAAAATACTTCTTCGTCGAAAAAAAAATGTAAGAGAATTTCAAAAAAGTGAAAAAAATTAAATTTTTTCACTCTCGAGAAAATCACCCTGTCAAATTTTCGTGAAAAAAAATTAAGGTAAGTAAACATGGGTTTTTTAAAAGCGGGAAATTGTTTGATTTTTTTCCGTCTGACTTTCTTCATTTTCAGGCTTTTTAGAAGACACGTGTTTTTAAAACCTTTTTTACTTGTGCTTTTCTTTTAATTTTCAGGTACTTTTGAACGCGATAATTTTTTTGTGGTTTTTTTATTTCAAATTTTTTTCAATGTACAGTCTTTCACAAAGTCCGAGAAGTCTTTTCACCGTTTTACACATTCTAAATCACACCGAGATTTTTCAGGCTAATTTTGTTGCATTGCCAGGAGTCGAAACGTTTGTCCTCGGATTGAGAGACAAACGTCTTAACCACTAGACCACCGCGTCCTTTGTCGAAAGCTATTGTTCTCTATTTGACCTAATCCTTTTCGATGAATTTTAAATTAAATAGTAATTTCGGTGGGAAAAATCGAACTTTCCCATGCAGGATTCGAGCCTACCCTTAGAACCAGGTAGGCCGAAGCCTTAACCTCTGGGCTACCCCAACAACGTATATATTAAGGCTGCTATCAACAACCAATACTACGGCCCGGTGGTTAAGGCTTCGGCCTACCAGGTTTTAAGGGTAGGTTCGAATCCTGCATGGGAAAGGTTCGATTTTTCCCACCGAAATTACTATTTAATTTAAAATTCATCGAAAAGGATTAGGTCAAATAGAGAACAATAGCGTTCGACAAATGACGCGGTGGTCTAGTGGTTAAGACGTTCGTCTCTCAATCCGAGGACAAACGTTTCGACTCCTGGCAATGCAACAAAATTAGCCTGAAAAATCTCGGTGTGATTTGGAATGTGTAAAACAGTGAAAAGACTTCTCGGACTTTGTGCAAAACTGTAATTTGAAAAACAAATTGAAATAAAAAAACTAAAAAAAAATTATCGCGTTCAAAAGTACCCGAAAATTAAAAGAAAAGCACAAGTAAAAAAACTTTTAAAAACACGTGTCTTCTAAAAAGCCTGAAAATGAAGAAAGTCAGACGGAAAAAAATCAAACAATTTCCCGCTTTTAAAAAACTCATGTTTACTTACCTTAATTTTTTTTCACGAAAATTTGACAGGGTGATTTTCTCGAGAGTGAAAAAATTTAATTTTTTTCCCTTTTTTGAAATTCTCTTAGATTTTTTTTTCGACGAAGAAGTATTTTGTCTTGGGCTACCTATGTCAAACCAGACACAGTAGCCCAAGACAGACACAGCTAGCCCAAGACAAAATACTTCTTCGTCAAAAAAAAAATCTAAGAGAATTTCAAAAAAGGGAAAAAACTTAAATTTTTTCACCCTCGAGAAAATCACCCTGTCAAATTTTCGTGAAAAAAAATTAAGGTAAGTAAACATGAGTTTTTTAAAAGCGGGAAATTGTTTGATTTTTTTCCGTCTGACTTTCTTCATTTCAGGCTTTTTAGAAGACACGTGTTTTTAAAACTTTTTTTACTTGTGCTTTTCTTTTAATTTTCAGGTACTTTTTAACACGATAATTTTTCTTTTCGATTCTTCACGATAAATTTTCCTCAATTTACAGTCTTTCCGAAAGGCCGAGGAGTCTTTTGACTGTTTCAAAGCTTCCAAATCACACGGAAATTTTTTAAGCTAATTTTTGTGCATTGCAAGGAGTTGAAACGTTTGTCTTCGGTTTGAGAGACGAACGCCTTAACCACTAGGCCACCACATCATTTGGCTAATGCTATTGTTCTTTATTTGACCTAATCCTTTTGGAAGAATTTTTAATAGCAATTTCGGTGGGAAAAAACGAACCTTTCCCTCGCAGGATTCGAACCCACGCTTACAAACCTGGTAGGCCGTAGCCTTAACCACTGGGCCATCGGAGTGTATGCCCATGCCTGTTTTACAATATATATTAAATATATTAAATTGTTACCGTTTTCCGAAATATGAAACTCATCAGAAGTGTAACGAGCCGAGTTTGCTTAAAACAGACAACGTCGTCTAGATCCAACTTCATTATTCAATATTTTACATTTGGTATTTATGCTATCGTTCTATAGGGCATGTACACTTCCTGTAATTATCTATTGCTACATCTATTACAAACTGCATGCTATATTTATATATCGATCACGGAAGCACTTGCAATGGTGCATCCGCGACAACTTACTGTTCCTTATCCAATATACTATTAGTTTATATTTACATTTAATCCATTATACAATATCCGTTAGAAGTGTATTATTTTCATCAAAGAATGTAATTCTACTTAGGTTTGAACCATTACAAGGTATTTGGAACTGAATTTCAAAAGTTAAAAAATTGAAAAAATCACAAATTTTCTTTCGTCCCCCGTAACCAATATATCTGAAATTTAGAAATTTGTGGTATGATAGCATGTATGTGTCGTATAGAAGTATGATTTGATTTTATGATTTCAAAAATATAGTTTGAATGAAAAAATATAATTTTATTTAGTTTTGATCCATTTCGAGGTATTGGAATTCCTCAAAGTATGATTTTATCTGTTCAAATTTATTCGTTACACCAAAGAATGTCATTGTACTTAGTTTTTTCCATTTCGAGGTATTTGGAACCGAATTTTGAAATTAAAAAAAATTGACTAAGATCACAATTTTTCCTTTCGTCCCCCGTTACCGATTTTTCTGAAATTTTGAAATTCCTCAAAGTACGATTTTATGCGTTCAAATGTATTCGTTACACCAAAGAATGTAATTGTACTTAGTTTTGATCCATTTCCAGGTATTTGGAACCGAATTTTGAAATTTCAAAAATTTGATGAAAATCGCAATTTTTCCTTTAGTCGTCGTTACAGATTTTTCTGAAATTTTGAAATTCTTCAAAGTATGATTTTATCGGTTCAAATGTATTCGCTAAATCAAAGAATGTAATTGTACTTAGGTTTGATCTATTTCGAGGTATTTGGAACCGAATTTTAAGATTTCAAAAAATTGACGAAAATCACAATTTTTGCTTTGACCCCCCGTTACCGATTCCTTTGAAATTTTGAAATTCCTCAAGGTATGATTTTATTTCTTCAAATATATTCGTTACACCAAAGAATGTAATTGTACTTACTTTTGATCCATTTCGAGGTATTTGGAACCGAATTTTAAAATTTCAAAAAATTGACTAAAATCACAATTTTTCCTTTTGTCCCCCGTTATCGATTTTTCTAAAATTTTGGAATTTATTAAAGTACGATTTTATGCGTTCAAATGTATTCGTTACACCAAAGAATGTAATTGTACTTAGTTTTGATCCATTTCCAGGTATTTGGAACCGAATTTTGAAATTTCAAAAAATTGACGAAAATCACAATTTTTCCTTTGGTCCCCGTTAACAGATTTTTCTGAAATTTTGAAATTCTTCAAAGTATGATTTTATCGGTTCAAATGTATTCGCTAAATCAAAGAATGTAATTGTACTTAGTGGAATTTTACTTACTTTGAATTTTGAACCCCCAATGAGTCCAACACTGCAACTGTTAGGGTCACCAAAAAAAAGCTGTCTGACGTAAAGTGGAGGAGTGACAAGCGGACGCCAACAGTGACCAACCGGATACTGTTTTTTTACTTTTTTTCGTCATAATAAATAACCCTGAAGCTCGCAGTGATTTGCAAAGTTTAAAGTTTAATTTGCATGCAGGATAAATGTGTTCTACATAATGTAAATAATCCTCACAGTATTGACCGAGTACACAATCAGTATCTTTTTCTTGTCTTCTGATCCAAAAACATAAAATGTGTAACAAGAGTATGAACTATTTGCGGTGAACGGTTACATGTGCAATAACTGTATGGAACCATGGTATCTTAACCTCTCTATTTAGTATATAGGACCTTTGGTAATGGGAGAGTACAGAGTGTTTAACGCTCATGCATAACCATGCAAAGCCAAATCTCAAACTTTTCCATTCATCCTTCGGCCTTCTGGCGTACTGACAGACTTTCATAGTAATCATTTCTATAATCTGTCATAGGCAGACCATTAAAATTGCTATTTTGCACCAACTGCCATGTGATGTTAAATATCACTGTCAGTGAAATATTTCAGTTTATAGTTTTTTTGTTTCAATAAATGAACACATTTATAACCTTTTTGGAATTTTGCTATAATTTATAAAGTTCTCATTACCAAGTTATCAAATCACACAATGATTCATCTCCTTTTGACACACACAAAATTTTAGCCTTCACAATATAACAAATACATAGAGTTGACAAAATAAAATGGCTGTAGATACTTCTACTTTTGTGTGTTTCATGCTAGATAGTTAGTCAATGATTGATTACCAAAATACCTAGACCAACAGGCAAGGCCAATATTAGTCGTGTTTGTATTCTGTTGTATGAAAACCTTTGGATTAACATTGAATAGATATTAAATACTTTAATATATATAAGGAAGAATAACAATTAAAATAAACTCTAAGGTTCAAAATAGATACTTCTAGTCCAGAAGGGTATACACCATCATCAAGCTGATGTAAATTAACACAGCTGCTGTGTTCAGTGAAATTGCAGCATTAATGGTGGAAATAATTTTATAAGCTGCTTTAACAGCAAACTGTTTGTTCAAATCTCTTAAATCACTATCAGGCCACAATGTCATGCAATCTTTACCATGCTCTCCACTTGTGTATACAAATGAGTAATTAAATATCTTGTTGCAAAATGTCACTGGATCTTTAAAGTAATCTTTAAACCGTTTGCATTTTAATTTGCATTGGTTACCTTCTTTACTCCACATCCATGTTTCACCCCAATTGTCTGAGCAGGTAGAATCATCCTTGCATGCCTCAAACCATCCATCACAGTCATCAGAACATAATGGTACATTCATAATTCTCTCACTCCTAGCTTTTTTGGGAATGTTATCTTTTACAATCCATGGGGATAAATTTGGTGAGCATGAATAGAAACATGTATCCTTAATGAAATAGTCTCTGCATTTCTTTGATAAATTCCCACAATGGTCCCACATCATGTTATATAATGTAATACCTCCATCCTTTTTAATTGCTTCAGTTGTATTCTTTGTACAACATGCATGAGCCCGCCACGGAACACATTCTTGTACATTCATCTCAGGCCCTGGTGTCCTTTTATGGTAGTTAGTGTCTACACACCTATCCAAGAAGTTTACAACCTTCTCACTAACTGCTGCAGCTCGCTCATGAGACTTTTCGGCTATTTTTGCAACTTTTTCATTTGGGTTTACTCCATCTTGACTTGCATTTGGCCAAAGAGTGAAACAGTCTTTACCATTTGTGTACTTAAATGTTCGATCAAAAATATTATCACAGAAGTTTTTGGAATTCTGAAAATGTTCACTGAAGGTTTTGCATTCCTTGATACACTGGTTGCCTTGTTGAGTCCATTTCCAATTCTTGCCCCAGTTATCAGAACATGTGAGGTCCTCTTTGCATGCTGCAAACCAAGCATCACAGTCACTGGCACATATTGGAACATTAATCACCCTTTCTTTGCGTGTTTTCTTTGATCTCTTGTCCACAACAATAAAAGGCCCGATATTTGGCGAGCACTCGTAGAAACACGTGTCTTTAATAAACCAATCTCGGCAATCCCGAGACAGATTACGCTCACAATGGTTCCACTTCATATTGTACAAAGTCAACACCCCATCCTGTTCGATTTTCTTAACTGTCTCGTTCGTACAACACGATCTTTTCGCCCATGGTGTACAATGATAAGAATCTATGAACTCGACCGCTTCGGCTCCTGGGATTTTCTTGTGATGTTTTCCATCGAGGCAGCGGTTTAAATTGTCTTCAATGCCTGAAACATCGTCAATGTTTGCAGCAAAAAATGCCAATAATATGAGCAATAATTGAGCTTTTACAAGATGCATTTTGTTTCGAATGCACGAATGTTAGTAAGATGCTGATGCTAGAAGAATATTAAAGATAATATTTTACTAACATAACATACACATGTAAAATTGCGTAAGAGATACCGGATGAAAAGTCTAAAGGTTATCTTTATTTAGGCTATATCTTGACACGAGGTCAGAGATTACATCTGTTCTTCAAAAACACTCATGCACTTATGCACATATTTTTTTAATTTTTTTACACTGCTTACCCCCCGCGAGACTAGAAATTACGGGGGATATTCTGCGGGGGGGAATATGTAGAACTCCGCCATACGTTCTTTCTGCGGCTAGCAAGTTACACTGAAACACTCGCACGTTAGCTTGATTTTTTTGTTGCATGAACACAGAAAATCTTCTTGTGTTATATGCGTTAAAGCACTCCTGCTTCTCCTGCTCGTATAATCCGTATTTAGAGCTTGCTTCGTGCGGTGTGAAAAAAGAAATTGTGAAACTGGTATATAATACGGAAATAGTGGTCCAATGAATGCCAAATTAAAAAAAAACGTGTAGTGGGAGGAGAGAAATTAATTACGTTTAGGCGCAAAACCTCTAATTGTAAGAAAGCAAAGGCCATTGCCGATGTAGCTATTTAGAAAAGCATGCAGTAAATTTGGAACTGTTTTTCACGTTAACCGTATAAAATGCAATGCTTGAACAACGGACACTCACAGCCTAACATGCACACTTTAAGATAGGTCTCTAATATACCCCATCCAAATTTTTCGCACTATCTGTGATTCACAAATCCAGACATAAGAAAATTTCGATCATGCACAGTCGACAAAGACGACAAGGCATGCACCCAAACTGTGAACAGACACGCACACAAGCATAGATTTTTACACAGAACTGAAGTCAAAATAACTGCGTAAAAGCAACAACTCGAGACAGTCTTTATCAAGATAAACACAGGTAAACACTGAAATAAATTCCATAAATGTCCGGACATCTGGTAATCTGAGGGGGAAGTGGGCAGCTTGTTATTATTAAAATGATGGTGTTCGCAACCGTTTTGGCGTGAGAGCATAAACGAAAACGCTGGAAAATGGTAACATGTGCACATAGTGCCACACAGTCGAATGTCTATGCATGCTCAATATGCTGCATGCATGGCAATGCAAATCAATTTAATGATTGACAACCTAGTTTTACAGGAATGGCCGTTCTCACACGCATAATGCGTCTTCTCTGGTTATACGTCTTCAGTATAAAGACGGACAACAGACGCATAATAAGCCCAGACGACGATTCAATGTTCAGTTTTTCGTCTCAGAGACGCATAACCAACGATAGTTCGTCTAGATGGATAATGCGTCTGCCCGTGTGAAGACGCCACATAGACGAATTATTTTGGAAAATGAGACAATGGTAAAATAAACCAGAAATTCTATAATGTAATCTATTTGCGCGTGTTTCCATCGACTTATTCGTCTGATTAGTTGTCCCGCCTTTATATAGTAGACAAAAAATATTGAAGACGCATTATGCGTCTCTAGTGTGAATACGGCCAATGTCAATCTCCGTATACATACAACACATTCTACAGCATAGGTTCTGGTTCTACTTAAAGGCTTAAAGCCATCCTAATCTGACATATACGCGAAAATGTTTTAAAACTCCCTCAAAAAATATGTTACAAAATTACTTCAAAAAAGCATATATAGTAAAGGAGAAACAAACTTAGACCCTGTTCATATGATCCGGCTTACCGGGGGCTCAGCTATGATCTAGTCTAGATAACGTTCACTAATAAAACTTACATCGCGTATACATGAGAAAACGAACTGTCATGCTAGCCATGCAACCTCGTTTCAAAGGTATTCGCTTCTGCATGCACAAACGTGAGAGAATACCATAAGAACCAGATTGCCGATAGCCGAGATCTCGCCTTTGACAAGCGAGATCATAGGTAGACAGGATGAATTCCCATATGAACACACTATCCGGGGTTGCAGGGATGAATCTAAACACAAAATTTTCGATTGTGATGCTTGCTAATTTGCACGATTTTTAGCATGTTTAACGTTTGATCGAGTTACCACAAATTATTAAAAATATAACTTACTTAACTTATGTCCTATGTTGCAAAACAACCGTAAAAGCAAAGTATAAAATCGTTTTGGCAATCTATTGATCCTGCGTTTATGAAAATAATTGAACGCATGCATGCATGGTAATATGAACATACGGAAACATTCATCGCGCTATATCCCGATATATTGGCGACGAGACATCTCATGCAGTTAGCGAAATCTTGTGAAAAGGACCGGCGTCCTTGGCGTGTATATGCGCTTGTGGAACCACCACGTATTTTAAGCATGTATGAGTTAAAAAATGGACGTTTTGAGAGACCTACGACAACGCCTAACTATTGAGCTTCGTTAAATATGAATATATTCTATGTTGATTATCTAAATGTTTCAAGTGGTCCAAAAGAAAACAACTTTACGGCAGCCGTGCTCTTTGAACAGATCTATATATACACCTGTAAACTTTACGATATATAGCTAAGCATTTGAACATCGAGTCGTCAGTAAAACAAGGTAAGCTCAAAATGACCAAGTTGATTGTCGAAATCTATCTTAATAATAAAGTCATCTTCGTCAACAAATTGTTCTACCATTCTATCGTCCATATTCACCAAGATACTAAAAAAGGGATACCATATGAAGTGTGAAATGGAACAAATTGAAACTAGAAAGGTATTTTTTGCGATTATTTGCAACAATGTTAAACGTCTTTTAACCACCCATTTCAGCCCCACTTTAATGCGCTGACGTCATATTAGACAAAGTTTTAAACTGGGAAAGTTGATTAGTTCAATAAGAGCATATTATATAGATTTGGTAAATTTCCAACAAGTTGGATTGGTATTATTGTGAAATGCAAAAATTACACTATAGTGCATGGCTATATTCCACAACCGACCTACGTAGGTGCACTAACTTCAGGACGCTGCTTCAATTTGTATTGAAACTGTGTACTTTGTTCCGATCATAAATTATGAAAATGTTTTTACGTATGCTATCAAAGACGAAGAATCCAGTACATGCATGGCAATGCATCGGAATTCATCTTTTGCAATTCTGCTGTATTTCGTACTTGCATGCATTTTCAAAAATATGCATATCAATAGGCTATATCTGCCTGTGAAATATGAATTAGATGACAATTTGCTGTCGCGAAGGATGGTAACTTACCCTTTCTTGGTTTTCTTGTACACAGCCTTTATCATTTCTGGCGGAATGTCATACTTCTGAGCAACCTTTAAACACACAGGAAGATGATCAATTTTTAATTTGATCAGCACAAAGAATGTGTGCCGTGACAATTTTATTGCCCGTAGTTTAGCTACTAAGTTAGTATCACCATGCATGACATGTAATCTACAGTATAATAAAAATTGATAAAATTCATATTCTTACTGCTTCACGTAGATCAATAACACCAAATGAATCTAACATCAATGCATTGTAAACTTTTTCCTCTTCTTTCTTAACGTAAATAGTAACCGCTAAAAAAAATTAACAATAGAAAATCGTTAGCATTCTTTACGATATGTGACCACCAGTGTTGTTTCCAGCATCGATTAGTTTTGGGAGGATACATTCATATAATAATGTTCACTGATCATAAAAAAAATAAAATTCAAAAGAAATGAAGATTTAGGACACAAATTGGCAACGCCACTGGCGACCGGTTTTGTTTTCGGCTTTTGTTCCATAACACAAGAAAATTTAATTAACATAAGTTACTTCCCAGCTCCCATTACCTGGTCGTGGAGGTCTTTGAACTCTTTGAGCTTTGTTGCGTGGTATAAATTCAAGATCAGCAAGTTCATCCTGCACGAATATATTGTTTGAAAAAAATTCAGGCTTGAACAAATACTGAAAATATATAGCTACTACAATAGATAAAACTATATAAATTAATGTTAAATTACATTAGCAATATCCAAAGAAGCTTTCAATCTTCGCTTGTTTTCGTTTTCCCTACACAAGAACACAATATGATCGTAAGAATACATTGCATGAAACATTACATGGCATTGCATGAACATGGGTTTTTACGGACCGCTCGTCAACCAATCACAATAGAGTATCTTGAACAGACATATATATGTAATTACTTACTTATGTAAGTACTTACTTTACAGCATGAAGAAATGTAGCGCTTTGAAGCGCCGCTTCGTTTATTGGAAAACACTAAAATAAAATGTTAACATAAAGGAGACATATTGACAAAGAAAAGATTCACAAAATAATATTAGAACGAAAAAGATATAAAAATGAGCTTTGTCATACTACATGTACTGTAAATCAAAGTGTTTCTGCCTGAGGCGGCCCAGGAGCCGGTGTTTTGACAGCGGCGCTCCAAACAGACCGCGCATATATAGAGTAGTGTATAATTTCTTCAATCCAAACTTCTTATACTAAAGGGATAGCCCTGCATGCATGATTGCATGTACATGAAATGTGGACTGAATGTATAAAGACCATCTTTTATAATACCTCAGTCGGACTAAACAATATTGGTTTGGGTCCTAGTGGTGTCGTTGGTGTTAACTTTGTGATCTTAACAGGCGCTTGAAAAACGGACGGAGATATCGTGGAAGGCGAATCTGTAAGAATAGAGATTCAATAAATATGATAACCTCGACCATGTACATATGTAAACTATGAACACATTTGTATAATCGACTATGGGCCGACATGGGTAAATCATCTGCCTGTGGTTGTATACAAAGTTTGTTTAGCTTGAAACGGTTGAGCTAACAATGGAAAATTCGACTGAACTAAATGGCGACTAAATTACATATACAAATTGAACCAAATTACAACTGAATATTCATAGTTCATAAGGAGTGTTTATTTTTAAGAGAGAAACATACAGTGAACTCCATATAGTTTACTCTAGGTACACTGGGTACACAATGCTATTACGTTTTGTTTAATAACGAACGACAAGCTGCTGTATACCTGAGAACGAGCTGCTCTGCTTCTGCATCAACTTCTGCATTCGTTTCTCAGCACTCTTTGATTCATCCTTGTTCTTCCGTTCTGCGCCCTGTACAAAAATACAAACAGTTTACAGACTGGACGACTCCGTTAGTTTAACACCTAACTGAAAAGATGAAAAACTGCGTCACCATGCAGGCACAACTGGAATCGAACTAGACTCAAGCAAATATAATGGACAAGGTTCACCGGTCCCGAGTAAGATTAATCGCTCAAGTAACCGAATTGAAGTAAAAGTATAGCACTAAACATACTGCTGTCGGGAAGTAAACTTACTGTGAAATCAACTTACTTTATCTCGGAATATTTTGATCTGACAAAATGCTCTATGTATCGGTTCTGCGTCAGCGACACCAACGTCTTCATAGGTATCAATTTGAAGATGTAGCGGAATGCCCTGGATAAACAAGAACATGCACGCTCGATGAGATAGGAACTTTTAGCATGCAGGTATACGCTATAACCCCACCGGGATCAAGCTCATTAGAGCAACTAATTTTTACTGATTTTTGTGGCTGCACATGGTCAACAATATGGAGCTAGCCTACACAATTGGAAATAAGTTGCCATAGTGGACGCATAAAATAGGCCATGCACAATACCTTTACGCCTTTTTGTGAGGAAAAATCAGTGCTGAGACAGTTCATTCGCAAAACAATCTGCAATTAAAATGAGTCGTTAAATACGCGTTAAAAAAGCATCCATCAAACAGTTTGAAAAACTGTTTCACACATCGCAAGAATAGTGGTTTTTTGTTACAATAATTATTTTATTTTATAATAATAATAAGTTTATTTCACAATTATCCTTTTTGTCATCGTTGTAAAAAATAAGGAAACTGTCATTTATTCATTCAACTGTAGTTGTAATAATACCTTAGCATTGACTTTCGTATCCCAGTAAAACGCAGCTGCGTTGTAGGCAATTTCATCGACATGATCTTCTATATTTGCACAGGATTTACGATCTGAACAAAAAGGATAGAAGAGACTGAAGACTGACGACAATTCGGACTTAAAGATGTGAGTTGATTGGCTTGAAGCATGAATTACTGACTGCAGGAATGGTGAAAATAGAAGAGATACTAGGAAGTATGGATTTTATTTTTTGAAGATTACTACCGTGCAAGTCTGTTTTCCACTTTATGCAAACAACATTAAATTGATGGAATTTTAGGTTTGTTTATTTTATACGGTCTACGGAGAGAACCGCTTTTTTAAAACATACGAGAATAGACTTGTCGACATTGAAGCAGGATGCATGTTTTCGTATCCATTCAAAAGAAAAACGTCCGAAAAAAATATTTAGCATTACTGTACAGACTATTGTACAGACTTATAGATTACAATGACAAAATGATAAAGTTCTATGGCCTTAATTTGTGAAGGGCAGACCTTCACCATAAACATACCGATATCAAATGCCCTCTGCTGAGGATTTGCTTGCTGAGCATGCCAGTACCGCCAATGTTGGATCTCAACATTCGGATCTTTTTCATCACGAAAAACCAGGTGTAAAATTGACTAAATATGGAAAAGCCTAAAGCTCAAGTTATTTTCCTACGATAGTAAAATGTGCGCTAAAAGCAGGAAATCTACTAGATTGACGTAATATATGTAGTACATGATATACCTTGACTTGAGTATTTTCAGCACCGTCCGACTGCGTGGGATTTGCTTCGAAATTTATTGAATAAAACTGGCCTATAAGAAAGAATCCACACCGTATTCAACATATTCAGGTTGCTGAGAAAAGAATATATGCACATAAACGAATGTGGTATATGTTCAAAAACAAAAAAAGTATTTTTAGAAAGGCATGCCCAACCTTTATTTAGGTACGTCAGCGAGTCTTCGCCTCGTCTTTGAATTATCGATGGCGGAGCTTCAAGTGTAAAGCAATACCTAAATTGCGATAGAGTTCCTCAAATAAAACAAATTCATCATCAAGCGGAGATTATAAAAAATAGGACAAGCCATTGCAGAGAATGCCAAAAACGTACGTTGATTATCTTAATGAACTGAATTGTATGTACAAGAACTAACAACGATTTATACAGCACGTTTAAAGAAAGTAGCTACAACCATAAAATTTAAATTAGCAATTCTTTTTGCGTCAATTGCATGCATTGAAAATGCTGCCATTTCAATTGCAGACAATTGCATTCATCTGCATATGCAAGCAAAACATTCAATTACATACTTTTCCTGTGCTGCAAAGAGTGTTTGTGGTTTCATTGGCGGATCATAACAAGTGTAATTAAATCCCTATTAGAAACAAAATGACACCATTGGATCAAAAAATGTAAAAATCACGTGCATCTTTAAAGATTTTGGAATTTTATACGCAACTGACTAAAACAGGTAATTGGTAATTATTGCATGTTCTGTGATTTATGCTAGCATTCAATCTTCCACTTTAAGTTAAATGTTCTCTGACCATGCAGAGGTCAAATTTGAATTTCTGACGAAACCTAGCCTACATAACTTTTTAAGCAAAATTGGCTCTAACAATTACAATACAAATACGGTTCCGCCCTGCGCGTCACTGCCAAAGGTAGCTAATATGGCGACTCGGACAACGATTTGTGAACAAACCAAAAAACAGTGAATGGACTTCCTATAGTAGATTGAAGTTGGTCGTTTGAGACGGGCATAGGCCAAGGAATATAGGAGACATTGGTACACTACCTCGTTTCGAAGAACGATGGGTGAAATATCGCTGGACGAGGCGGGTGAAACAGAACTTATCACAGCAGATGACTGTCCTTCACTTTTCCGTCTGCAATCTGATGGGCTGAACAGAAAAATTATATGGTAGAGATTATGCAACCATCACAACGTAAAAGTGAGGATTGTTGAAATAACATGTTCCATAGTCAGATGATTAATTACTGTAACATTTATAAAATGATTTACCAATTTATTCATCATCATATTGTTTGGTTTGTTGATAAAAATTTTGTAAAACAAAGATAGAGCTGTTGTTTGTTTGACCATGTTGTTTCACCATATTATTTGAAGTCGTGATATTAAATTACCCAAAATTTACAACACTCGTGTGGATGTAGTATAATCAAAATACATGTATTCTACCTTGTCTGTTGCTTTACTATTGGATATCTTAACGCCTAGAAAGAAAGAAAACAAACGTAATCTCAGTAATTACATCATATTTGACGACATAACTGTAACAAATTTTTAATGCGCACAGTGTGTTTCATGAACAGTTCATTTAACCTCAGTATGTTGTGCCGAAATTTTTCGCCCAAAAAGCGAATTTTTTTTAAGAGCTCTAAGCTTCGACTTAATAGATCAACCAGCTCTCTGGCTCAAATAAATCGAACATTAAACGGGACGAATACGTTTTGCGCGAAAAAAGGTTCGGGATCACGTCCCGAAAGCAAGCTTTTTAAATGAAATATATAAACACATATATTCTAATATAACTAGGGAGTAACGAGGCAACGTCTCGATTTAAACAACTTCATATCAAAGGTTGAACGTCGAGAAGTGTTTTTGTTTATTTGGGCAGCTGTTATACTGTACCACACAAGTTTGATGCGAAGTTTTATGAATACATATATTCCAATTATTGCGATCCAATTATCAATTAACATTAATTTTGTCAAGAAATTTACCTCAACTGATGTGGAAGTTGAAGATCTTCCTTGGGACGGTCTGTTCACCACTCGTCTAAACGTGATAGATCAAACAATGAAATATGCACAAGGGCGTTAGTCAACGTTTGGGGGAGAGAGTTAATTTAGAATTAGGAAGGCCCAAAACAGGGACGCAGATACAATTTTGGGGGGAGGATGACCATTCAAAAGATCAAATTTATCTAAAATTTTGGAGCCCAAATATGGAGGATCGAAAACATGACCTACTGTTCTTATATTTACCATTCAATGTATACTCTTTTTCATGTTTACATGTTACTACAGCAGATTACTTGCTGTCGACTTTTGTAGTATGTAGTTGATTCAAGTTTTACCTGTATATTCTTGAAATATTTGGTTTTAAGTTTTTATTTATAAGTTTTAGGCAATACAACATTGCACCTTTGTGGATCTCCATCACTACGGCGTTTTAATTCTGATACGTCAGACTGAACAACTGTTACACTCTACAAATGTGATAAAAAGTGTATATATGTTAGTAATGTAGACCAATGTCTAAATCAAAATACATGTATATATTTAGTAAAACCTGGATAATAAACTGCAACTACTGTTCCAACTACAGTTGTCTACTGACCAGTATGTCTCTTAAACTGTAGGATAAGTGTATACCCATATCCAAGCACTGTACCACAATTTCATGTACTTCGTAGGTAATGCTATGACATGCAGCAGTTGTTGTCCTTTTAAACCATAGACTACATACAGGGGCTCAAATTTTCTTGGCAAAAGATAATATTGGTAGGTCGTACATTTGTAAGGTTGAGCAGGCTAAGGGATGCAGCTATGTGCAGTTTAAGTTTTTTCTACTGAGCAACTATTTGTACAAGTTTATGGCGAGAATAACACTCATGATCAGTCAGACTGACACACACCAACATATATACCTACCTCATGATTCAAAACATCTGCTAAAGAACTGTTACCAGCATTCCCATTCTCACTAAAATAACAAAAAGGATTTCAATGCTATTTATTAAAAAAAAATTAGTAATAAAAATTCTGATGCTTAGTTTATTTATGTTTATGTATGCATTTGTTCATGCAAATGTTAACCATCAGGGGCCAGTTGTTCAAAACTGGGTTAGCGCTAACCCTGGATTAAATTTCAATCCAGTGTTTTAGTTTATGTGCTACTGAACCACTGTTTGTTTTAAAACTTTAGAAAATATGACTTTTATCAGGGCAGAAAATATTTATGAAAAAATATATTCAACTTTGTAAACAAACGAATAAAAAAATTAATTTAAAAGATTTGCTGTAACCCAGGTTTAAGCTCACCAGATTTTAAGCAATACATACTGTACCTTTCTGAGGTTGGTGAAGTTGGCGAGTGAGCAGATTCTTGAACATAATAATCATAAAGTAAACCAAGGGATGCAGCCACTGACGGGTCATCTGCACTAACTTGAGCCAGAAGTGAGGCAGTTAAAGCTGAATTGTCAGAAGAATCTGAGGAGAAATATGCCTTCAAGAATTCTTTGCCACGATCTTCCTGATCACTTGCACCATCACGATCAGGTTCACCACTTGTACTTAAAGAAACATCTTTGTTTAACTTATCACTATTCTTTGCTGCTGAGTTTTTGTTCTCTTGCATCACTGTACTCCCATGGAGTTTTCGTCTGGCATAAGAAAATGGAAAGAGATTGTACACAACATCAGCCTTTACACCTTTGGGCTAGAACAGAGTAGAGCAATTAAAGTATATCTATATTTCTAAGGTTATCTTTTATCTTTTACAATAGTTACCATCCTCAAAACAGACTCATAGTAACCTTTCTCTTATACCATGAATCCACCTAATTTCGCCATGATAAGCGTTTATCTTGGTTCAGACACATCAATCAATCCTATATTATCAGTGTGCTACAGCTATATCATTTAATTTACACAGGTATTGAACGAAATATTTACCAAAACACTCGCTGAGTGGAAAATTTAACAAATTACGCTGCACAATACTGTATTTAAATTAAGAAGACTTCATCCCCAGACAGCAAATTTAGGTAGTGTCCACAGGGGAAGCCTACTAGCCTCTAGACAGCCAGGATGGAGCTTTTAGAAGCTTTCATGTTTAATAACATATATTCTAAAATAAATTTTAACGACCGAATTTATATATGTAAGGATAAAGATGCATATGGAAACGATTACTGTATATCATATATGCGAGGATCACAGAAATAATAAAAATTGTTTATATAAACGTCGTCAAGAATTCAATAGCACAATATAAATATTAAATATCCTTCATAGGTTGAACTAGATTACTTACTTGTCGGCCATTTACTGTTTTGACCTTCTTTATGTGTAGCCAAATTTTAATGTGGAGGCGTTGTTTAAACTGCGCAAGATATATTTATTTTATACTCTTTTTTTCATCGGGAACAATCACAACACAGTACAAATTATTAAAATCTACGAGGATGAATCGAATTCGAAAACAACATGATGGAAAACGCGCCATATGAGTACTGGGGCCAAGAGTGAACGCGGAAAAAATCGAGCAAGAAAATAAATCGCACGACGCACGACGCCCATCGACCATCAAACAACAAATAATTCGTCGCACCCTGAACCGTTTCACGTTTGTTACCATTGTTATCTAAAGTGGACGGCAAAAAATTGATCAGGTTGTCGCATCAGTAGCGAACAAGATTGTGTTGCACACCATGACCAAGTATTGTTACCAATGTTGTTGAACCTTGTTGAACCATCAATGTTGTGGCAACTTGTTGACTTGATTGCCAACAAGTTGTAACATGCAGTATAATCAAAACTGAATGCGGTTCAAGTTTTGCCAATTATTAACTTCCCTTCGGAATTTGTTGTCGTTAGCTAATTGTTGTAGACTAAATTTCAATTAAGTTTTAATTTTTAAAAGTTCGAAAACTGGTTGGTCGTCTTTTCGCCACATCTTGGGCTTTGGTATTTGTCTGGATTTATATCGCTGCAATTACACGAAATGTTTGCATCACGTTTAAATTTCATTGTCGAGAATGAAATGTTGTATGGACACGGGTCGTTATGATCAGGAACCCACAAAAAGGACTAATCATCATGCTGATACAAATGCAATTTGTTCAAAAAACGAGTGAACAATGTTGTGCTACACCCAGTGAACAGCATTGTTTACAATGAACCATCAATACTGGTTATATGATACTGAATTGTCAGAATTGATACGAAAATTCTGGTAATGCCCAGATCATGAAAAAATTTCTGTACACCCCTGACGTAGACCCATGCAAGAACGTAATCGGATCAAGAGGAGTAGGGACTTTGAAAACTACTACGTTTAATTAGTTTACAATTAGTATTAGTTTTAATTAGTATTAGTATCAATTAGTATTAGTTTACAAACGACTAATTGTATATTTTTATTTAGTCAGTACCTTAAGGGTTAATATTTTGTTATATAGCGAATTATAGCGTTCGCTTTTTTGTATAATTTGCGTGGTTTGGCTGTAGATATGCTTGCCGGGTATAGCTTCATATATTCTCTCTTAACTGGTGTACCGAAGAAGTAGACTCTCTCAAATAACCTATTGCAGTATATGTCACTGATAATGGTATGAAACGAATAAATTTTTATGATAGGGCGGTAAAATTTTTGCAATAGTGAATAGGCCACGGTGAATTTGAAATAATCTACTTTTCCGATACAACTCTGCATGTTCTGTTAAATGTGAAAATGCTCCGTTCAGCAGGACAAAAAAGCATGTCAGTTTTTCGGTTACATGCATTTCTCCGAGTGCATTATATATCATCAGATACATCTTGACTTTCTGAGCCATATGCCGAGATGTAACTTGTAAGAAAATCGTCAATCTGATAATCCTAGAGAAGAAAAGTAAGATTAGGTAAAGGTTAGGAAAAGTAAGGCAAGGTAAAACTAGCTTGAAGTGTACGAGCAATAAGCTGAAATATGCTATACTGTAGACGACGCAAAAATAGTTTTGATGTTACTTCCAAATCTTTTCGCCTACCAAGCTTGTTTCAAATTCAAATTTTTTCCTCTCTTCATTCACTTTCACGTCGATCGTGATTTTCTTTTCACCACTCGCCCACTTCTCCACTTGAGAAAAATCATACCTTTCCATTACAGTCTAAAAATATATATGTATAAATTGTATTAGGTACAGCAACCGTAGTTCATCAGAAAAATATTTTTGCTGTATGTCACCTTGTCTGTTGCATCAAGGAAAGCCAAACCGTTCTTCTGGACAGCAAGAAGAAGCGCTTCTTGCTGATTGTCAATCATTTTAGTCTAAAGATCCATACACAAAGCTATTATATGTCAATCAATATATCTGATGCTTTATATGCCTCGTACCGGGCGCTATCTTACTATTAGCGATGCTCAGATTCGAATCTCACTACATACAGCTATACCGTTACTCGAAAGAATCGATATGCATGAAAATGCGATAACTCTAACCGATTATCCAATCACGGGCGCACTTAGGTCAACGTAGAAGTGGTGGTTGTGAAAAATATGATCAATTACCTTGACACTGAAAAACGCTGTTCCAAACGTAGGACGGTTGCATATTTCTTTTAGAAATTCAATTTTCGCATCATCGCCAAAGCAAGTCACGTTCTCAGACAAGGCTTGTTCAATAACCTGTTAAAAGGGTAAAATGGTTTGGAAGATCGGTCTTCGCTCTGACCTTAAAAATTACAGTAAAAATGTATATACCTGCTGCCATTCATCAACCGTCTTGTGTGGAATCATTTCGTGGGGAACCAACTTGTTCAACATGTCACTGAAAGAAGATAAAAGGCATTTGATATATCGCACGGTTCTGTTTGAGACCTCAAAAGTGGTGGGCATCTCGGCCCGTCTGGTCCCTATATATTGGTATATAGTCAACGCCAGTTGGTAGATGTAAACAGCTGTCATTTAGACTTATGTAATTAGAGAATTATATATGTGTATATTTATGTATAATTATATATATGAACGAACCACATGGTCGGAGTGACGTCCCTATATATATATAGTTACTGCAAATCAAGCAAGTTTGAATTTGTTTCGTATACTTGTTACTGCTGTCAATAATATATAATGTCAATGATGCTTGAGAGAATGGGTATAGACTCACGGAATTTCAGACAAATGTTCAGTGTCTTCACCAAACTCCGCTCTCAATATCAGGGTCGCAAGAAGAATGCTTTCTGCTTCGGTACATTTGTGGTACCCACGTAGATATTTAGACAATTCCTATATTTATATTGAAAAATATTATACAAGATTTGACACAAACAAAGGCACGTTATCTGAAAACAAAAAATAGCGTCATATAGCCTATGTTCCGAGGCAGACTGGTAAAACTTGCAAAAGGCAAAAAAAGATTCTGACGTTAGCATACCTGATAATAATGCAAACGACAGTCCGCAACGCGATCTTCGCCGGGAATTACATTAATCCACACTTTTCTTAGGAAAAATACTTGGTAATTTACTGCTATTCCATCACCTGGATAAGAAATGGTATACCATACGCAATTAGATATAGGTATGATAAATACATGTGCATTGATTCCTTGGAAATCGTCCAGTATGACCGAGGATCAGTGTTTTTTTAACAACGTGTTGATGAGAAGAACATTCGATGAGAAGCTATGCATTTTTTGTGTGTATATCAAAACACACACACGCATGTAGTATCTATATACACGCAGCATCTTTCAGGAAAATATGTGATCTTTCAGGTAAGTCATGCAGTTTAATCCTCTTCACGAAAAGAAATATATTATTTTAACTTTAAATTTTAGCTAAAATACGTTAGTTAATATAAAAAGACTTGCCCCCTTCAGTTCGTCTCCAAACTTCGATAAAATGTTGAATAAAATCGAAGAAAAAGTACTCATCGGCTGCTCCAAACACTGCAAAATGAAAATACATCATCCAATTAATGATCAATACCGTAAAAATGTAGCATACAAATATTATGTCAAATAATTATTGTTACTGTTAGCCCATAATTATTGAGAAAAAAAGTCTATGACAAAACAATTGTATGCGAATGCTAAATATTTCCATCCATATGAAAATCTTCTCGAGTCGTTGATTCTTATTTTAACCGATTTAGCTAAGTATTTGACTAATCAGTGTTTTAATGTGTTATACGTATACCGTAATTATTCGAATAAACGCCGCGGCGTTTATTAAATTTTTAGCAATTTAGATGCGGCGTTTATTTGAGGGCGGCGTTTATTCAAGGGAGGCGTTTATTGCAAACTCGTAACAACTCTGAATTTAATTATAATAACTTGTAGGTACACCACGTAAGTATTAAATACTGCAAAGCTTTCGGTCCGTTAACCCGGACCTTCATCAGTGCAATTACTTGAATACACGTTTGCGCGTCACTTAAATATCATGTTAGTCGTGATTAGTTTGCTCGCGCTATTAATTAAACGGTTTCATTTAAGTTCTAACTAATGCGCGCGCCCTAGACAAGTATTTGACTAAGAGACACCGAAAAGAGCACGCCACGTACTATTAAGTGGCTTTCCCTCTTGGACGATAGTTTGATGTTTATAAATACTCTGAATTTATTGTGTAATTCAAACGCCAATTTAACCAATACAATCAATCCCCAAAAAAACTAAGTATAAAAGTTATGTGTCTTTTCTATTTATATAATTATATATGAAAATTGAACTGTGGTTATAAATAAATACTTCGAATAAACGCCGCAATGACGAAAAGGTTGCGGCGTTTATTTGAGGGCGGCGTTTAATGATATTTTTGCTTGTACTTGCGGCGTTAATTCGAGGGCGGCGTTTATTCGAGGGAGGCGTTTATTCGAGTATTTACGGTATGCAGAATACTGCATTGAGGTCTTGACGATATAATAGCAACCCATAGGCATAGCTATGCATACATGTACATCAGTGATTCAAATGATTCGAATGCATACAGTTTGAATATCGTTCAGGAAAAAAGTAATCATATACCCTTGTCTCCTATCTTGAAAAAGAGTCCACATCCACTTGGATATCGTAAACCAATATTTTCGGTGATTACCGATATGAGATGACGAGCAGTTGTGGATGATTCAACTTCAAATGACTAAAGTACATATAAACATGCTTTTTACAAGTTCGATAAAATTATTCTTAGGTGATCTAGATCCGAGAAACTTAGCTACTGTTCATACTTATGACGTTTTTATTTTTCACCTATGTATGTTTATATTTGGGAAGGGCATTCACAGACAGTGACATGTAAATGGAATCAACGGGTGAGCGAAAAAGAGGCTACTAGGAATACACTCAGTAATTTTTACAGAATCATTCTCTATACTGGCAGTTAATTACTTAATTACAATAGTGTACAATAGAGTTAGTAGACAGTGGCATGAATGCATTAGCGAGAAATTATCTTAAACGTTAACTTAAACTAATTATTTTAACAGTCAATTTCCACAATTAGCTAGTCCCTCTTCATTCTTCAAAATTAATTTTCTGACTATGCATATATTAAACGTTTTTATACCTGGCAACTTCCATCAGGAAAGAAAACTTTGTGGTTAATCAGATCCATGCGTGTCTAAATAGATTGAATATCAATTTTATAGTATTTAGAAGCATCTTTAGTTACTTGCATCCTTACAATCCATTGTCGAACTTTTAACATCCGTTTTCGAACTGAACATAATTTGGTAAATTGAGCATTTGAGGCGATCAATGTTGTTTTTCGGAAAACCTAATAATAGTGTGTTACCATGCATGCATGTTACCATTCTTGCATTATACCTTGTATGTATCTTACTATATCTTGCATAGGGAATGTCGGGATGTATAGCTATACATACATGGCATATAATTATATCATTATATATAAGGTAACATTTTAAAACCTGGATGGCTTGAACTTCTGCAATATGAGGTGGATATGTTCTGCGACCATGAGTAATCATTTTAACCAGCCTCATGTAGCATTGTTTAGCCAACACATTGTTCTCTGTCCTCGCTCGTAGAAAGTTTATCACTTCGTCTTTTATGTTATCACTAGAAATTGGAGAATAAATGGCCGGATCAGATCGGATCAGATAACATATTCAGGGTAGGACCTGTATGGAAAAAAAATTTCCAGCCAAATTTCCAGGCCAGAAAAAAATGGCGTGAAATATCTCCTAAAAGAAAGATTATGTATCCATATAGTATTTTTAATTTCCTGCTGCCAAAAAATAACACGATAAGCCTGTTCTCCACTTGAACTTTTTGCACATTCACGCTCTTACCTGCAGGAGTATAGCCCGGTTATCAGCCACATCAGCTCCCAGCTACGTTCGGCACATGTGCTATATGATGAAAGGTAATTATAGCTCTTTGTAATTTGCATAAGAGCACGATTAACGGCACAAAATAGAGAAATTGGCAGTGGCCAACAATTGTAATTGCAATACAATAGTGTTTGTGTCTATTGGTATTTTGGACTCTGGAGCCTATAGAGGCCGGTTGCTACATTTTGGTTAAATCGTAGTTAATTATGACTCGAGAAAAAAAGATCATGAAACAAACTATATAGTTAGACGTTTTAGTTCTATATAGACGTTATAGTTAACTGTTTTTTTATGCAACAGGCTCCACTTGGAAACGTTATCATATATAGCCACACATGCTGTATAATGCTTCTGATGTAGGCTATATATAATATAGTTACTTACTCGTTTTCGCCTGCTTCTATGTGTTTGATAATTTCTAAATACACGTGGTCTTCAGATACACTCTAAGATACAGAATTAATGTTTTATTATAATGAATAAAAATTAAATGTGACTTTACCCATCCCATACATGCACTCGTTGTTCCCGTTTTGACGCATATACTCACATTTCCCAAGGGTCGTCCGAAGATGGCATCTGTCAACTTCATTTCAGACAAAATGTCACATGCAGGCTCGTCGACGTAGGCAATGATAGGTAGTTATGGTGAAGGATGTAATATTTCGCTTAGATAATAAAAACAGAGGCTTCTGCTCACACGATCCAATTTTGTTGGATCCAATTCACTTCTGACGGATTTTATAGTATGTTGACTTCCAATGTAATGACAAAATTGGATCATGTGAACATACCTTTAAGTCATTCATGTCAATGAAAAATCTCTCAAGCCGCATGTGTCTTTAGTTGAAACTGATTTAGTATTTGTGATCTATTTCGAAAATAAAAAGGATATCTTTATAAGAGTCACTCTCTTCAAAGGAAGGGAAACCAAAGCGTTCAGGATTCCAATCAATGCTTCTTAAGTAAGAACTTTTCGTATTTTCCTAAATTAAAGAAATATATTGTTGTAAAACAGCATAATATCTATAGGCAATAACAGCGCGTGGTTGTTAGCTCTGAGAGGTCTTCTATCTCGGATAATTTTAGGGCTCAAGTCACAGTAACGCGAGGTCTTTAACTCGTAATTCAATATGCTTTACAAGCATATAGTACGTCAACTATAGGAGTCAGTGGTTATTATAAATTCAACAAACCTGTTCTATAGAATGGTCTTTTTCATTGTCTTCTTCATTGCCTTTTTCAGGTTCTCCTTCATGATCTTCTCCATGATCTTCCTCATGATCTTCTTCATGAACGTCTTCATGAACTTCTTCATGAACTTCTTCATGATCTTCTCCAAGATCTTCTTCATAATTCTGATGTAGAACATTCCCGTCAATTTCTTCATTCTTCTCTGGCATATCATGTTCCAGTGAAACACTAACATGATCCTCTACAACAGCCGAGATTCCCAGGTCTCCCGTCATGAAGGCTGTTTCCTTGGTTATATCTTTTTCAGATACCTCTGATTCCTCGGACGAAATTGCTACATTTGGAACTCCATTATCTGTTGGTGACCCGTGATCCACGACTTCGTTTTCACTTCCTAAATCTTTTTCTTGGTCAACCGACGGAGGCTTTTCATGCGCTTTCTCGACGTTTCTTGAACTTACGTATATTTTGCTTCTATATAATTCAGATTCAAGTTCCTTATATGATCTTCTGGAAACATCAATTCTGGAGTTGATAACGTGCCGTTTGTTTCTTTGCTCCGTAAATGTATCTCGGGCATCGTAAGTATCTATATTTCGGAGTAGTTGTTCTGAAGAAGAATTGACAACGATTGCTTCCGGTTCTGGCGAGATGCCATTGGCGTTGAAATCATTGTGAGCAACTTCATGCGTTGTCAGCGCTGCGTTCGACTCTACCCAGCCTTGAATTCTTGAACTTGAATCGTCAGACATATTATCCTAGCAAATTAGGAACTTTATCCAATTAGTGGGAGCAATAATTTATACAGAACTTTTGGCGACTGTTTTAAGCCAGGCGCACACGACGCGATTTTTCTCGTACGTTTTTAGTCGTCCGATTTTAATCGGCAAATATCAAGCTGTTTCGATATATTCCGACTGCAGCCAGCCGACTAAAATCGCTTGACTTAAGATGACATCGAAGGATTTAGCCGACCGACTAAATTAAATCGTATGCCAAAACTCGTGTCCGTGTGGACTTGGCTTTTCAATGCTGGAAATTCAACCACTTTGCCATAATTACCCTTTGTTTTATTCGCGGTAACAATCCTGAGCTCAAGGATGAAGTGTCGTGTTGACTCAGCTAAATGAACGAAGATTCAGGTATATGAACTTAATTGTTACACGTTTAAATTTAATAAATAAATCTATACAACAACCAACTCAACCTTTGGCAGGCTATCGGAGTTTGTTAGTTGAGCTGTAAATTAAATTTATACACACTTGTGGCTTTCTGTATTATAGCATACGTTAATGTTAATGTTGCGCGGAGCCGGAAAGTCAATAAATTGTACGCATAAATCATATCTACTTTGAAAACAATTTGGAAACTTTTGTTCGAAGGGAAATTTATTTTGTATGGAAAGAATAGAATTATTTTCAAAAACAGAAGTTAGAGTTTTAAGTTTCTGATTGTTTTTACACGGTCCGATTAGATGTATTTCCTCTTATAAAATATTTCAATTTACCTTTCGTCCTTGCTCATGTTTCAGTTCACTCTTCCTCAAAACCGCCTATATCGAGGAAGATTGATAAATTTTAGTTGTGTTATTGAATTCTAGTTTCGTTTTCGTGTTTACTGGATTGTTTGATGGATTCATCACAAACTATCACGAAGGTAAATCAGCCGAATAAAAAAACGTAACGCAAAAAAAGGCTATAGTGTGATAGTTTTGGCCTAATTGTTCAGCTAGTCTGTTAAGTGTCATCCCGAGCCCAAATTGTACCAAGAAAATAACACGTTTATCGCTACGTACCAACAATTCATCATTTGGAGGTTCAATAACTGGTATGATGTAAAATATTCCCCCTGAAACGTCTCCGCTTAACCCAGTTCTTTGACAAGTACCATAACCTTCTCCAGTGGCTTCAAGGGTTTCGCCGTTACATGTTTTATCCAACACAATCAAGTCTCCAGAATAAAATTTCAGTCCTCCTCTTTTGGTACCTAAACAGAGAAAACGCCTTGCAACATCGTTTACTGCGTATCTTCGTCCTTGCCTTAATAATAATAGTAAAATCTGTACCAGTTGTAGCCCATACAATGATCATCACATTTATATGTCCCTGTTATATTTGTATATTCGCATTGTTTTTTTGTGATATCATAGATGATTCCAGGTTGACAAAATTCTGATGCAGGCAAAAAGAATCAATTTTAACACTGTTTTAGACGGACCATCTCACAAATGAAAAACAACCACTTTCGGCTCGAATTTGCGAAAATTGCTGCGCAATATTTTCCACGTTTTAGCAGCATTTTGCAACGAAAAACTTCCAAATGTTTTCCACTTCAAGATGGAATCATCTATTGTTGTTATCGTTTATGAGATCTGTCGCCCTCCTGCCAGGTGTACAGGCTTAAAAACTATGGGGGGGCGGATGAATGATTTCAGCAAAATTTTCCAGCCTTTCGCCTACAAATCGCCCACCTTATTACCGCATGATTTCAACAAAAATTGTCCGAATTATTATTTTGTTTGAATTATTATTGTCCGAATTATTATTTTGTTCGAATTATTATTACATTATTTTGTTGCTACAATGTCATAAGGGAAACATCTTACCTGAACGATCATTGACCGCCAGGAGATACCGAGAACGCTTCCTCAAACCCGTTAAAAAGAAATTCAAAAGTTCATGTATTTGTTCGCCTTTGATTGCTTTTATTTGTTTTTCCTTCTTGTAGATTGTGTGGATTACAACCGTCCCAACTTTTTCATTTTCGAATCTAGGAGAAAGATTTTTATAAAATGGCAACACCGAAGCCACAGTAAGGCACGGCTGATTTTATAGCGTAAAAGGGGGAGCTATCTTATAAATTTCAGAAATATTTGCCACGCCGAGCAGTCCACAACAAGTCAGTCTCTTTTAAGGCCTTTTTATTATATGAACATGAATATTGTATAGAGTTTTAGGCCACCGAGAAAATCGTATTTAAACACACGTAAAAATACGATATTTTTTTAGTGTAAAAATATCATTTTCGCAAGCCAATCAAAAACTGCGTAAGAAATATGTTTGACTAATCAAAAAATCTGTTGTAAAACGTTCCAGTTTTTGAATTTGTTGTTATAATTTGTTCATATAATGGAAATATGAGCTCGTTCGCTGCGCTTACTCGTGAGCAGTATTCTCTTCAACACTCGAAATAAACTCCATAGTTCCGTGCAACCATATAATATTCTTATATTCTCTAAATACTTACTTCTCAAATGTGACTTTCTTCATTTCCGGAAATAGGATTTTCCACAAATTTGATGTTCCTGAATATAACCCTACGTCGCGACAGTTGACTTCAAAACTCACTTCTGAGTCAACATCAACAGATGTGCATCGAAAACTTCGAGAAAATTCCCAGGTCAGGTTTACTTTTGCATACTGTACAACTTGTCCCGCGGCTGTGACACGATTTACCTGTTCCCTTTGACGAAATTTCTGTGCATGAAATGTAAAACAAACTTAGTATAGAATACTTTTTCGCCATCAGATAGCAGCCTGTACTGTTAGAAATAATAGATGAAAACTGATTATAGACGTGATTATAGATATAATTTTTTAGTGTGTAAGGACCGCAGAGGCAGAGGAAGATCGTTAAAGAGAGGGGGGGTATTCATATATTCATCATATTCATGTTAACAGACCGTAAAAACAATAAATTTTAAAAAAAACTTATATTGCTGAATATGAATATATGAATATTTGACACCCCCCCCTTAACGACCTTCTGCGGCCCCTGTTTAAGGATCTTTGAAGAATTTTCTAATGCACCTTTCTAAAGCTGTTTTCGACCAGCTGTACCCAACCACGTTTATGCTTTGTCGACGAATTTCTGGTGATACTGATGTGAAATGATCTGGTGACTCGTTCAATTTGTTGTCTGTTTGCATTTACACCGTGTAGTAAGTAACAATGAACTGCGATAATTTTCTCCAAAATTCCATTCTACAATGGAAAACAAGAAAAGTCAATGGTGTGGCAAAAAAGTTATTTTATTTAAACGTTATTTAATACTTTGGGGCAATTGCTCGCATAATTTATTCTGTCAGTATTAAATGCATGCATGGTAATGTTTATTTAATACTGGTACTCACGACACACATTCAATAATATCGAGTACATGATTTATTTATACATCATTTACTTTTTGCTATATCAGGCATTGACTATTGGAAACGGCCTGTTTTGAACTGACAGAGAACATGCTCAAGCTTTGATAATGAATTGTGGAACCGTTTGAACCACGACACACGCCTTAATAAACTTCACAGCAATTTCGCGTGCAAAGTTGAACCGCATGAATCACGCAATCAGAACACTCAGTACAAGGCTCAGTACATCATTTTAGTACTTATGACATATCTTATGTAGAATTTCAGTCTGCCTGCAAGCTAGCATATACGGGCAGAACAGATATTCACCGAACTATACTTATCTTAACCTCATTGTAGTTTGAACAGAAAATATCAGGAAAGTCGGGGCATAAAATTTGCTATTTTTCTATTTAGTCTAAATGTTCAACCGAATTTACCTCGCGTATTTTAAACTCCCCAGACTTCACTGATGTTATTATTTGATTGTATATCAGCTCTGTGGATGTCTTATCAGATGCGAAGCTATGCCATGGTGAAAATATTTCCTTGAACAATCCTAATTTCCACGAGCTGGCTATTTGCATGTCCTTCGCTCTTTGTTCACATGATGAAATAACGTCCATCACGTGGTCGTCTCCAGAGACAATCACCAGCATCTAAAAATAAAAACCAATAAAAATCAATAAACCTTACCCATTGAATCACGCAATCAGAACACTCAGTACTATGACTACCCAACGGTCCCTTTCCAGAATTATGGTTGGTTGCAAGATAATGCGTGCAGAGAATGCTGTATATGGTTAAATAATGGTTGTGAAAACTGAAATGTCATGATGTATAAGGCTTATCTGTAACTAAACAGATTCATAGACAAAGGAAGAAAACAAGTGGAATCAGTCAGCGAGCAGGCTAACATTAAGTGGCAATAAATATTTCTCATTTCAAAACTTCGCATTCGACTACGAGTGCATATTAAATAATACATCAGCATAAGCATAAATTACACCAACCTGTCTTCCAATCCTGACATGGAATGCAAATCCAAAGAGATCCATGATTCCTATGGCTGATTTCATTTGTTTTTTCAATTCAAGACCTGTTATGGCTGAATCCAAATTTAGTGTACATTTTTGTGCGTTTGGTAGATGTACTGCAATTCTAATAGATGTTCGTTTGAGTATCGCCTAAGAGAACAGGATGAAGATAATTAAGCTTTCTTTTTACAGCAAGAACGAGCTTGAAGTGTGGCAATTTATCGATCATAACTGATGTAATAGCCAATTTCATGGCTTTATTCATCGAACAATAAATCTATAATTATACGAATTTTCATCATATTAAGATATCCAATATCATAGATACCATACCAAAGACAACTAGCTAAACCATCAGTACTGTAGAATGCTCAATATTTGCCCCTACCTGGTATTCGTATGATGATGGCGGTTCATCTCTCTTTCCATGCAGAAGTGTCCGTTCCAGTTTATCCCTGCAATACGCCCTCTCTACCTCTGGAGCTGAATTCAAAATGTTTATCATGTACGGATGGAACTATATCATAAAAGGCAAAAATAGATTTTACACTGAATGCAAAGGTTACCACATGAAATTAAAGCGATCTTTTTTGTAATCAAGTTGGTTTCATATTTCTAAGGTCAAATGCAAAGGAAGTGCTGTTCGTGTTTTTTTCGAGACATGGTTTAACCTTATTCGTTAGCTATTTTCAGGTGTTTGGGGTTAATTTTTATACCTCATTAGAAGGAGGAAATGAAGACAAGCAGCATGCGAAAAGTGTCCAGCAAGCACGTTGAGCTTTTTCTGAATGATTGCCATTTATCTGCTTGTAAATTTGACAGAAAATTTCATCTCTAGAGGAAGGAAGATAAAGGATTTTATTTAAAGAATTTACTTTAAATGTTAGCCAAGATATTTGCCTTCAGATCGGATATCTGCCACGGATATACATGCACGGATTTTTTACAAAAACATGTTGTTAATTTCTCCCAAAATATTGCATGCTGACAAATGGAACATTTCAGCTGCCAGGAAGACGTAAAGCAGATAAAGCAGATTAATTTGAAGAAAGAAACTGGGAGAAATATGCAGCACAGTATTACATTAACTGTCGTACCTGAGTTGCGGGCCTAAAATCCCAAGACCACAAATAAAATGAACAATTTCCAAGTCCGTCGATTTCCAGCGTTTAATGAATGTGTAAGGATTACATTCTCCACCAACGCTACCTCGCTTTAACTCTCTTATTAATTCTCTGAAAATAGGCTGAAAAAAGATATTATCAGGTAAATAATTTTTCAACATCTATTATCGAATAGTCGCTGTAAGATTTTCAGTTATGAGCTTGAGTGACAATGCGATATTGTAGGCGAATGTTTAGTTAATAACTTAATAATCTTGTTAAAAGGATTGATTCTTGGTTCTCAGTATTCGGCGATGTATTGTCAGAGGCCGGTGATAAGGAAAATTTATTCAAAATAACAAAGCACTTTATTCTTTATTGTTTACATGCAATAGGCATCGGGCACTTTTGCAAACGCGGTTTTCGAGAGGAGCCGAATGTCGACCTGCCAGGTCACCGACCATCGGCGATGGCTATTGTCCGCAGTTATCACTAGAGAATAAATTGCTTTGTTATTTTCTATAAATTTTCTTTGTCATCAGCCACAAACATACTGCAGACGGTCGGCGATGCTCTGCGACCATTGTCGGTGATCAATGCATAAGTAGAAACATTTTATGCATCGGTAACAAACGACAATAGAGATTGCCGACTGTCTGCGAGTGAATTATGAGAACCAGGTTTACAAGACTCTTTGCTGACGAATCTTTGCAGCTGCGATTATTCACATGAACCAAATTGCACATGACGACAAAGTACAAGAACATGACAAAACGTACACTGATAGAGGATTTGTAAATGTGAATAGAACCAAAATGAGGTGACTTACTTTGTTGAGAAACGAGCTTTGTGGTTGTTCTCTTTCTGCAGTGTAACGAAATATCGCTAGCGAAATTGCACGAGCAGCCTACAGTGGTGTCAATATTCATTAATCAGAATTGTATTTGATATATTACAATACGGTAATGTGGCCTCCAGTGCCACAAACACAAGCTGGAAAAGTTAACAAGATTATTCTCCATTGCCCACTGAATTACAACCACCCATGCATTACCAGGCACCTTTCAGCTTTCTTTGCCCCACCTACCCCTCAACACTGGCTTTGAGTTTGGCATCCGCTAACCACGCCTAAAGGCGGATTTCCATTCAGTGCAAAATGTCGCGCGATCGATTTTTTGCGATCGCTTTCTTTTGAAATATGTTCATTCAAACTCATCTAATGAGATTAATTCCACTTGACTGTTTGCATTTCAAAAGAAGCGATCGCAAAAAGTCGATCGCGCGACATTTTGCACTGAATGGAAATCCGCCTTAAATATAAGGACTAAAAATTATAACAGCGTGCCGAATGATGGCTAATGAATGAGAATGCATGCAGCTTGCAATAAGAAAATGATTAGAAAAAGCCCACCAAGACTAGTACTCACATTTTGATCGAGAGTAGTCTTGAAATGATGTAAAGATTGTTTCAGCGGTGTCCTCTCGGCATTCTTGGAATGAAAACTTTGAAACTTCTGCGCAGCATACTTTGCAAACGTTTTCTTTGGCGAATTGGCTGCCTGCAAGAAAAGCAGCATAATATAAGGTGAGGTTGGCAATTACCTCCTATGGCTATGGGCTCAACCGCCCAAATATAAATACGTGATTGTTCTTGATACATCAATTATTAATCTTCTCATGGATTTGCCTGTAGTTTTAGCCTGTAGTTTTATTATTCTTTAGATAATTATTATATCACAATTGAGGGACTGCCGTGGCTTAAGAGTAAATAAATAACTCGAAGCTTGTTTCATTTTTAAACGCGATGTGCGGATTAATTCAATGCTTTTGGATTGGAATCTCACCAGGTCCCGAATTATAGGCGGAGTAAAAAAATATGCGTTCGTAAACATTTGAGTATTTTTCGATTTTAAAATAATACACGTAGTTACTTTCGTTTTTTTGACACCCAACTGCCCCCCCCCCCCCTTCCTCTTCCTTCTTGCAACGAAAAGCAGTCAAGTCAAAATTGATAAGAAAAATTTGCAGGCAAATTATTTCTGTGCAGGTTACTCATGCAACTCATTCCCAAAAGAATCGGTGACGTTCTTCTCGCAGCGACCCAACTTGTTGCTACTTTCATATATGGCGAACAATTTTCCAATTAGTGGCAATAATTACAAAAATGCTTTGTGCAAATAAATATGAAATATATATGAAAAGTATGGCTGCTTGGAGCAAACTATCGACCTTTCTTACGGCCTGTATCTGATGTATGGTATTTTGATTTAAGACTGGGGAAGGAGATTCTAACGAAGTTATTTACACGGCTTCAATATGACGAATATACATGAATATAGTCACCAACAAAAATAAAACAATAGTATTTCCCCTATGGCTATGAGCTCTAACCTGGGTGTCGGCTAAAATGTATGTTAGCTAACTCAAGAAAAAACAGGCCTCTAATTTGGAGGCAAACGCGTAACGGCATAGAAAACTTTAACACTGGAATTATAAAGTGAGACTGATTAAGAAAAGGTTATATAGGAGGGGCATGCATGTAGGAATGGAATTGACTTTATTTATAGCTATAGGAGGTAGAAACAGTGACTAGCTTAGATGATAATGTAATTTTGTCAGTATAAGCATAAAATGTGTTTTATTTCTTAGTATAAAGACGACATGCTCGGCCACGTTTAGAATAGACTTTAATTCAAAATCGAGTGGCTGATCAATACCGAATATATGGTCAAGAAACTAAACAAAGGGATTGAAGGAAGTGTATAAAAATTATACAAACTATATATATAACACAGCTTTGACTAAAACTAAGTTTACAAAGTCCACCATACAATCTATATTCGTGCAGGAAATAAAGACCCTGCAAGAAGGACTATAACGGTTTCGAGAAAATAATCAATACTAATGCATATTAAGTATAATAGACTATATTAGACATCTTGTTACGAGTCATACGTGCTTTGCATTTCGATTTCATATTTGAATTTGACAATAACGATATGGAGGTGAAGAATGTTACATGACATTTCATACCATTCCTAGCTGACGACTTTATCTTTTTCTGTTTCGCAATGTGATAACTTTTACTTCAAGAACAAACCAAACAAAGTTTGGTACTTCGCGACACAAAGATATAAACTGTGTATATATAGATACATTTGTGTTGCTTACATGATGGTGAAACCGCGTAAAATATGCAATATTTTGTTGCAATTAACATGCCTATACAAATCACTCAGTCAAGCGTTTTATAACAAATACCACAAACTCCACAGCATTGCTCTTTCACTAACATGATTGAACTTGGATAAGATGTGATGTTGATACCTAAATCTAAGTCACCTTATCGTTTTCTCGGCTGTAAGTTGAAAAAACAGTAAAAGATTTACAAACTAAATTAAATAACACATTGGAATTTGGTTCATGTTTAGAATTAAATTCGCAATAATTCAAAGGGATTCTGCAGGAGGTTGTCGCCCTACTGAGAACGGAATCCGGAAGACTTACATTAAGGTGGCTCGGACTGGTTCCATGCAATTTGCGAGGTATATTAAGGTGGCTCCATGCATCAATTTGCGAGGTATGGTAAAATCATGATGAGAATAATTCTTTTGAAAAGAGGTTCTGGTCGATGCGTGGACAAAATTTTACCAAATTAATTCAAAATAATTGTTTTCCATTTTACCATATGCCATGAGCAAATAGGCGCTGTATATAAACATGTTAAAAAACATGCTGATTACCCATACAGCTTTTAGTATAGAAACGCGGATTTGATAAAAAGGGTGTTGCTTTAGAAAGGCTAGATCACCAACAGCTGTAGGTCTATACATCTCTTTTGGAAAGTTAAAAAAGTTGTGCTGGTTTAAAATCTATCGTGTCCGTTCTACGTTCTCAAACACTTGAATGTATTGTTTTTACCATGAGCAAACTTCACGAGAATCAGGGATATCGTCAGACCTGGTTGATGGAAGAGGACGAAATAATGACGGAATGGTCATAATTCAAAAATTCTCTAAATGAAAATATTCAATGCCCTATATACAAAATGCCCGGAAAACGATTAAATGAAAATGAAACGATTAGCTACCCAATAGTATATTCCAACGTACCGCAATCATTTTGAGCTATTACAAATCTTTCCAGAATGCACGGTGACACCTCTCTCATTATCTCACTTCTAAACTCAAAACATAAATACCAAAAATGAAAAACAAATAAGTTTCAGAAATCATGCACGGGCTACTCGAAGCCTGGGTGGGGAACCCGCCACAGACAATATTATTCGTGATGTCGTAGATCGTCCGTTCGAAATACGAACCTCTACAAATAATGTTGTGGAAATTATCACTTTATATAAAAACTTCAGAACGATTCTACAGATGCGATTTCAAAAATTACAAATACGCGTGTATTTTATAAAACTGTGAAAAATTCACTTGTTAGTACTAAAGCTGCTAAAATACTAACGTCAAAAATAAGGAGATCAAAACGACTGTCGTATGAACATAGGTCTGAAAATTCCGCACATGGCACGCTCGCACACGTGGACCAGAGATTATTTACTTCAGGCTTTGTTTTTAATATAGTATAATATAAAATAATTAAATTAATATAATATAATCTTGTGCGTATAAATCTATGTACGTAACCAGCCGCTGAGATGCTTATACTCACGAAACTAAACTTCACCTCTCGTGGAAGGTTTTTTAATTTGAATCGTGTTGGAAATGTTTTCTTTCTCTTCTTTTCCATAATGCATTTACTGTTTGTTACATTCGTACATTTACAATTGTGTAATACATATACAGTATATTGAACAGCGGGCTCAAAATAATATTAATTTATTACGTGATTGGGTACAATTCAATTAACAAGCCTTGAACATATCGCAAAGGATTCTTTCTATCTGAATGACTTCACCAGCTCTAAAGAAGAAAACCTGCTCGATAATCTTCGGGTTAACAGAGCGAAGTAATGGCAATGTAAGGAGCAGTTTGCCAAACCGAGCATTATCAGAGGAGGGGAGGTGTGTTTGACAGTAATCATTAAGCATGACTTGGGCTTGGTCTTGAAGCTTTTCGATGTCGCGAGGAGCTCGTAAACCACGGAGATCTACAAGAAATGCATGGAATACATTTTTAATGTATACAAAATGGGGCATGATGGTTTTAAAGGATATAGTACATCATGATACCGTGTGGACCAGAAATCATGAATGGGTGCAAAAATGACCTTCCTCTGAAACAAAATTTAGGGTTTTTAATGCATGGTCACACCGTGGCGATCTGCAGAACGACATTTTGGGTTCAAACATTTGGTAAAACCAGCTAGAAACTATCTAGGATTTAGTCGGCAGACAAAGATATCTTAACTACTTGAGAATGTATACTAGTTAAATTCGGGGAATAAAAAAGGGAAGAAGGAAATTATTGTACAGTGTATTGACATTCATAGTCAGCCGAATATTCGTGTAAATGGGATTATAATCGCTCCCCTGTAAGATTCACAGATGCATCCAATTCCCGTCCGTGTCAGATGTATTTATACCATACATAGAACAAAAATAATAGAAAAGGGAACAATGTTTACCGGACTTAAATAGCACTATGGCTTTCAAACAAGCGTATTCAACTGTGTTCATCTGCAACTGATGAAATCGAGCCACAACATTTTGTAGTGTTCGTATTTCTTTGACGACTTTTGAGGTTACTGACTGGCTTGCATTTCGATCTGTGGCCGAAAACAATGTTGTCATATCAACGGGTAGGGAGTAGTGAACGGCGTTGAGAAGAAACAGCTCGCTCCATGCTTCTTCCAGCAAAATTGCTTGATCGCGAAATGGTAAATCCATGAACATTGGGATGCTACGTGCCCAACTCACAGACATGTAAAGTAACTGGATGGACGAGTCGTAGAGAGAGAACGAACTGGGTGGCAAAACAACTTGAGTCGATAAATCGTGTGCAGCTTGTTCACTAACGAAACCGGTATGTGTCGTTGCTTGGGATGCGCTGCTGTTGTTGTTTATATCTTCTCCGCTTTTACTCGAGTCATTGGTACCGTTCACGCTTGTTTCAACGACGTCGCTTTGATTGATGTTGCTGTTCTTGCTGGTATTGGTTTCGTCGTAATTAACGGAACTCTCGCCTTCGGTGCTACCGTTAGACATTTGAAAACTGGAATTGTTTTTCCTTGTCTTCTCTTGGTCGTCTCGTTCATTGCCAGTGTTGTGATTGGTAATGTTTGGACTACCATGCATTAGCTGGTGATCGCCATTGGTTTTTTCATTAAATGAAAAATTACACTCGTCGTCATCCTTTTTCATGCGAGCATCAAAACTCGAAAAAACCGTGTCAACACTACTCTCAAGCTCGTTCCATTGATCAGGAGATATTGGCGACGAATATGGGGAAGTAGGTTCCGAACTGAGCTGGTCTTTTTCGTATTTAACCTTCGAAATGGATCTCTTTCTCCTCTCTCTGTTTTTGGCTGCTGTGATTGAGCTTTTAGCTTTGGTGAATGACCGCGGCGCTCGTTCGTGTTGCACAGCTAAAAAAATGGGAAACATCGTTAATGAAAATGATGATTCATCAATGAGGCTAATGTTATTTTATTACGAATAGCTCAATATATAGCTGTGTGTGAACTTTCATACCATTTTATATGGTAGTTGTTGCTATGATAATGAACTGAAATACCACTTAATAACTCGAATCCAGTGGGTGGTTAACTCATTTCCATGACATTACCTACGAAGCCAGGTTGTATTAGTTCCGATATTACCTCGACCGGGATGTATTAGAGATTAAATTAGCATGTGAGAAAGAGAAAGAACTCATAAACATGATCTTACTGAACTAAATAAAAACAACTACGGAAATCATGTGCATGAAATGTTACGTTAACTTAGGCAGCTGAGCTTGGACTATAGCCCTAGAGGTAGACATAAGACAACGGCTGGAAGCAAAAGATGTGAGTCCCTGCATGAATTTAACGTGGCGCGACCGATCTCGGTACGTTCAAATCGCAAACGTCAATACCAATGTTACATTTTACTCCCTTCTCCTTCAAAAGCTTACCATCTGGATTCATCTCTACTTCATAACATTTCTTCAAACGGCATGCCTGACATTGGTTACGTCTGCTCACGTCAACCACGCAGTCGCCGAAATTCTTACAGCTGTAGCTAAGACTTCTTCTCACGCTCCTTTTGAAAAATCCTCGGCAACCATCGCAGGTCAGGACACCGTAATGTTTCCCTGACGATCTATCACCACATACCTTGCATGAACTACGAGACTTGGTACGCTCTGAAATAAAATGATGAGAGGTTTGTTTACTCCTTCGTCCTCACCACGTTACTGTGTAAAGTGCAATGAAAAATGTAGCCTTAAAAAAGACCTGATGCATTCAGTGCACTACATGGACCTAAATTTAAACACGACTGTAATTACACTTGGATAAAGTGGATGCTGGCAGATACTATATACAGTTTAGATTTAGTCGCATTTTTAGATTTCAAAAAGTTTGTTCCACATTGGAACACAGATTTATTATACAGCCTCAGTAATGCGCTAATTCTTTCATAAAGACCCCAAGGAGTTACAAGTAAAGTGGGTGACCAAAATATTTCTATGGTTATGCTGCATGGACGAAAGAATATTTCCTAAGACCACTTTCCTTAGCTGCATTGTTCAAAGTCATGCATTTTTCCGCCCCCCTCCCCGCTCTTATCTTATCCCATATTCCTACCATACAATGAGAGGAAGAATTTAAAGATTTATACACAATGCTGTTTCTCTTTAAACCAATTATTAATTTTGTTTCATCGAAACTAATTACAAAATTTGTTAACTTGTGGCAAATGCGTACATGTAGGAAACACATTTTTACTGTTCATATGGTCTTTCCATGAAAATGTTTCAAATTATTCCCATGAATGCGTTGAAAGTTAGCTGGCATATATATTAATATATATATTAAATTCCGTTACTTATATATTCTATTATTTCAAAGCTCTATTTAAATACGTAGTTACTGCTTATAACATCTCACATAATCTCATGCAAGAAACCCCCAAATTCTCGCAGAATATGAAGCAAGCTAGCGAATGCTCGCGACAATCACAATATATTGTGACCGCCAATGGCCACGACGACGCGCTATATAACAGCAGCTGCACTTCAAACAGATTTCAGCGACGGGTATCGTATTTATATTACTGATACAACCATCTTCATTGGAATAAGAAATTCACGAGAATTACAAAAGCTGTATAGTAGCCAGTTACATGAATTTGTGTCGTGATCACTTTTCCTTTTCGTATTACACGGGAATATGTATAACGAACAAGGCAAAGTTTGTGCAATTTTGCCCAAGATATGGATCACGCGCGTCAACGCTATACTGAAAATATGGAATCAAATCTGTCAAACAAATATCGCGAAATTTTATTTGGTCACTATACGAAATGGATGAAAGCCAATGTCGTACAACGCTTAGGTATGCTACTAACGGTAAAGACGTGCATACAAGCAAAATGAAGTTAATCAAACTTATTTTACTTCAAACGTAAGCTATTTGGAAACACCCAAAAAAGATCACATACAAAGTTAGCGATTAAATTTTGCGTTTTATATGTCAAGGAATGCTTGGAAATAATCTTGCTGGGACGATATATAGAGTTGCTTACATACCCCAAAAGGTTGGTGAAAACAGAAACTTTTGAACGGCTTAGATATGCGCGGCTATACATCAAATAGCGAACAATAGAGTTAATAAAGCGTGAACCTAATAAACAGTTAGAACTCTGTGTAACTTTACGTATATATACATAATAATACTGTATTGAAACGTATAAAAAATCCCTACCTCGTTTCGGTGTGAAACTTTCTTCGGCGCTCATAATTCACTCAAATCTTTTCAGTCTTTGAATATATGCAACTTTAAAGAAGAAAAATGTTTAGCTCGTGAGCAACTACGGGTCAAGCCAGATACGTCGCCTTCGTTTATAAAGCCAGACGTTATATATGCAAACGTTTGATAACAGTACCTGTTTAAACGGCAGGTAGCTCGAGAAATCCATTGCCGCAATTGGCTGTTAAATATGCTCACTGTTAAGTAATATACTCTGATTGGTCAAGGTTTTTGATCTTTGCTTGCTCAAAACTGGCATTAGTATAGAACAGTATTGCAGGGGTATACCTCTATTTTAACCATTTTTAGGCTAAAAAAATCATCTTTTGGTCAAGCATCCTCATATATATATAACGAACTAGAGAAGTCATTCATTATACCGTACACGAACGCAACAAGCAAACAGGTACCTATGGCTACTTGCGATCGCTTTTTTCAGGGCACGTTTCACGAGTACTGCAGTCAATATACAAGATGTAGCTATATGATTTATTTCGATAATGCAACGGTTGATTAAAACCTTATAATCGACTAACTATATAAGAAGATGAATGATGCTGAAAAACCTATTAGCTACGTTCGTCGAACCCAGAATATATATACATTAAATATTAATTTTACGTACTATTTTCAGAACTATTACATTGAATACTTTGATCTTATAGTTTATTTTATATGTATGATTTTTCGCCCTAACTTCAATGCGTTTTCACAGTACCCATATTGCAAAAAGTTAAAGTCATGATTAATCTGAAGCTATAAGAACAACTTCGGTTTCTAGAGCAAGTTTGGTCGTGCATCATTCAGCTTCTACATATCGTGGCTTTTAGCCTTTATCAGTTGAGAGTTATTGAGCGAACATGGATTGGTAGCAACGAAATTGAATGCGCGTGCAATATTTTCGTGACCTAAAGGCTTACTGTGGAGAACGTAAAGTGTTTCAAATCCATTTCTGAACTATCTCAGGCATGAATTATTAAATTCAAATTAATCTTACATTGCAGGAGACAATGTCTTTTTAACAAAATGCATTTCGGTGTTCTTTGCATATTCAGATCAACAGACACGTCCCGAATTTGTACTCGGGCAATATCCCACTAACAAATGACCAACTCGTTTCCAAGCTCTTGTTCTGTGTGCACTGAAGCAAATTTGGAAAGTGTCTATTATGAGTTTAATATTTCATGCTTTGGGGAATTTCTGCCAAAAATCAACAAAGGTTTTCATGCAATCGCGTCAGTGGGATTTTACGGCACGAACGATAGAATATCTATTTTTTCTCCGCAGACTTGGAACACCTGTGGGTCAATATTGTTACAATTGAAGCGCTAGCTATCTAGATTATATGCAACTGACTCGCCCTCGGCTAATTAGTTAATTCCAAAAATATTCGACAACAATGGAATAACAACACCACCGCATAATTGCTCCTTTACCGCGAAGTAATCCACAACTATGGCATCATGTCACATGTGACAGGAACGGTATGGTTGGTACTTTCCCCTTCAACCTCATAGTAGCAAAGTGTATCGTATAACATTGTTTTCTGGGCATTCGTCCAGAACTAATGGCTTTATAAGCCAAGGGCCAAATACGCTACATTTCGCTACGATACAGTTGAAGCGAAAAATAAGAACCCTAAGAACCCTAAGTGACGTGTATGTATCAAGCACTTTACGCTATCACCGCATGGGGTACTTTTATATATATATGAGAATGACATTCGTCAAAGAATAACAGCATTAACGCAGGTATGCGATCATTTGGTTCAGCTGGAAGCAGAGATGCATGTGTGTTGGACAGCTCAAAAATTTGTTTGAAGTTATTTAAAAACGGCATCGAGCTACAAAGATATATCAGCTAGGTCAAAGTCAAAATAGTGGCGCTTGTGGTGGTACAACATAATTTCACCTCAAATTCGATTCCTCAAAATTTTCAGACAAGACGATTTCATAATACTTTTCCGATCATATTTAGCTTGAAGTAAAATTAAGCAAAGTAATAAAACCTTTTAAATAATTTTTTGCTTTCAATTATTAACACAAATTTTGGCCTTCTATAAGATCCTTATAAGACTTAAACAAAGACTTTAGCTCATTAACATTAGGTTCGGCACATGAAAAGTTCGTCTAAAATAGACTTAAGACTTTATTATTTACAATGTTATATTCATATGAGTAGCAAAAAATCATGGTAGTTGTTAAAATTGGAAACGCCAAACTATCGATCTAGGAAAGGTTCTTTGCATTATTTATGGCCTTATTTCTGCAACTGCCCTTAGAAAGTGTGTTTCTAAACGTTCAGTGCTAAGTTCCCAACATCTCTTATTACATGTTCAGGATGAACATGCATATTTATTTTAACGTGCAAACTTCTGTGAAGAAAAGCTACATAAAGCTACATATGGTATGCTACATATATGCCTACCTGGCTGACGCTACATATATGCCTACCTGGCGGACGAAACACACTTTTATTTTTAAATAAAAACTCTTAAAAACACTTTCTCGCTTTGTCACAACTCGCAATGGATGTTTGAGTCAGCAAAACCAAAGACTCGAAAGATGAAAGTTGTTCCAGAAATTAATCCCAACACTTTTTGAAATCGTCTCTATTTTAGCTTGCGAGTTTTAAATTGTGAAAGGTGTCAACTGCTTAATTGCATGTTTAACACATTTTAGCGCTGAGCGTCACCCTGGCGTGAACCTATATATAGCAAGTTTATCTAGCGTTTATCTAACGTTTTTTTAGTAGCTATTGTTGGCATGCAATTTCCCCCGAATATTTAACGTGTTGAGTTATTATGTGTGTACGAGTGAGTGTATCTCTCCAGCATCGCAGAATTCCACATTCTCTTTGCTATTTCCACAGCGATATGTAGCTAAGAACGAGGCGTTAGACAACTTGCTATATTTTCTCCTTGTTCAGAGATTCCCTTTGCGTTCTAGGGAGCTATTTGTAGGAAAAATATAGTCTCCAAGCCGGACAAATATTCCACAACAATAAACGACGAGTAAAATTAACGGAACAGAGGTCTTCATGTTACCAAGCAATTCCTCGCCACTGATGATACCAAACAAACAAATTTCGTTTTAGCGGATCAAGAACAAGATAAGCAAAAGACTGTTCGTGTTTATTACCAGCAGGGTATATCATCTCACCGTCACTATCCTAAAATAAGGAAGTTTTTCCTTAATGTCTTTCCACTGCGCGCAGAGTCGAATGCCTGTGGCTGTGTGTATATAACTTTTGATAATCTCGTTTAGCTCTTGTATTAATTGACAAAGAAAAATTGAGATTCTACGGATATTTTATGCAGGGATCAAAATAACGGTCGAGATATCATCGGTCAAAGTGCCGTTCAGCTTCATTTTAGCTCGGTCAAAATCAGTTTTTAACCGTCACACAAATTTCAAATATTTACACGACGGATTTAAGGACCAAATCTTATGTTCCAAACACCCATGTTTCTCCATGTGCTATTAGAATAATATGAGCGTTAACATTCATCGTTTGTACATTATGTATACTATATAGCGCTGTTGAAAAAATCTCTGTATATGGTCGCGGTAACGTTGATCAAATGCTAATCAAGTTGATAAATGTCCAAGCCCACTTTAGTATGTCAGATCATTAATAAAAGATTTCCAGTGAAATATATGCAATTTTATAACTGCCAAATTTTGCCGCAGCTCATTCCAGGGAATCCAATATTTTGGCACAACTTACCAGGGCAGATATTTTGAAGACCCGAGATCTTGTTTTAAGTTCTTTTGTATTGGCATCTTTGTAAACGCTGTGAAAGCAACAGGTACACATCTAAGAATTTTCGCCAATCAGGTTAGTACGTACAGACAGGTACGGAGCGCGTACGTGACCTGCCTTTTCCCTCAACATTTGGGAATGGGTAGTAAATTCTGACACTGGTTGGAAAAGCACAACAATAACATAAAATCACGAAACAATATGTTTGGAAAAAATGAATTAACATGGTATTACAGCAGTGGCTCATTCGCACGTTGTAAAGAAAGAAATGTCCCGAAGTTTAAAATTGAATCACAGGAAAAGTTACATTTAAATAAAGGAATATCCAGTATATGCATCAATTTTCGATGTCAGTATAAACCATGTTATCACTATCTCAGTCAGAAAAATTACCTCACTAAATCTTTGTATATTGCTTTGCTTGTATCTAAGTAAGGATTGACATTATCTTCGAACTAGAAAATTGCATTTATATCGTACGTGTTAATACTAGTAGATGATTTCCAGCGGCACAGCTAGAACAGCACCAAAAATGGGGAACGCTTTGTTGCGACATATTGCAAAATGTGAAAAATCGCTACGATCTTTCGAAAATGGGAAAATTAGCCTACATATATCCATGCAAGTGTAAAATGTAAAATCGGATTAGTCCTCTTCCCCAGGTAAGATAACACTGCAAAATTGTATATGATTTTACTACGATTGTACTCAGTGATCAATTGAGAAATTTGTACTATTCCGATCTACGAAAAAGTTTGGACAAATACGCTTATGTGGGTACATAGCTTATAAATACTATACCTATGCGTTTGTGATTTTTTACCTGACAGACATCTCCACCAAAACAGAGATGTTTAAAAATCCGGAAAATAAACTCCATCTTTTCATCTTGTGAAAAAACATCGAAGTGGTCCGAATCATCCATTAAATGCATCTAAATTTAGAGAGACCTTATTATTAAAGAGAAATTATTTCAGGTGGTCCCAAGCAGTACTATCGTGTTAAATATAACGTGTTAAATATCATTTACTGTAATTTGTTGAGAGTTAAAACCAAAGTTCAAATTGCTTACAAGTTACAACTGGGTTTGTTTTGTATGTGAGTTATGCATTGCCATTGCTGTCCTAAAACATGATTGTTTAAAAATTTTACTCCCAACATTTCAACTTGCATTTTCAAATCAGTTGTAGTATCTTTATGTAGTTTTATAAAGCAGAATTCTTAAACGTGTAATAATTTGTCAAAAAATTAAAATTAAACTATTTCTGCCAAAACTGTGGTCTGTAGTAGCTAGTTTATTATGTCTTTTTACTGTCTGTGTATAACATAAAACACACTATATATATGTAAATGATCTCAGCACAAGTTACCTTACGTAGTTCATCAGATACTGTAAATCCTTCCACATATTCATCAAAGCATTTGAAAATCATTCCAGATTCCCTAACCAAACCTGCAGCAAAAATTGTTGCATGCTCATCTGGTCAAGGCACTACAAACCTTACAGGCAAAGGAACGGCATTAACCGTAATTATTACCTGGAAACATGCAAAAATAAACCCCCCAAAAAATGTTAAGTTTTGGGATATCTTACAGTAATTTGACTGGATACATTTGTTTGTAACACAAATAATAACAGTTCACCTTGCCTGAATAATTTTTGAAAAAAATCCATGTTCACTATTGTACAAGGCACCGGGTCTACTTCGACTTTAGCTGCTTTTAAAATCCCTAATTGGATTATTCAAAAATTTATTTGAAATTCTCTCAAAACTATATTCCATATCAAAAATACTTTTGACAGTATCTCACCTAAGTGTACCCAAGAGTCACTAGAAGATAAAACCTGTATAAAACAGGAAAAATATTTCAAGTAAAAATACTGATAGAGATGAGATTTTTGTTGGATATTTGCTGCAATTGTAGGAGATACTTCTTTCACTTTTGATGTATGTGAATAAGTGAATGAGTTGATAATGTTTAGAATAAGGCCACATGTGTTAGATTTTATCCCACAAAAAGAAAACTGTCAGAAAAATCTCAGCCAAATCTCAGCCACAACAGGTCTTATATTTTAACTTATAAATAATAGTAGTGCACAAAAAATAGAAAATCTTTATTTTTACCTGGAGATTGGCCTGAACATTAGGATCTGTTAGAAAATCCTATGTGAATAATTTAATTTTAGACCAACACAGTGCTTTTAGTAAAGCCATAAAGCATAATTTCAATTTTTGTTTTTGCACATCTCTGGCAACAATTTTAGAACAGTCAGCAATATAGGATAAGGTAGGCAGGGCCATAACTAGAACGATAATTGGGGGGTGTTTATTCATATATTCAGTTTTGCCCGACGGATTCCTATTGTAAGCTATTGCACTTACAAAAGAAACCCGTTGGGCAGAACTGAATATATGAATAAACACCCCCCAATTATTGTTCTAGTTACGGCCCTGAAGGTAGGAAAATGAAGTTATAATTGTCCAAATTTTTTGTCAATTGTGCTATTATATATCATGCACATTGGTATGACTGGTATAACAGGACACCATGTGTGAATGCAATGCTATAACTTACTCTAGTCTTTCCATATAAAGGAATTATGATTTAGATTATAATATAATTTATTTATGTCCCCTACTTCCAACAGCAATCAGATCCCTAGTGTCAATAGCACTTACATACCATAACAAATTCATTTTTCTGATATTCTTGAAAATGTTTGTCGTAGGTAAACGCCTGTACTTTCATTTGGTCATACATTCCCCTATATTCAATTATATATTAAACAACTTGTCATTTCATTCACCCATTTTTTTATTGCTGTCATATTTGTTTCCACTGTCTGCCATTTGTGCCAAATGTACCAAGAAAAGAAACGATTTACGATTTAAGTTTATAATACTATAAACGTTTATAATAATCAAAATACATACATATATATAAAAAAAAAGGTTTGACAATGACTTTGAAATAGAGTCGAAATATCACCTTGAATATTATGTCTTGTTTTTAACAACTCATATCTTGGGTTTACAAGATGTTTATTTTCGGAGTATGTTTTCTCTTATAATACATATATAAGTATAACAGTTATTGTAAGGTTTTACTAAGTTAATAATTACAATGAGGATTATCCTGTAGTCGTGCCAAAAGAGCTATTCTTACCATTTAATTAGTAAATCTTTAACTGAATTCGATGAAATACCAAGAAACTTACGATCTTCTATAACCTGAAATTGAAATTTTTCCGCCATATTGAAATGGCGCGCAATACTTCATGTACTTACTGCTCTACTACAGCCTCGTTCCCAGGCGCTTTAAATAAAGTGGCTAAGCAGAGCGAGCGCGCAGAGAATTTTGGGAAGGTTCCTATACTGTTCCTATATTTATTTTTATCTAAAGCGCCTGGGAACGAGGGCACAAGGCTGGCTCTAGTCGCTCTACTCAACCTTTGCAATGAAATCTATTAATATACTTAAAATTCAAATTTCAAGATTACCGAAAAATATCCGCCATTTTGGGGGTACTTTCAATTTTCTTAAATGCGTTTAAGTAAGAAGCATTTTTTAAGAGTCCATAGACCATTTGAACAATAAATTAAGCCTAAAATTAAAGACAGCCGCCTTGCGCTCACAATATTAAAAAGTACCCAAAAAATGTTGGCACATTCGTCATCGTGAGAAAGGCTAATTCCGTTTCTTTCGCAACGTGAAGACGTCAAGACGACGATGTTGCTCCGAATAGACAAAGGAATATTTTACAATTCCAGTGATACTAAGGCTATGTGCACACGGTAACGTTTTCGAGCGTTTTCACAATTTTTTTCATGCGGTTTCAAACACCGTCAATTTACAATGGAAGTTGAAGTTAACGTATTACTATTAAGCATATTTTTCCTTGAGTCGTGTGGACTATGCAATAAAATAGACAAAAACGAATTTGAAAACGCTCGAAAACGACGCTCGTGTGCACATAGCCTAAATACACACCGGTTTACTATGATATTGCGTAACTTTGAGTTCACATTTTGTTCTAATTTGCTCTTTTTTATGGGAAGAAGGGGGAGGCCACGAGGTAGGCCATCGCCCATCAGTTATCTCTAGCAAGTCTAATTGAATAACTATTGTGGCCGTCAACTCCTTTTAATTCTATTACCAACTTCAAATTCTGTCAACACTCAACCGATCCTCTCAACAAATCAACAGTTCTGTTTTATTTGTTTTTTAAAAAAATGACAGTTTGTGGTGTTAATACCTTTATAGCTTGTTCCAGAAACCTCTAATATTCTAATTCCCTTAGATGAAATGACGACATAGCCTATAGTGTCTGTCAGTCGACCAAATGTGAATAAACACCTCCAAAGTTTCTCTGCTCAAAATCAAACACAACTGCTTAATTGATGGGTAAAGGCCTCCAATCGCTGAAGTTCTTGCAAGTCATAATTGTTGTGTATTTTCCGGTGTGTATTTTATGTGTATTTTTATTTTATGTATATTTTATCATGGAGCCTAAAACCAGTTGCATATTACTCTGTTTGCCGAAATCTACACTACCAGAGTGACTAAATGCCTTCTGTTCGTCCAACAATATTGTATTTAAGAACTATAATTTTCTGACAAGTAAATCCCCCCATTTACCCCCGTTATAGAATCAAAGACAACCTTGGCAAGTTTAGGAACTTCTTAAAAAGGAATTCGTTCAGAAATCGTCCAGTTCGGTGATACCTAATGGTATTAATGCCCAGCTTAAGGAACATAGCTACATTCCGTATACTGTGCAATGGCTTTACTGCCGGGAATGGACTTGTATAATGAGTAAATGACTGTATTTGTCTTACTGTGTATAATTTGCATATACATGCACAGCACACACGTAGATGTGATCATTCGTGCAAGACAAAGAAATATTAATGCAAATGACTGTAAGTGTTTACAGTGGAGGAATTGAATATAAAACCAAGACGCAACTGTTTAAGTTGAATTAATGCTTATCAGTCACGAATAGTAAAACCAAACGCAGGAGTTCAAGAGATTCTAGTATAGTGGTGGCACTGTTTGTGGTGAACCGATCCTCCTGTGTTAAATGAACTATGGCTACGGCAAATTTAGTCCTTGTCATAACAGTTGCCACTCTCGGATTCTACCAGTCTAAACTAAATGGCGTATCTATTGTGGAAGCCAGCACAGGCAGCTGCATTCGTTTGCCAAAAGCCTGCAACAGAGTTAAGAATATTACAAATGCTATTAATGCTACGGATGGAATTAATGCTACGCATGGAGACGAAAATATAATTCAACAAATTAATTCCCTTCCAGAAGCTACTGAACGAAGCCAATGCCTGTCGGCGTTAAGAAGTTCAATGTGCCTTTCTTCCATGCGTGTTTGCCACAATAGTTCAAATTCAACGTTCCCGCTAAATTTCACAAAGATAGAAGCATGTGGGAATATTCGGCATAACTGTACAGAGTTACTGAGAAAAACATTTGGTAGCAAGTATTGCAATTCCACGGTGATCGAGGGTTATAATAGTAGTTCTGAATGTGTTAACGTTACTGTTTCCAAAAATGGATATTGTCCCTATAACGACACATACAAGGTATCAATCTTTATTGTTTTTTGCAACATAAATATATTGTATGTGGTTGATTTCACAACAGTTTTTCTTCGACAACCAAATTCTTATCTTTGCATGCATATTAACAAATGATGTCCCCACGTCGTCAGACTAACAAATTTCCACGGTTTTGTTATGAAGAATCATAAAAACTGACCTGAAGAACAGAATTATTTTGCAATTATACCGGTATACCAAGTGGTCTTGATAGTAAAATTTAATCGAGATTCCATTTCAATTTCGATCAGTGTACCTTGCCTATGTTAAATTTTTGCTCGCATAGAAATTTATCGAAATATTTGTATTACATTATTAGTCATTATAGGTGTCTCTTGAACGGGTTTCATAAATAAATTAGTCCTACCTGACTGCACGCTCTCAATTTAAAACAACATGCAAATACTTTGTTAGTTTTAACATTTCTCTATGAACACAATCTATGTATGTATTACATTTTGACTTCGTGTACCTGAAACGCATTTATGAATACGTAGAAAGTGACTCGCCCTAATACTAAATCGATTTCTACATTCTACTGCTCTGTCGGCTTTGAGCGAGCCCACCCGCGAAGCAAGATATTCAACACAGCATGAAAAAGAGCGCGCAGCATTCCAGTATTCAAAATTTCTTCTTTCAATCCAGATGGAAGCAGCAAACGTAATCAGATTTCTGCTAAAGGCGAAGAAAGAAACGCTAAAAAATGCAACGACAAGTGCAAATGATACATGTTGGGACGAATTCAAAAGAATGCACTGCAAAACATTTGTGCCATCATGCGGTAACAAAACCAGCGAGATTACCAGAGATATCTGCAAACAGAAACTAAAGTGGTAAGAAGAAAAATTTCGGGGCTAATGTCATGCTCGACTGGCTGACTAGAATTATCGTGAAATATTTTTCTCTTAGGCTGCCTTTTTACTTGATTAAATTTTTATACAAGTTACTGAGTGAAAAATTAATCATTCAATTCTTGCATGGTCTGAATGCATTCTCCTGTGTAAACAGGGCATAAAGATAAGTTTTCACACGCAATTCTGATTGAAAAAATAATGAAATTTGGGGAAAAAACCAGAGCATTTTTGCCACCTCGTTGGGCCGGTAATTGGGGCGGGAAATATCCATTTCATGGACAATTTCACTGTCCATGACACAGGACTCTGCGAGCAAACAAAAAGAAATATGAGAATATCCAGTGACTTTGACAGCAAAAAACCTCATTCTGCGACAAAAAATATATGATAATTCTCTTTGAAATGAGGTTTCATTACATGAAAATTTGGAATTAGAGGCACTAAGCTGCATTTGTCTGGTTAATCTATCATAAACAGTGGATGCGATTATTCCGTCATCAACAGTATGGGCGATGAGCCAAAAAACCTTTCCAGAATATTGAAATGTTTGAACTATGTCTATACATCTCAACCTTTCTTTTACTCTCCTTGAGTATAATTCACTTATAACAGACGTTTTGTTGACTTAAATCCAAGATAAAAAAAGCGCAAAGCGTAAATTAGACCATTCAGAAAAGATGAAAGATCGAGATTTTTCGTTCGAAAGTGCTACAAACAACACATCAAATATACATTTCTTTGAGGGACGAGGTCACGTACGCAATTTTTGTTGATCGGGTACAAAGCTAACGGTACCTACATATTTTCCCAATACCTATACTGACTACCGCGCCGATGAAATGTACCAATACTGTTTGATGTTGTTTTATATGTAGTTTGCCTCCCGGCGAGCGTGAGAACAAGACAATGGTTTGTTCCAATTTTCCGTCCAAAACAATAACAACAACAAGTAAGTTAACGAGTCGAAATTGAATGGAACACAAAACACATCTAATGTTGTATTAATTCATAGGGAACAATTTATTAGTGAAGCAACTGATCAATTAAAAAACATCCACCGGCCGTCAATCCATGCAGCTTTACTAAAAGTAGTAAAGTGATGCACAAACTATGCGTATATGCATTGTTATGCAACTATAAGGAACTTTTTAACTACGTTGTGATAAAACGTATTGTCTACACACTCTATCCCAAAATTTCTCATTTTTCTATTGCTTTTCTAGCATCGATGTCTACAACTAAAGCGGTGACTACTCCATACGATTTTACCAAAGTGTTCAATACCACAATCACTATTCGACTAAACATCCCATTCAACCCGAACTATTCTAATAAATCTAGTTCCCTCTACAAAGGCCTTATTGATGAACTAACAAGTGGTCTTAAGGATGCTTACAATGAAGTACAGGGTTTTAAAGGAGTGGTTATTCAGGAATTAACATGTCGTAAATCGGTTGCAGCGAAACACAAAGTTGTTACAAGCTTAACTCCTAATGTTAGAGTTCTAGAAGCAAGATTAGTTTTGGCAAACGTAACAGCCGGATACCTTCAGGGGAAAGTTGTTGAAGAAAATAAGCCTTGTACAGATGAGCATGGCGATGACCACGATGACCACACAGACAGTACCAACTGGGTTTATATGATTGTATTCGTTTGCATCACGGCCCTTCTCCTTCTCGCTATGGTAGGTATACGGTATACCATATAACATGCACGCTGCAAATTATTTCTCCACTTTACGTTTCACGCGACGCTGTCAGCTAATCTGATTACAAGGAAAGACGGGATTTACATATACATGCAGTTGTTAACTGGAAACAATGTTCGGGATAAAGTGATAAACTAATATCACATGATAGGCTCCTTGATATCAGAACTTTACAATATAATGCAATAACTCATTTATTTTAGGTTTTGTGTCATCAAAGCAAGTAACAAGTATACCTCAAGATTACTGAATCAAGAATATACATATCAAGCGAAGAAAATATATGAAAAAATTAGAGGGCGAATTGCACATGCTATACATACGAAGTAGAAACTACCAAAAGTAGTATATATATATAAACGCAATACACGATGAATTGCGTTGTCCATTGTGATGGTAAAATATATATAGCCATAGGCGAACATGGCAAGGGACAGGGAGGGCGTTGTTCTCCAAAAACTATTAATTTAGAAACGTTGGGCAATTTTTTATGGAAATCTACCAAAATTCAAAATATTTTTTAAATTCAGAAAATTTTGTATACAGCGGATCGAATAAAAAAAAAATAATTTCTTTGCGGATATGTTGTATCCCATCCAAATTTTGTGCGGGAGAGGGTGTTACCCCTACTAACTATTTTTTACAAGATCTTGAAGACTATACTAGTTGGAATTAAGTATATTCGCGACTTAATTTCTATATGGGCCGTTTCTATCGTAGTTAAATTCGTAGAAAAATAATAAAAACCATTCTGATAACTGAAACCTTTGACATAAGCATGCATGTAAAAGTGTTTTACGGTGACTAACGAATTTGGGAGAAAATACAGTCGTCACAACATCCTCGTACCCAGGCATTTTATGGTAAGACAATAAGGCAGTTCCCTACCTGGGCGACTGAACTAGTGTGCCTATAGCTTTTTCTTGCAACTGCGGGAATTCATCAAGGTGAATTATATGCTAAGTATTAGTCGACTACATTTGATTTCTGCCTAAATTTCTCCAGACGGATCAACCTCTCTACTATAAAATGGAGGCAAATAAAGGAATCATTTATGCCAATGGAGCTTCCCCTGTGGACCTTATAGATTTCGAGTTTCTGAGAGCAGCATCATCCGGTACGAAACATACGCATTCACGAGTCCAGAAAAGCAGTCTGGGACGTCAAAACCGCACATTCAAAGAATATTAAAAACATCACAACTTGGTATTGGGACCAATAATTGGAACTAATGTTTTCAGCGACCAAAAATGTTCTGAACCGACTTTTCGTATAATCTTTGAACTGAGGACTTGACAACCTCTCACACACAAAGAATTATTAAAAACTATATAGAATACGTCTATGGTATTTTTTTATGAAATAGAAGTATATTTACACACGACATCGGCTGTAGGCTAAATGCCAATTTAGAAATGCACGGTAATCGCTTACAACACTGTACATCGAACTTGTTAAAATACCGTTACACCCGCGTTTTCGCATCGCCTGCACAGTCTTCCGAAAGCTTGAACGTACCGCGATTTTCTGCATAATGTTTATGTGAGTTTTGAATTTATGATTTCGTATTCGCGTACAGTGTTAGTAAGATCAGTGTTAGTTTCCAATGGCAACGGGCGTGAGCAGGCAGCAATGAATGCCGTACATGACAAGGAACATTACTGAGGTTGCTACTCTTCAGTACTTTTAGATTCAACGTTCTCGTCTTTATTATCCTCAGATTCCGCATTGCGTGAACGTCTGCTCTTTTTCTTCTTCGGTTGATCGCTTTCATCAGCTCCCTCCTCTTGGCTCTCATCATTTCGACTGTGACGCTTTCTGTTAAAACACGGACAGTTGAGTCACTATACAGTTGGGTACAGTATAGTATTGTATCATATAGCACAATCTGCATAGCACAGTCTATACATAGCATAATATTGTCTAAATAGAAGACGTCGCCACGTGAAGATGTCTTTCTCAATAAAGATGGGTTACAGTTACAGCGGCTTCTGCACATCAGTTCTGCTCATCCAAAAGCTAGGCTATATATGATTTAAGATTGCTTTCACATGATTCCTTGTATTTTTCTGAACGTACACACTAGCTAATATTTTGCGAACCAAATTGAGTTAATTTTATATAATACAGCAATTAAATGTTTGAACAAAGCATTTGTTTACATTATTGACTGTACCCCACCTTTAACTCTTATTCCACAGCAATTATTCAATACATGTTTGATACTAAAAGTATTTTCTAGAGCTTACTTGTCTTTGTCGCGACGATCACGTGACCTGTCTCGTTCTCTTCGACTTGATCTTTCACGATCCTGGGCCGAAAGAAGGGAAATTATCATATTCATTACTAAACTCCAGCTCCTCTCCGGAAAGGAAATTCTTAGACTGGATTTCGCATTACAAAGAGGAAGCAGGCCGGTGTAATTTCTCGTTTGATGGATTTTAAATTCTTAAGTTTTCTAACTTTGGAACTCCAGCCCCGTGCGCAAAATGAAGGCGAGATTGAAAACTTTTAGGATCTAATGAGGTAAAGCAAAGTAGAAATGTCTCACATCTCTCCTTGACTTGTCTTTATCCTTATCACGATGTCTCCGATCCTTATCACGATCTCTATCACGATCCCTATCACGATCTCTGTCACGATCTCTGTCACGATCCCGATCACGTTTACGATCCCTGAAATATGTACACTAAGTTAGCGGCGATCAACATCCGTATTAAAATATGCGAGAACACCCATGATTTGAGTGGCTACACTATTGTAGATTTCAAGAGCATTGCAGCTTCGGAGAACCTGATATGTTTGACTAGGTGGTGTAGAAGGAAGTAAAAGTGAAGTTCAACTTGTTTTCATAACTATCTATTTCAATCTATTTGAGCACTCCGTTTCTTGTTCAGCTCGGACATTTCTCGAAAGGCCCATTTTAGACGTCGAACTTTTCATGTGCCGAATCGAATGCAAATGAACTTAAGCAATGACTTTAGCTCATTAATATTAGGTTCAGCAGATGAAAATTTCGACGTCTAAACTTGGCCTTATGTACCTGTCCCTTCGATCTGGATCTCTATCGCGGTGACGATCTCTGTCACGTCTTCTTCGTGACCGGCTTCCTTCTTCGCTACCATCACTATCATCATCGCTCCGTTTATCTTCCTCGCCCTCTCCGTCACGCTGGTCCCGCGTGTCCCGTTGGTCTCGTTGTTGCTCCCGTTGGTCACGTGATTCGCGTTGATCACGACCATCTCGTTGATCGCGACTATCTCGTTGATCACGTGGCGCACTGTGTTGCGGAGGAAAGCCACGAGCCATCATAGGATCGAAAGGCATGCCGGGAGGAAGACCAACTATGATGTAAATAAAAATAATGAATGTACCAATTCGCTGGATGAGGTTCGGGCGCATTTGTGCCAGTTTTTACTGTTCTGCTATTCATAATAATTCCCGATAAAGCTAGAGGGATTGGAGCCATATATATCCGCAGTTGGGCTTTCATGAATCTACATAATTTTGCCTGAAAAGCATCGTCATGCGAACGTTTTTCACACCAATGCGTACATCAAAAAAATTGCAAGCAACGAAAAGCGTAAGATGATTGGGGAAGATGTATCGATTTTAATCTGGGTGTTTCTTTCTTTTGTATTTGTTACTGCCAAAGTGATGCTATCGGCTACACAATTTCAACGAATCGTTTAGGTAAAGGAACCGGTCTCTAGTAACTCCACGGCGTTAAATCTCTAAAAATTGGAATATTAAACAATGAACAGTTTGGTGTCGTGCAACGTCGACATCAAGAAAAATACCTGGAAACATCCCATTTTCGTCCAGCATAGGAACCTGCAGCCTGGGAAAACGCAAAAATGGGAGTTTTCAAAATTATTTAGAAGTATATGTAATGATTCTGATGAGTTTCTATAGGTCATCACAGAGTAAACTTTTTAATGGCCTCATTCAGTACACCATTTGTACGTCTAAGACAATCAAATCGAAGAGTTGTCATTCTAACATAATACCAACAGAATGTAGCTACATACCTGTCATCCATAGAGAAATCGTGTGGAATAATTGGGATTTTACCTGGATGCATAGGAAACCCTCGACCACGGCCACGACCTTAACATAAAATGAAGCGTTGAGCCTGTTACTAAAGCCGCCGTAAGATGTACATACTATAAATAATTAGAAGTTGAGATCGCATTATTTTGGCAACAACGACAAGCAAATGCTTTTCCTAGCATAGCGTGCTTGGTGTCAAAAGGCAGAATTTCGTTTTGCTGTAGACGGACTTCTTTGTGTTTCTTTTTTATTCAGTGATATTATTTTGCCACCGATGGTATTGATGTTTACCAAATGGTATATGTTTACCAAAATTTGTAATATTATGAACGAAGTTAAAGATGATCTTTACCCATATCAAAGGGTGGCATCATTCCCTCATGAGGTATAATCATTTCACGATGAAATCCAGGCGGTTGCATACGGGGTATGGCATGAGGAAATCCGTAGGGAGGTCGATTAGCTAAAAAATAGACAGAGAAGAGTTGTTTCAATTTTCACGCATGGAATTATAATTTAATGTTTGGGGATAAAAGTTACACGTCCAAGAACCTAGTTCCGGGGAAAGTTTGAAATCTAATCGAACTTCTAAGAAATATTTCATATCTGAATTTTCACCCTTAATTCTTTTTACATTTAGAGACTTGTTACTGTATGAATTTGGGAAAGAAGATGTATGCAGTCCGAGTAACAACAAAAATACGGGGGGAAAGTAAATGGTCAAAATTCTTTGGATACAAACCATCATGCATGAATGGAGGCCTCATTGTTGGAATTCTAGCCATTCCAGGGGGGATGGGGTTTACATTAGGTGGGTGTGACGTAGCTGGGCCTTCCGGAGGACGAATAAAATGTGCAGAGGGATCTGTAATCGGAGGATGTATTGTTGGTGGTCCTGGGTGATCTATGTAAAAACGTTTCATAATTAGGCTATAAAATCACTAGACGGTAGGGTTAAAGGCTCTTAATTTCGAGCGGAAATCATACACATCTTAAATTAAAGCTGAGAAAAATGAGTTGAGTACAGTTGAGAAAAATGTAGCTACTAAGGTCCTCCGGCAGAAATTTAAAGACGCTTCAACCCTTTAGAACTTATCCTATATCGAGTGAAGTGCCACCACAGTTAATGGTGGCACAAAATCTTACTTGATTCACCCTCATCTATAATATATGCTTGTCTATATCGTAAACTATAGAGAATAATGCGTATGGAAAACAACGACATTTACAGCATTATGCCAAAAGGAAAATTTAAAATGCATTTCAAAAAATAGACATTTAAAAATATACACATTTCTTTTTCCATTCAAAAGAATATTAGAATAAAAGACGATAAAAAACGAATGAAAACAACTCTATTAAACCGTCAATAGTTCAAACGCTGAAACGCATTCCGCTCACACTGTCAGTGTTCCTGAGCTGTTTTTACTGCTTTAAATTAATTGTATTTGAAACAGCTACATATACAGTCAATAAATCTAATTCTCTCCATACCTTGCGGTAGAATATGTTGTGGGGGTGGCATCCCTTCCTGAATTTGATGAGCCATTTCATCTTCGTTTGGGCGGCGACGACTTTCAACTTTAATGAAAGATAAATGCATTTTTAACTGAAGTTTGTGTTGTATTTTTTCATACATTAAGGGTATAACATTTGTCAGCTGTCAGCTACTACCATAATCCAATCGACACATGCCAATTGGTGATCGGTAGACAAGGTAGGCTTAAGGCCCTTGCTAAAAGATCTTGTCGATAAAAGAGAGGTTTCTACCAGTCTAATTCGAGAGAGCCCAGGAACTTAACTATGTAGAACGATAATTGGAGGGCGGGGTTGAATATTCATATATTCAGTTCTGCCCGATGGATTTCTATTGTACGCTATTGCACTGTATACAGGAAATGATTCTCTTAGAGACAGCACGCAGGCTACTGAATATATGAATATTCACACCCCCCATCCCAAAAAAAATTATCGTTCTAGTTACGCCAGTGCGAGAGTCATTCGTTATATACACTTATGCCAGTGTTAAACATTAATGAGTTGGATCAATTGAACTCGATGGTTGGATCATCTCACCCACTCACCTCTTGAATTTTCTCCACCAATTACATCGATACTGCCTTCTGGTTTTCTCTCTGGAGGAGGACCGGCTCTCTTTTTCACTGTAATAAAAGAAAAAGGCATGGTAAACTAGCTTTGATAGTCTCAAGACTTTGACAACTACGATTAGCCTACTATAAGTGAAGGCGAAAAAAGTATTTTTATGAAATCTAATGCTGCCTATAATGAATGTCAGATCTCATTAAACCAGTTATCATTACTAATCAACCAGATATCAGGTGTTTGGCATGTTAATTCAGCAATACTAGTATAAAAATGAATATAGTGATAAAGAGACACATGTAATTGTAAACTTGCCATACAACACCGTTCTGTAGTTTGAATAATATTTCACAAAAAGTATGAAAGGGCATTTTATTACCTGTTCCATCGGGTAACACAATCGTGTCAGGTGGAGGTACTGGGAAACTAGGAATGCCTGGTTGTACCTGTGAGACAACGTAAGGGAATGTTATGGGAGTCCCATACTGATATTAAAATAAAACCAAAGAAGAAAATTCTCATATATAGATATATATATATATATATATATATATATATATATATATATATATATATATATATATATATATATATATATATATTAGAGAAATTCAAATCGATTGGCTTATAAAATACTTACAAAACTTGCGAAAAAAGGAATTACGCGCTACTGTAAAAAACATAGGGTAACACATATGTGAAAAAACATGAGGCACATACTACAAACGTTTTCTTTGGCATATTCAGATCCATACGTAATCGTCTTTGTTTTTCACAGTATTGCTTCCACGTGTCTTCAGTAAACCCGTAGTTAAAGTAATCAGTGATGTCGGCACCTACAAAACAGGACACGCGTATATGAAGTGCATTCATCGCGAGATGACGGCTGACATTGACTATTCTTTTGGTTAGTGGTCCTTGTACGATATATAATAATCTATACGAACCAGGTTTTCGCCAGGGTTTGTCTTCAGAGCCTGTATCCAGGTCATATTCATAAATATTCACGCCATTTACGGTACCAACAGAATCAACGTTTACACCTTTTGCTGGTGCTAAAACAGAATTATCATACATGCATGACTTTGACTACGACTATATATGACTTTACATACATAAAAAAATCGTTATGTAACAATGGCACGGTATTTTGGGGGTAACAATGTAATTTTGGTCAGGTGAAGTACAACAGTTTAATAATTTTAAACTGTGCACAAAATTCATTTATATTCTCACAAGTTTTTATAAAAAAAAATATAAAAATTGTACACAAAGATATGTAATCAAAATTTAATAAAATGAAACACTAGTACTTATTAGTATTGGTAGTTTAGGGTAGATTAAAGCAACTCCCTGTGGCTTATTTTTTTATTTACAGATGATTACCACTTGATGTAAAATAGCAGGCAAAACCTACCTCCAGGCGCAGCAGCTTTGGCGGGTGTGTTTCCAGTTGTTGACTTAAAATTCCAGTTTACTGCCGGATGACCGTAGGGAGCACTGTAAGAAACACATCAAACAGTACTATTATTATAGCCAAAAGAATTTTGAGTTTTAATAGAACAAGCAACATTATTTTTGGTTTGTTAGATGGCAAAAACTGTCAAAATGTTTATAAGCTATGCATATGCAATATAGTATTATTCAAGTAAGCTATAATATATAATTTGCCATTTCATAGTGAAAATTTGGTCTTGTTTACAAATGGCTGGATAATCCGAAAAAACTTGGAGTGACTGGAGCATGAATTATGAATAGCCTTAGCTCTCTGACCTGTATGCGCTTGGATCAGCATTTACATCACCGATGATAATTTTAACATCATCGTCATCTTCATCATCATCATCTTCATCGTCATCATCATCCTCCTCGTCTTCGTCTTCATCATCTTCATCATTGCTCTAAACATAAACACAACACATAACAAACTATTTCTTATTAATTTTCTTGAAATTTTGCATCAATTTAAATCGCTGTATATGTCGAACTTTCGTTCCATTAAGCCGGGCCTTAAGGTTAAATATGTGAAGTATATAATGGGGAAGTGCATGTTGATAATTATTGCATTATTACCCACTATATAAAATTTAAACATTCGTTCGTTGAAAGGTTTATCACTTCCTTGTGTTTGAATCAAGCAAGTGACTGAGGTTTAAACTATTGACGATGTACACAATACCTATACATTACAATAAATAAAGTACAACTAAGTACATTTTCACACTAAAGGTGCACCTACTACATATATGTATATGCAATGTATGTATCATATCTATGACATAAACACCAAGAATACTTGAGTATAATATTTACTTGTTCACCATCTTTTCCTGTTTCCTGTTTCTTCTTGGTAGCCTCTGGTTGAAATTCTGGTGCATCAGCTGATAGTTTACTTTCACTGAAAATTCCATCAAAGAGCTTGGTTTAATTGACAGAACAACTGAATATTGGAATACAACAATGTATAAAGGTGCACTTCATGCATGTGCGCTACACACAAAAAATTATCAATTTTATGAAGTGAAATCCAAATTATTACTGCACCGAAACACTGATCAAAAGTATTCAAACACTGTTTTTACAGCCCTCATAAATAAATGGAATAGTAGGAAAAAGTGGAATAAATGGAATAGTAGGAAAAGGGTTCTAGCAATCAAATTAATACAGTCATAATTAAATTCTGAAAAAGTAGTAGCAAATGCCACATGTTTGGTCAAAAATATACTTGCAGGTGACCAATTACTTCCTAAAACTACTACCGGAGTGCATAATATGTTGCTCTAGAACATAAAAATAGTCATTCAATTGGTTCTATTGTAAATTATGAATGACCATGCTTTTTTGTAAGGGCCGAAAAAGAGGTGTTTGAATACTTTTGATCAGTACAGTATATGTCACTCTCACCTTTCCTCTGGTTTAGCTTGACTTCCATCTTTCCCTGTATGATAATAAAACATTTATTAGTTTTCAGTACTTTTATTTAAACAAGCCACACATGCTGTAATGGTAAAAACCAATTTAGGTACATATGGCAGAACCAAAGTTTATTCATATAGATATGAATTCATATTAATATCATTCTTATACAGATTACAGTTAAATCTTAAACACAAGATTACTCACAGTCTGCAACACAAGAAACTGTACTATTTAAGTCACAACCCAGGTCTTTCAGGTTTTACTGTTATTTAAGAATAGTGGTAAATATCCATGATTAATTACAGAGTAGGGTACTGGTATTTGACTATTCTATTATTTCCTATTCTACTTGTAAGCTACAGTATGCAGAATTGCTACTTTAATCATGTTACATGCTACGTTAATTGCTCATGTTCATTGCTAATTTAATCATGTTACATGCATCATTCATGTTAAAAGCTATGCCCATATCATCATTTTGATCTACAAGTGTACACTTTCATCCTAAAATTAGTGATGCACTGATATGGAAATTCACCAATACTCCTATTAACAATTATTGAAAGAGGCTGAATAATTGTTTTATTATTTGCTTAAAAGAATGACATTACAACTTTGTTCAGTCAAATTTGCGCCAATTTCAAAGGAACAGGAGTTCCCTTGGGACCTCAATGTCCTTATAAATAGTGCAAGTTGCAACATTCCTATGTTGAAAATATTGACACCATAAGAAAATGAGTATTGCAATGAGCAACAGAAAAACCAGTTTTAACCTAAATTTAATACACAATATGAAGAAATATTGCAACAGTTTTATGTAAGATTTACTAATATTGATCAAATAGGCTAGCCAAACGTCTGCTTGTCAGAACACTGAATCCATAAACTGAATTTCGACGAATATAAAAAATATAAGTTTAAATCTCATAGAATCATATCAAAAATAACGAAACTTATATTATATGGTTAATTTTAGACGACCGTCCCTTTTACAACCATTAAAAATCGCAGATCTCACCTTTTCCATACAAAAACTGTTCATCATCTTCTTGCTCTGTGGCCGCCATGATGCATACACGTTGGACACGCAGAAAAATGGTGCATCTCGCGTGTTTCCCGCGGGTTCCACCACTGGTTCCACGTTGTGAGCCAGAAAAAAGGCTTCGCAAAAAGGCTTCATCGACTTTCGCGTAAATCTAGTACTTCCATACAAGAAGACAAAGAATTATCTGCATTATAATTTATAATTAAACGTTCGTTCAGACCTAGCATAGACAAAATGTCTTTTGGACGGTCTGTGGACCTAGCGATCGTAAACATCAAGGACCATTTGCTCCTTTCAAGAGTGACACCACTCAATTACGCAATTTTAATTCGGGCACCTGGGGCCGGTTGTTCGAAAGGCGTTTAGCTTAAACGGTGGATAACGACGTTTCGACCTTCGTCAATATAATATTATAATATTATAAAAAAATATATATATATCATTATATGTCTTACTAAGTATCATTTATTTGAATATTTCTGAAATTCTGTACAACTAACCTAGCGGTTTCATATATTCGGTCAATATGACTGTAAACAAATTATTTTATTGTGTGGCACAAGTGACTTAAACAAATAGACCGACCCGGCGCAATTAAAATACGCAATTTTGATTCGAGACATGATGAATATCACGATACTTTAAATAGAAGTAATGTCGCCGTTCTCGCTACTCTGAGAGTTGAGGCAGCTAGATAAATTATCATCTCTTTTCACTCTGGCAACTGGAAGTGATATTAACGCTCCGAGCATTTCCAAACATCCAGCAATAATTAAAGGAAGTTTGAACGTGCCGGTTGCGTCTCTCAGAAAACCTAGAAACAGATAAGATGAGATTAGAAATAACCTAGAAAAAGATAAGATTAATAAGAATATAGAATATCCTCCCCGCCGATGTAACGGGCCTGTGGAGTGTGGACATAATTTTTTTTCAATGCGCTGACTGAATGATTTTTGGTCTGTTATCTCATCTTCAGTCAAGGTTCAATTTGAAATGAACTTACCTGCTAGAGGTGCTCCAAGAAATGAGGAAAATCCTTGAAAAAAGACAAGAAATCCAAAGCCTTGAGCTATATTCGTCGTTCCAACACAATCCAACACAGAAAGACAAAGTGTAGAATTGTAAATACCAAAAAATATCCCAGAGAAGGCTGAGTATATTAATAACGTTATGTAAGTCTTACATAGGTAACTGAAAAGTGTATTGATACCATGAAGAAAGAGACATGATATATTCAAAATAACGCGATATCTAATCATGTCGCCAATCTTTCCAGCTATAAGTCCGAATGTGATGCCAAAAATTCCAAACACGAAGTAAAACCATTTTGATTGGTCCTCGTGAATGCCGTACGCTTTAGCACGATCAGCCTAAAAGAATGTTGTAAATATGAATGGTGGAATATCACGTGACACCACAAAAGAGAATCCGGTACTTTTCATGTGATCTAATCGGCACAAGTTCGGTGGCCAGTTGTTTGAAAAGACCATAAATCGGTTATCCCCATATCTTAAAATGATACATACTCGTACAAAACCCCGACATTCATTTAATCTCTTATAGTTAATTTCCATTCTTGCCTTCGGGTAAAACCGACCTCAGAAGTTCATACAGCCAGGAACTCAATTTCACCCGGGTTCGAGGTTGAACACATGTCCTAACTCAAACGCATGTATCAGTATACTGTAGGTAGTTTGCATCTGCTGTCAATCTAAGTTGATCTTTTGAACTGTTACAAAAGTCACATATTAACCATTTACGAAACAAAATGAATTTTTCAATGTGAAATGAACTCTTTTCTTCTTGCACAAAACAAGAAAAGTTAAATTTTGTACAGTCAATCAATGCGGCGTCTAATGACAAATTATATAGTTATATAACTTTACATTTGGGACAAAAAATGCTCAAAATAGTCACCTCACAATTTCTACTGTATGGTATAGTAGGTTCACGTACCAAAAAGAAATTTCCAACCTGCCATCCCAACATTGCTACTCCTGAACCAAACATAAAGGCAAAATATCGTGGTCGTTTGCATAAGGACCAGCTGCAAAACGGTGTTCGATTCCTGTTGGAGATGTTGGAGATATCTCCATTCTCTTCGATCCAGCCATAGGTTAAACTTAACAAACAAATAACGACTCCAAGGTATGCGAGTATTCGAAACATAACCTTCCAGTGAAATTGCTCCAATAAAAATGTGATTAATAAGGAAAGGCTTAGCGATCCTGTGTACCCGCCGCAAGAAACAAAAGAGCAAGCAATTCCTTGGTATTTTGATGAGATGCATTTAACAGGCGTTATCTGAGTCGATGAATAAAGTAAAGAAGTTGCCATAGAAACAATGAGAGAAAAAGTCGGAAATAAACCATATATTGAATTAACGTAAGAAGCTGAGATTAATCCAAGTGAATAAAGTAATCCTCCTGCAAATGAAACTTTACGCATTCCAAACAAGTCGATTAGAGATCCTACCAATGGACAAAACATTAAGGCCATTGCAAGCTGACTTGATCCAACTAGTGCTAGAAAAACAGTTAAGGTTTCATTATTTTTTAAAGTTTACGTCCACGAAAAACTCCTAATTATCATTCTTGAAAAAATGTTCCCTTCTGGCAATGCCTGAGGCGACTAATTGTTTTATTATAAATTTTGAGGTGTTTACAAATAATAATCAACACAATTTCATAAAAATTTACTTCAAATTTCTGAAATACAACAACAAAAAGTTATACGGTCACCGGTCAGTGACTATATATCAGTTCAGAGAAAGTGGATCTTGACCAATCAGAATGCAAGAAAATCAATAGTCACTTCGAATTTTATACTAAACCGTGTTAGTGTGATTCAAATATGATTTTTAACTTATCAACACTCATCCAGTCGCGCATTATAGGTGGTTAGCAATTGCCTCTTCGTTAATTTTTAGGAAAACACTGTTTTGTTGATCGACTTTTGAAACAGCCAACAATGAGCGGTCGAGTCTCGAGCAAGCCCGAGGAGCGTATTAGAGAGTGGGGTAAGAGGCTAAATGAGGGTCATCGTAGAGGGCACGCAGGCCGGGATTTATGTGATATTCTCTTCAGCTTGAGCTTTTATTTCTGAAACAACTGATTTCTGAAACAGCATTTTACACACCGAGGCTCGAAAAAGCATTAACAAAAATTGGGGAATACTTTTTTTTTATAACACTCCGTCATATATAATTTGTGCCGGTTAATGAAAAATACGCCATATATTTAACAATTATTCGGAATAGTCGCCGAAGGCGAATTGTTATATCTTTAGCATCTAAAGTGGGGGGAGGAGTAAATATAAGTGGTTTTTTATTATAATCTGTTATACTTATAGTGTGAAAATAAAAAAAGGTAAAACGTTTAACGATTCTTGTACATAGCAGAAAGGAAGTTATCTTGATCTATCAGCTCAGACGCCATATTGTCACGATAGTTTATGTCTCAAAAATTTTATTTCCAAAACTTGAATTACAGAACTTTTAATTTTAATTCTTTTCAAACTTATCATTATATATCAAGCATGCATTTCATAAACACAGTTTTTTAAGGGGCCAACCACATGGACGACTTGTCCCCGTAAACTATATATTAGTAGAGAGTTTACGATTCACGACGCTGATAGCGAAGACGCGTTAAAGAGGCGTGGTAACAAGCGTGGTCCAAGCTGCCTCGTCCTATTTTGTTAGAAAGTGCACGGGAATTGGGAAGTTATTTATGTGGTAAAAAGAGTGCACAAGGGCCATTCAGTATGAGCCGTTATATTTATACTAACAGACGAATAATGCGTCAAGACGAAGTAACTACCCATGCATTAAGGATGAAGAAGACGAAACATCTTTTGCTTGCCCAAGTTCGTCTAGACGAATGATCCGTCTCGGTACAAATCGGGCCATTCAATGATGAATTGTCGCAGAAATCAGTTGCGATGTTTGCCCCTGAATGACCACGAGTTTGGGTTTTCGTCGAGGGTCGAGAGTAAGGTCGAGGGTAAAGTCGACGGTTTATAAAGTCACGGGTCGATCGGCAATGTCGAGGGTGAAGTCGAGGGTAAAATATTTTTCGCATTTTTAGCATTTTTAGTATTAGACTATTAGGTGAAGTATATTTATTACTATACAAAATTACCCGAAACTTTTATAAGTGAATTGCCCGTTGCATGTGTATAACGCAAGCAGTTCACCGGTTCTGCAAGCAATTATTATATAACAATATTCTTGTACGTTTGCATGGTGATATCAAATTAGCTTGTAGCTACACACGTAAATATAAGCAAAATACGTCTAAACGAACATAAGAGGAGCTGCGAGAAAGGTAAACTGGATAAGTTAAACTGGATAAATCATAATGAGGACCATTTGGAAGAATACCGCTTAGGTAAAAATGTACTATTGTAACCCTCTTTAAATAAAGTTTATTATTATTATTATTATAAGTCTGCCGTAGCTCACTATGCGTGGACTTATGATCATCGCAATAAATGAAAAGATGCAACCATTTTAGCAAATGATAAGTATATACCATCTCTCATAAAATAAGAATCAAATAATGCCTAAAGATTCATATTACGAATAAGATTCCCGCCTGGTTCATAAATTGCAATTGTATGTATATTTATACATATATATAGCTTGCGTCGTATCGCTTCGTACATCGCATAGAAGAACACATTAATATAACATATTCATATAGGGTATAAATTGTGAATTTCTACCATTGACCCACGACTTCACCTTCGACATTGCCGATCGAACTGAATGCGATAAAAATCGACCCTCAACTTACTACCCTCGACCGTATAAATTTCAACCCTCAACTTACTACCCTCGACCCAAACCCAAACTCGACAAAATTAACATAAACAACAAGCAAGAGCCGCATCCGCCAAGGCGCCAAGATAAAAAATGTGTTGTCGGCAGCTTGAGTACTTTGGTCCATATTCGCTCATGAGTAATGAACGGTATGGTAGATTATTGCTTTGAACTTTTGAAGTTTTTGACTTGTAAACCTGGGCCTGGGAACTTGCCTTCGTAGAAATAACGTTAGCCGTAGAACAATCTGACTCTTTGTTAGACATCTACAACATGGAATTTAATAATTACCTGTTAATGTTCTTCCAGCATTGAATTCGTCCAGAAATGTCGGCAGCATTAGGGGAAAATTAGATATTGTTCCCATTGAAAATGCACAAATGAAAAAGGAACAAACGCAGATTATAATTCCCTTGTATCTAGTTGTAGGTGCTTCAGTGTCATCCATCTTTATTAAAACGAGTCTGCATGGGTAATCGTCGAGAGTCGAGACTCGAGAGTTTTTGGTCAAAAGTACAAGGTCGAGAGTCGTAAAAATTCTAATTTTGGCACACAAAAGGGTGTTTTTATTAATATATTAAGTTTACTTCTACTGCTATTTCACTGCACGTTACCTGGGCTTAGACACTGCGGTATGTCCGGTAACACTGTTTATTTTGTCAATTTACGCCATATGTTTCAACTTCCGAGAGCTCCGACATTGCGTCAAGTGACAGACGATGGCATCAAGTGACATCGTTTATCAACGGTTTCATCGGTTTTCTAAGTGTTTTTCTTTAAGCCCGCCGCACACGAGAGTTATCAGCTAAGCTAACGACCTCGCGAGGCATTTAGCTCAGCCCGAAAACTATCCGCACACGTGAGAAACTTGCTTCTTGAGGCGAATTCCTCACGAAAAACTATCTGCACACGAGAGTAACTTGCTGAGTTAACAACCACGCGTGGTCTTTAGCTCACCTAATAATAGCTCACGTGTGCGGCGGGCTTTAAAGTGTTGCATATAAATATAAAAAAGTTGTGAGCGGTAACTTGGGTAACTCGGGTAAGGAAAATGAAGTGGTATACCAAAATGGATCCGGAAGACGTGGCTCTCGACTCTCGAGAAAGCCCTAGAAGCCAGCAATGTAACGTAAATGAAAAAATATACTGCGACTACTGCGTAAATGAAATATACTGCGAAATATACTACAAACAAGCACGCCTTTTAGACTTTTGCTTCACAGTTCACCTGCCGTGATTGTCCTAACCTGGTTCTCAGCAAAAAGCCAAAGAGGAATCCAAAGGCGAAGCTGAATCCGCAAGACGTAGACACGAAGTGGTAAGTTGCATGTTCAAACTGGATATGCATGTCGAAATTCACATCGAAGTGCTATAAAGAATAGCAAGTAACATGAATACTATGAATTGATTAAACTCGCTCGTTTTATATTTTGCAGAGCGACGACAGCACGACAGAAGGATCAGATAAAAGAAGCCAATCAATTTTGCCAAATTTTATGAAATCTTAGTCTTTCTATTTTTTTTTTAATGAATGAAATTCTTGTCTTGACTTAGCGACCTTTTCCTCTTGACTCCCGACCTTTCAAGGCGGATTTCCACTTACAGCGAAATTGTTCGTTAGCGAAATATTTGCATAATTTCTTTTGAATTGAGAACAGTCAAGTCGTATTAATTTATTTATGCTCTTAAAATTCAAAAGAAAATAGGCAAATATTTCGCTAGCGAACGATTTCGCTGTAAGTGGAAACCGCCTTTACTCTCGACCTTTTTACTCTCGACTCAGAGAAAATACAATCTTTCATTCCGGGCCGAGCACCCGAGATAGCGTACATAGCAATCGCTATATTTTTGCTTATGCGCAAATCTGCTACGCAAGCTAGGGCCTAGGGGTAAGAATGGCTATCAGTTTTAGAACAGTTTCGACCTCGACTTCCTTATTCACGGATGGCCTTGGCCCTTGGCTTCGGCGAATAACTGTTAATTATATGTAGAAAGACAGAGAGACGAATGACATCTCTATTCTCTAATGACATTCGAAAAGGTAATAGCATTATAGGATGGTTTCACTTTGAAAAAAACATGCATGAGTGAGTCCGTAGGACGAGTGCAACTTGAAGTCTTTGAAAAACTCACGAGTGCATGTTTTTCAAAATTGCATAAGAATCTATCATTATCTATGCTATTACCTATTATTAATATATATACATAAAAAGTTAAGCGACACGTGCTACATAATTATATAATAAGTAATTTATTCATGCGCAGTCGCATGTTGTTTTCAAATTGCGTCAAAATAGAACTGTTTCAACGTTTTTACATAAAATATTTAATTTATATAACAACACAACAATTATAACACTCATGAGCATTTTTAAAAACGTCTTAAAGAAATGAGCACTGGGATTTCCTAAAAATTGCACTGCTCTAAACTAATCAGAATTGAGAAATTTTTTATGTATATTATTAAGTCTAATATTAAATGTTGAGTGCATAATATACATAAATCATACGATCTTATTCAGCGTTTCAACGCCAGGATCATTGCTTGTTAGGAAAAAGGAAAATGCAGTATAGTATACTTGTTCCTATAAACTCCATTCTGTTCAACAATTCAATGTTGTCACAATGCACTCTTCTTGTATTGGCGCATTTGAATTTTGATACTGCGTGAGTGAATTGTTATTTAGTGCACTCCTAAAACGGCGGCTATTTTGATACGAGCCTGCGATCCGACATAGTAAAGCGGTATGCTCGATGAACGTAGGTCGTTGACATCGCTGGGCATTACGGCCAGTGTAATAAATTATAGGACAAAATAACTGCAGACAAATACATGCGAGGTTAAAAAAATACGTCCTCGCTATTCTAAGGTTTCTATTCGTGTGGAATCTGCATTAATCCAGGCGCACACGACGCAATTTTGTCGTACGATTTTAGTCGGTCGACTAAATCCTTGCATGTGCGATGTTATGCGATTTTAGTCGGCTGATTGCAATCGGAAAATGTCAAAAATCATACGACAAAAATCGCGTCGTGCATGTGCGCCTGGCTTTAGAGCGCGTACAGGCAAGAAAAACTTGACAAGTCATGACCAGCAATGAAGATGTTTACATGACCGCTCGTTTGCTCGACCGCAGCCTAGCGAACATAGGTTATGCGAATGCGTCACACTCCCATTTACGCACTTCTTGTTTCAGTTTGTGCACGTTGGGTCGTTGGCCATGCAAACGTTGATGACTTTGTCCCTGCCAAGAATGAACACTAGTCGAGTCAAGTGAACCATCGTTGCGTTATAAACTCGGCCGAATAGCGTCGCCGAATCGCGTCCCGTGTTTGTATGCCTCAATATTTCTTTTTTCGAAAGGCAATATCCAATCCCAATTATGCATGTAAAAGACCTTTCCCGAATCATTCGCATGCATTAAAACTTGTTATAGCATTAAAACTTGTTATAGCATTTTGAATATCACTTAGTAATACATTGTCATTAATAACTTAGCATCAAATGTGGTATAACAACTGCCTAAAATAGACAAGAACACTTCTCGACGTTTCGACCTTCGTCAGGATTTTATTATAATATTATAAAAGTATATAAAATTATCATTATATGTCTTACTAAGTAAAATATCATTAAATTAAATATTTCTGAAATTCTGTACAACTAACCTAGTGGTTTCATATATTCGTTCAATATGACTGCATGCATGTAAACAAATTATTTCATCGTGATTGTGGCACTACAAGTGACTTAAACCAAATAGACCGACCAGGTGGTTCACATCATAGCGCCAATTCTGTCTAAAATACGCAATTTTGATTCGAGACTGCGGCCGAGTGCGGCGGGTTTTATCAAGCCCGTTCAGATTAAACGGTAAATAAGTCAAAATTAAATAACACTCTTACATCCCTCTTGAATGAGTCAACTTGAATATTATGCACTGAATATGTAGTTGTAAACAGTATCTTTGTATTAAGGTTAAAAACATTTAGTTTGCTTCTTGAATAAAACAATAGACTTGCTTTCTCTTTTGCATGAAGTTAACCACCGTTTACAAAGCTAAACGGGCTTGATACAACTGGCCCCTGACGAATATCACGATACTTTAAACAGAAGTAAGGTCGCCGTTCTCTCTACTCTCAGAGTTGAGGCAGCTAGATAAATTATCATCTCTATTCACTCCGGCAACTGGAAGTGATATTAACGCTCCGAGCATTTCCAAACATCCAGCAATAATTAAAGGAAGTTTGAACGTGCCAGTTGTGTCTCTCAGAAAACCTAGAAAACAGAGCGAAAAATCGGCACATTTATACAATGGAATATATAAAATATCGACTTTTCTGCCCAACCTTTGATATGCAGTCCATTTTTTTAAATTTTTATCATATGCATCTCTTTTCAGTTGAGGTTCCATTTGAAATATACTTACCTGCAAGGGGTGGTCCAAGAAATATAGCAAATCCTTGATAAAAAACAAGAAATCCAAAGCCTTGAGCTATATTTGGCGCTCCAACGCAATCCAATACAGAGAGACAAAGTGTAGAATTGTAAATACCAAAAAATATCCCAGAGAAAGCCGAGTATATTAATAATGTACTGTAAGTTTTACAAAGGTAACTGAAAAGTGTATTGATACCATGAAGAAAGAGACATGATATATTCAAAATAACGCGATATCTAATCATGTCGCCAATCTTTCCAGCTATAAGTCCGAATGTGATGCCAAAAATTCCAAACACGAAGTAAAACCATTTTGATTGGTTCTCGTGAATGCCGTACGCTTTAGCACGATCAGCCTAAAAAAAGAGTTGTAAATATGAATGGCAGAATATCACATGACACCATAAAAGAGAACATATCGTGCATATCCCTTAAAACCTAGGTTGATTACTTGATTTCAACAAATAATGTACAATTACAAAAATGAACATGCCATGTAAAATCAACTCTTTTCTTAATTTACTCAAAAAAAGAAAAGGTAAACTTTGTGGAGTCAATGAGGACGGAGCTTATAATTATGACGTTGGGCCGGGACTGACACACAGTGTTTTAATTGTCACCTCACAATTCACGTACCAAAAAGAAATTTCCAACCTGCCATCCGAACATTGCTACTCCTGAACCAAACATAAAGACAAAATATCGTGGACGTTTGCATAAGGACCAGTTGCAAGACGGTATTCGATTCCTGTTAGAGATATCTCCATCCTCTTCGATCCAGCCATATGTTAAACTTAACACACAAATAACGACTCCAAGATATGCGAGTATTCGAAACGTAACCTTCCAGCGAAATTGCTCCAATAAAAATGTGATCAATAAGGAAAGGCTTAGCGTTCCTGTGTACCCGCCGCTAGAAACAAAAGAACATGCAATTCCTTGGTACTTTGATGAGATGCACTTAACAGGCGTTATCTGAGTCGATGAATAAAGTAAAGCACTTGCCAAAGATACAATCAGAGAAAATGTCGGAAATAAACCATATATTGAATTAACGTAAGAAGCTGAGATTAATCCAACAGAATAAAGAAATCCTCCTGCAAATGAAACTTTCCGCATTCCAAACAAGTCGATTAGAGATCCCACTAATGGTCCAAACATAAAGATCATTGAAAGCTGACTTGATCCAACTAGTGCTAGAAAAAGAAATAAGCTTTAGTGGCCTTCCTTTACACTACACTCACGGAGTTTGCATGGAACAGGTAAAATGAGTATACTGCAAGCTCGTACCAGTTTCATCCGTACTTGGCCTTTGTATTATTGGTAATCTGAGTGAGGATAAATTGGGTACGGGTACAGTGCCAATTAATTGAGTGTAGGGTATAAGCAGGGCCCTTGAAAATTCCCCCCAAAAAATTTATTCCTCTTGCAAAAATACACCGTGTTTAGATATTGCGAAAATCAACGCTCGCTTGGCCGCGTGGTGCTGTTATCTTGGTTAATTTTCCAAACTGTGCACGAATCATTATAGATGTTGTATTTTGATAGCCACCCAATATTACCAAAGAGATCAATTCATTGGTAAGCAGTTACAAGTAAACAAAAAAGGAAACAAAAAAAGTAAAACAACTTAGTTTGTTCTCACTCTTAAAGGTGGAAATAAGTTTTGTTGCGCCAACCAGGACTACTGACAAGTGTTTTACTTAAACACAGTTCAGCTAAAATTATTTTTAGCATTGTAAATGAAGGATTAAGAGCCATTTTCAATTCCCAGTGGTGCTTATCTATTGCGCTTTAGAGCTGTATTAATGTTCTGCATATTTAAGTGGTTGCTTTTTTTTGGGACACCCTATGTATAACAAACTTTAAGTACCTGTTAATGTTCTTCCAGCATTGAATTCGTCCAGAAATGTCGGCAGCATTAGGGCAAAATTCATTATTGTTCCAAACGAGAATGCAGAAATGAAAAAGGAACATACGCAAATTATAATTCCTTTGGATGTAGTTGTGGGTGCTTCTGTTTCATCCATCCTTGACATTAGTACACTGTACAACATAAGCTAACTGTCTATACCACGATACCCAGGTCTGATTTTGAACTGCGGTAGAAAGATATTATTAATCGTTCAACTAGTTAATATGCACAACCTCACAAAGAACGAATATGTACTGTTATGTTAATCTGATATTAAGCTCATGCATTTTATAAACCAAGATGGTATTTTCCGTGACCATGTACCATATACATAGAAAATGTAAATATATATAGCCTTAACCCTCATAATAGTGTTTTTTATTAGAAAAAAAGATGTTATTAATCCCATTGCCCATGAAAGCAAAAGCGGCGTAAGCAAGAGCAACATTTTCTGATGTGCCCTGATAGCGTGATTTCAAGCCACGACTTGATGCAAATCTCGTTGTCAAATGTTAACTAGGGATCCAAGGATGGTGCAAAGTTTCAGTGCCCTCCCGACACCTAGGCAACCAGTCATCTGTTGCAACATACAGAATTTTGACTTTCGCCAATAAAAATATAAAGAATTAAGCAGGTTAAACATAACCCCGAATCAAACGTGGTCAAACGGAGGTTTTATTGCTAATATTACAATTGCTCAATAGCTCAGCACCACACACCAAATAAGCCAAAATTTATGCATTCTCTAGCAGACTTGAAGTTCATTGTATATTCTAATACATATTGTATTTTCTAAATATTTGTTCTATAGTTACAGATTTGAATTAAAGAGTTTTGATTGTAGATGTTAGATTGTACAAATTTACTACGAAAGCACTAGCTTGCCTTGGATAAATCATACTCAAAAGTACTCAAATTTCGTTTGCCGCGATATTGCCATTATTGTATTCAATTCACAATTTTGTTGGTCTTATATTATTTTTCACTCACAATATAGACACAGTCCTTACATCTACGCTATCACTTCACGTAATTACGTTTCCTACCTGATTATCTTCTGATTCTTCTCTGTCATCTACTCTGTCATTGGTTGCTACTAATTAATTAATTACTCACGCTACTAAATTCCTAAATATTTAACAAAACATCTCATTCCTTTTCATCTCTGTATAATAAATTGGTCCGCTGGACTTTATTTCGATGAATGTAGTAGACACGTAATCGTATAGTTTTGACTTTTGATTGTTTATTAACACTGATACACTGATACTAGTCGATCTATATATACAATATTAAGAATATTAAGAATTATAAGTAAAGTAATAATGTAAATGAGTTAAGAAAATTAATTGTTGCTACTCACTTCTTTAGCGTGTCCTCAGGGTTATACATTCAATATTTATCTGGTTAGCAAATTAACTGAATATTCTACATTGTAATAAAGGTTAGCTTTTCTTTTGGATCTTTTCGATAGGAGTTCCTAGTCTAGATTTAATTAAGTTTAACGAGCACTCTACTTGTCGTGTCAAACTGACACACATGTCATTGTCACAAACTAAATAACATAACTTATGTATCTTATTTAATCAATCTATAATTGTTCCCTGAGCGCCTCACGAACCATGCTGTTAACCAAATGCTGTAAACCGAAATGATTTCGGTGCTGCGTCGGATGTTCACTAAATAGACTATTTATAAACAGCACAGCGTTGTTTCTAATCGTCCAAATTATATCTGTGCCTTGTTTGATAAGACCTATCAATCTTTCATACTGACCACCCCACCAAGGTGCTCGACTTAGGCTGAACTGCCACTTGATAGCCATCTTCGCCAACTCATCGTTGAATCTCTCGTCGTGCATAATTCGTTTCAGCCACTTCGCTCCAGCAACAAACGTCTTCGCATTGTCTGAATATACTTTCTCGGGCCGTCCGTTTCTCGCTATAAATCTTTAACAACTACGACAGGATAAACGACAGACCTATTGGACGCACAAGTTGCGGTATTAAGTGGCGTGTCATTAGAGGGCGCAGCTGGAGGCTTCCTTTCATCCGGGGCGTCACAAATCGAGGTATGATGTCTACGCTTACATTTGGTACAAGCAAATCGGCTTCGGCAGAGGCACGATGATCGGCCCCAGTACAGTTAAAACACAAACGCTTATCGCTTAGATACTTCTTTCGCTCCGCAGACGTAACTAATTTTGGACAGCTGATTTGGACAGCTGACATAATATGGTCAATCTCCTTACCATAAACATCGTCTTTGTTTTGTTTCGTGCTGGCGCGTTTGGAATGTTTTTGTTCGAAGAACACTCGGCAACTTATAATTATTCTTATCAGAGGGCCTGTCATCGACTTTCATGGGGGTTTCTCTCTGTCTATTTCCTAAGGGCATCTACTAATTTGACAAAATCCCACTGGCGCCAGCCATCATCTGTTATGGAGACTGCACGTTAAACACTAACTTATCATAGAAGGCATGTATCTTACCAGGATTCGTTCCCTGTATGGTCGGTAGATTCATCAGATTCTGTACATACGCATTCACGATCTCGCAGTCGTCCCCATATTTCGTTTTTAGGATATTCTTTGCCCGCTCGTAACCTTTCGTAGAGAATGGCAGTCGGTCTATGAATGATTTCACTTTTGGGCCGACCAATTCTTTAAGGTAGGAGAACTTCGTCACCGCTGCAACCTCCGCCTTATGCCTCCAGTCCAAATGTTTACGCGTTTTATCCAGCTTAATTTTATGTTGAAGCTTTAGATCCATTTGAGTCATCAAATTCAAGTTGCTGTTCGAACTGCTCATGTCGCACTTTCGCTTCAATTTCTTGCTTGTGCAATTTTGCTTCCTCTTCTTGTTTCCATTTATTCGTTATTTTTAATGTCTTCGCTATCTCATTATCCCATCTCTCGAGTTCTAGTTCTATGCTGTCCGTCCATGTTTTAATCTCGCTCGCCTCGTCTCGCTTTCCTATCCGTATCTCTTGTACTTTTACCTTTAATTCGTAAATCTCGTCTGCGGTTTTCCGTATGCTGTTTTTATGACGCTCGATGCTCGTTATATTCCGCTTTTCGATCGCTCGTTGTAAGGTTTCACATGTGCTTGAGCTAACTTCTGTTTTATCTCGATTTGTTTTAGTGCCTCTTCGATTTCTCTCACAGATCCCGTCGGAGGTGCCACTTGTGTTGGGAGCGCCGTTTGAGGCGTAAGGTTAAACCATAACTATGGTTAAACCAACACACTCACAAAAGTTTTGGGTTTTCTCTCTTTTATTTCCCAAGTTACATCCCCGATCACTAAACCGTCTCACTCGCACTAAACCCTTTTTGATTCACACATATTATATCTCATGCATTCTTACCTATATGACGTATTAAGTGAATGACTGTTCCTAATTACTAATTATATAAAAATGTAGAAAATTTACCCCATTCTCAACAGCCCAAACACGAAGTCCATAAAATTCGCAGAAGCTGCATGACTAAAATGTTACTTAGTGCAGCGTCATTTTTGTGGTTTGTGATCGGCGAAATACTTTTCGCTATTTCTCTTAAACTATGTACTTATATATTTTCTATACTGAATGTCATTCTTTATATGGATATAATTAATTTAATTAATTGTATTATCGCAGTCAATGAGAAACGGGTTTTGTCATTTGACTCGAACAACAACATCACACTTCCGAAATAAAAGCCCTCGCACCACCGGCCACTTTTGCGCTAAGAGGACCTCTCATCGAAAGTTCTTTCTCCACAGTTATCACAAATTGGCGTGATATATTTTATATATTCAAACAACTTTTCGTTTTCGCTAAAAAAGCAAAACACAACTAGCGCTTTTGGCAATTATACGGGTGGGGATTGAAAAATTCGCAGAATCTGCATGACTATAATGTAAGTTCATGCAGCGATTGATGATCAGCTGAAATACTTTTTATCCGGGGGGTTGTTGCCATCAGTTTACGTAATAAACGAAAAGCGGAATGGCAGAAGCGGAAAAAGGGGTAAAACGCGGGAGCGGAAAAAAGGGTAAAACGCGGAAAAAAGGGTAAAACGCGGGAAAGCGCTTGCCGTGCGTGAACCTTAAGCCTGGTTTTCATAGACGCCGACGTCGGCGAAGTATTGGCCAGCTAAGGCGACAAGCATACAGACATATATTAGTATGTTTCAATTTTGTAGAGGAGGCACACTATATTTTGAGCCTGTCGTATTGAATTAACTTGCTGAAATCTGGATTGCCTGTCTCATGTGTGTGATCTTTCCATTTGTGGTAGACCAAGAAGAGCCCTCAAAATACAACACATACTAAGTGGCACACAAAAAGATCAATGGTTAAGACAGTGAACACCATTTACAAATATTTACCCCATAGGGTTACATTAGTAGCCATATGCACTATGCAGCTACCATACAGTGCAGTCTATTGAAACGGGTAAGGGTAAAACGCGGAAGCGGGAAAAGGGGTAAAACGCGGAAAAGAGGGTAAAACGCAGGAAAAAAGGGTAAAACACGAATGTTAAAAATGTTAAGAATGTGACTTTCTGTTTATGTACTTGTAAAACTGATAACATTGAGTGATTTTTTATGTGAAAACACTTTTTCGCAGCTAATGGGTTGCTTTCCACTTACTTTTTTCTTCCTTACGTACGTATGAAAATGCTTTCAAAATGCTTGTATTCATGCTATGGTATTCATACGTGTACTTGTCATAATCATAATCAGTAAGTCTTAATTACAGTGGTCAAATATTAATGATAATCTATTCACTGGATTCAAAATAAATAACAATCATTAAAACTGATGAGATAAAGCTGAGTCAGTAAATATTTTAATATTTTTATTATGATATTGAACTGGCTACATTTTACAAATTGGAGGTTAAGGTAGCCAAATTGATAATGGGGATGTATGGTAGTCATATTCAATATTTGAAATGTTGAGGAGAAAGTCAATCACGGTCTCCTCACTCTTATTTTTATTGTAACTTTGATCAAAACTTCATACGTTTTAAGCATATAATCTGCATTTTCTGGACAAACACTTTGCTTTCATCAGGTATTACTGTCACTTAATCTTATTTTATGGGCATTGATGTTTATCCATTTCATGTAACCTTGCTGTTATTCACCGTATAAACCTTCTGCATTGAAGACTGGGTAGTATTTGGTAGCATTAGACTGCACTGTATGGTAGCTGTATATGCCTACAATATTGTAATCCCTATGTGGTAAATATTTGTAAATTGTGTTCACTGTCTCAACCATTGACAGTGTATTCAAATCAGTGTATTCAAATTCAGCTTCCGCGAATTTTCTGGATTTCGTGCTTGGGTCAAATAAACTCAAATATCCTCAAATAATGCCTAATGCTTTAATGAAGAATGGCTCGCAGAGAAAAATCTATTGCACGGAAAATAGCGAAGTTATTTCAACATTTTGTAGGTCAGACACCCGCTATTTTCATATTCATGTATGAATTTAAGGGCTGTTTTCCACTGTCGCGTTTTTCATACGCACGTACACGCACGTAAAAGTCTAAATGCTTATATAAGTTATCTTTAAAAAAACGAAATGAATAAATCGAAAGAACTTAGTTTTCCGCGTAGCTTAGTATGCATTCGCTGACCTAGATGTTGAATAATAAAAATTTAAAAGCACTTAAACTTTTACGTGCGTGTACGTACGTGCTAAAAACGCGACAGTGGAAAGCAGCCTTTAATCTGAATATGAAGCCGTAGAGCCGACGGTGTTTGAATTTTCGCCACTCATCACAATACTGAAGAAACTTTGCACTAAAAACGAACGTAAACGAATATGCAGTTGACAAATAAGACATTGACCGTCTAGAGTAGTGTTTGTATAGAATATATAGTGTTTGTCATTTCAGCGTTGCACTTAGCCTTAATACTGCCCGTTGGAGTATGAAATTAATGAATGTTGAGTGCATGTTTATTAGATGCCTGCAGAGAATATTGAACATTTTTGGACAAATATTCATAGCCAAACTGCCAAATGATGAGTATTTTAGCTGATTTCCACCGTCTTTTCCTATGTAGTTAGTATGTACGGATGTGTTCAAACGATCCCTACTAAAGAAATTTAAAGATATCGAAACCACCAGACATTCTATTATATCGAAACATTACTGGAACTCTCTGCTAGAATCCCATTGATTATTGCCGGGCTCATTGAGTTTAAGTCTCTCATTTTGAACAAGCCGACGTACGTATCAAATCCAAATGAGTGTCTTGAACTGTCCTTGAGCGAGAAGTGCCAAAGTGAATCCCAATGCTATTCCTCGATCTTAATAGTTTTCCCACTTCACACACTGATGCTGTTGAGAATTGGGCATGCTCCACAATTTATTTATTTTAAACCATGCAGATAAACGAATCATCGCACTAATTCATACCTGTATAGTAGTAGCCCTGATAATTCGCCCGTCTGTTTGCAACCATGGACATATATCCCCGCTATCTATTTCCTGTGCGTGAAGAAACAAAAAAGTTCCATGGCGGCAATGGCGTAGACAGAACGATACAATATTAGGGAGGGCAATATTCATATATTCGTGATACGCAGGTATAATTTTTTTTCAAATCAATTGTTTTTACAGGCTGTTAACATGAATATATGAATATGGGCCCCCAATTATCGATGCTGGCTACGCCACTGTCCATAGAGACACAAAAATCCGGTTTCCCATCCTCATCACTTCATTGGCATCATCACATGCGTGATCATCATGATAAATTCACATCAGAAACATGAAACATGCATAAAAAAATAATAGCGATCACCTTCAGTCGTTAGAATAATATTGATTTGAATATTTCAAAAATCGATGATGAAGTCTGATTTGTAATCACACTTTGCACACGCAAATCATGGGAGGATTGGCAAACCTGACAAGGAGACACTATATATAGAAAAGCTAAATTTATTCAGAGAAAAAGCTCATTTGGGCATATATATCTCAACTCTTGTAACAATTGATTTGCACCTTGGAAGCCAATGTGTTCTGCTACAATTTATACTATATTAACCCACAAAACATACGCTAATATTCCTAGTCTAAAACGCGGAATGGAACACCTGGAACATCTGAATACTGAATTTTTGTTCGTTTTTTATTGCTAATTTGCAATACTTTTTTTTAGTTTTATGAATAGATAAATAAAGCCTCATTAGTTCGTATACTACCGTATTTATGTACGTATGTATAATGTAGCGACGTAATTGCTTGAATGTTTTTGAATGTGCATGGCGAATGGCGATAGTGAGGAAAGAACAGTTAAGGGTTCATTTATCATAATGGAAACACTTATTTTGATGGTGGACATCTTGAATTTAATACTCACTTCCAAATTCGTCCCCCATAGTCAAAAACAGTTTTTTCCATTATGATAAAAGATTCCCTCACTGTTCCTTCCTTATTATTGCCATGCACATTCAAAAACACTCAAGCAATTACATCGCTACATTCAGTATACATACTTACATAAATACGGTCGATAGTATACGAACTAATGAGGTTCACATTCGCGGTTCTTCTCTTCATGAAAGTGCTTTGCAGCTTTGCAGGCCTTTCAAAACATTCTCTAAACTCGCCTTTTATACGAACAATTTGCATATTATATATTAATACATTTTCAATAATATTATAAAGCTATATATGTCATAATATGTAAAATGTCATTCAAGCAATATTTCTGCACAATTTACCTGTCAATATTATAAATTTTGTTTCAAGTAAATTTCCAGATAGCGGTTTCATATACTCGTAGAACATGTATACGGCGTACATATACCCTACAGTTTAATTCTTTATATCAAATTTAAAATGAAAGAGATACTTTAAACAGCAGTACTGTTGTTGTTTTCTCTACTCCCAGAGTCGACCTGACTAGGTCTTACATCACCTCTTTTCACTCTTGCAACTGGAAGTGATATTAACGCTCCGAGCATTTCCAAACATCCAGCAATAATTAAAGGAAGTTTAAATGTGCCAGTTGCGTCTCTTAGAAAACCTAGATATAAAAGAGAATTAGAGCATTTATATGAAAATAATCGAAAAGCAATGGTTTAGAATGAAAATTATTCTATCTAATCATATTATAGTTTGTTACTAGTTGTCGAAAATGTGGCCTTCCCAAGATGTAATCTTCGACACAATCACAAAAGTAACACAAAATCCCACTCAGCGCAAGGGCTGTTCACATCACACTTCACTATCACACACTCACTCATAACTCCCCACGCCCTCGTCTTAAATTTAATAGCGCCAGTCTCCCACATGGTTATACACGGCAGCAGTGCGAAACGACCATAAATCATATATCATAAGGGATTTATGGTCGTTTCGTACTCCTGCCGTTTCGTACCCAGGCCATCTAGTGGGTCATTCTCGTATCCCAGGTTTTTCGCGTCGATAGATGACGTCATGTTGAGAGTATTTTCAACATCAGATCACCCCTGATGAAGACACTAGACCTGAGTGTCGAAACGTTGGGTCGTGAATGTAATCATTTTCCCCGTTTACACTACACTCGATTTATTGGCACGGCACGGCTAATATGGGTATCCGTGCCCATTTCATTAGTACCCATTTTAGCCGTACCATGCCAATAAATTGAGTCTAGTGTAAACGAGACTTTAGTGTGGTGATTACTTTCATTCTTTTTTAAACCAGAGTAGCGATAATTGCGATGGATTATATACCTGTTTGCCGTGAACTGTAGTTAACTAGTTATTATGAAATTGTTTTTTAATACGCTGAATTTCAAATATTCAAATATAACCCACTGGATGATTTTTACAGAAATGAAATGCAGCTACTTACCCGCAAAGGGTGGTCCAAGAGACAGGAAAAAGCCTTGGAAAAAAACAAGAAATCCAAAGCCTTGAGCTATATTTGCCGCTCCAACACAATCCAATACAGAGAGACAAAGTGTAGAATTGTAAATACCAATAAACATCCCAGAGAAGCCTGAGTATATTAATAATGTACTGTAAGTTGTGCATAGGTAACTGAAAAGTGTATTGATACCATGAAAAAAGAGGCAGGATATGGTCAAAATAACACGGTATCTTATCATGTCTCCAACCTTTCCAGCTATAAGTCCGCTGGTGACGCCGAAAATTCCAATCGCTACGTAAAACCATTTTGATTGGTTTTCATGAATACCGTAAATTTTAGCACGATCTGCCTGAAAGAGAATTTAGGGTTGTAAGTTTATATCAAGTAATACCACAACAGATAAACTGGTATTCTATTCAGTTAACTTCCTTAGTTTGTCAGGAGAACAAAGAATGGGAATATGACGATTTTCTACTTTCCTAACAAAACAACCGTCTTACCGCCCCAGGTCGTTCTCAACTAGGTAGTATTTTTCGCGCGAACTGATAAAAAGTACACAATGCCAGTTTTTGGAAACTGGAGGCAGGTGCGGTTTGGGAGGCAGATCCTGGCCCTCACGTTAGGACAGGCTGACAGCCCCTTTTCTTTAGAAACATGCACAAGTTTGCAACCTAAATTTGCAACCAAAGTGGCAGGATAGATTTGAATATGTATTATATCTCACAAATCAGAACTGATCTGGGAATCATAGAGCCAGCCATGGAAACTTTCATGCAACTGGCCCCTGGATACTGAGATACTTACATACCAAAAAGAAATTTGCAACAGGCCATCCCAACATTGATACTGCTGAACCAAACATAAAGACAAAGTACCGTGGTTGTTTGCATAAGTACCAGTTGCAAAACGGTGTTCGATTCCTGTTGGAGTTACCTTCATTCTCTTCGCTCCAACCATAGGTTAAACATAACAAACAAATAACGACTCCAAGGGATGCGAGTATTCGAAACATAACCTTCCAGTGAAATTGCTCCAATAAAAATGTTATTAATAAGGAGAAGCTTAAAATTCCTGTGTATACACCAGCTGAAACAAAAGAGCATGCAATTCCCTGGTATTTTGAAGAGATGCATTTAACAGGTGATATTTTAGCTGATGAATAAAGTAAAGAACTTGCCAAAGCTACAATTAGAGCAAATGTGGGAAATAAACCATAGATTGAATCAACATAAGAAGCTGAGAATAATCCAACAGAATATAGAAATCCTCCTGCAAATGAAACTTTACACATTCCAAACATGTCAATGAGTGATCCCACCAATGGACCAAACATAAGCATTAATGCAAACTGACTTGACCCAACCAGTGCTGGAAAACACAAAAAAAAATTGATAAAGAGCAAAAATTGATAACCCTATGAACTATCACTATAAATATTTTGTGCGTATTGATCAATTTTAATGTTGTGATGAACTGATGATTTAAGAACATGTCAAAGTTGTTTACAGGGGCATGTCCGAGCAGTAGCGTAGCCAGCCTGATAATTTGTCCCGCTATGCTAATATTTTGGTGTTTATTAACTGCGAAAACAATGAATTTCTAAAGATATGAATAATTATAATAACTCGAAATTTGCATAGCGGGACAAAATCGTCAGGCTGGCTATGCCACTGTGTCCGAGGGCCCAAGCAGTCTAGGTCTGCCAGCCTACAATCCTGGCCAAAACCATTGACTACACTCAAAATGATTTGTAGTTTTTTATGCAAAACATCAACATTTCTGTCTCAATTTCCCCCCTTGCCCCCCTAATCAATGTTGAGTCCATGCTAAATACTTGAATGAGTTCTGACACATCACCCAACATTGATTTGTGGGGGAAAGGGGGAGAATTTTGAAATATATTCCGTGACTACCGACTGTAGTGGCAATTAACACTGAGTATCGTCAATGTTTTGACCAGGATTGTAGGTCAACCCGTCTAGGAGCAAATCTATATCATAGCAACTAAAAGATAGCCGGATCAACTTTTCGCACTTTGCCAACCCAGGGCACACAATTCTCTAAACCGGGGTCGGCAAGGTGTGAAGAGGTGAAAAGTTTACTCATTTCTTCATGTAAAGCCAGGCTGGCTCAACCCAGACTGATGTAAAGTGTGGTAGTCTGTTGCTCGAAATATTATCCGAGCCAGCCCGGATTGAGAATTGCTGACCTAAGTTGGCAAATCAACCCAGGCTTGTGTAAAGCTGGTTATGGTTATATTGATCATTTGACCTTGGTACTTTGTACTTGAAAACTTGTGTCTTATAAAAAACATATGTCCAGTTTTCAATGATCATATTTCATGAATTTTTGGTTTATTGATAGAAATTAGTGCATTTGCTGGCCTAAATGACCAGAACATAACACACACAACAACTAATGTCGCTGGGATAACGTCAATACTTCGTCTACATTCTACCATAAAATACTGACTATGCATGGAATTTGATACCTGTTAACGTCCTTCCAGCATGGAATTCATCCAAGAATGTCGGCAGCATTAGGGCAAAGTTCCCTACTATTCCAAATAAAAATGAGAGAGTGAAAAAGGAACATACGCAAATTATAATTCCCTTGTATCTAGTTGTGGGTGCTTCTGTGTCATCCATCTTAATATTATTAAACATGCCCGGCATTGGCGGCAGTGCAGGGTCAACTGTCAAGGTACAAGTCTGGTGTCGGCACAGTTATCGAATTTCGATATCAAATTTGTGTAATAAATTAATTTGCGTTGCAATATTAAAATAGTTCATTTTCAACAATGTTTTAAGGTAGGTTCCTACAGTTTATAGAAATTGTCAAATACATTACGGGAACCATTCTGAGTATTCCGGATATAAAAATATTTTACCGAGGTATCAAAAACGGCCCGAGACCGCAGGCCTAGGGACGTATCTGAGACCTAGAAATATATGTATATTGCATGTATTTTCTATATTGCATACAGTTGCAAAACGGTGTTCTCTTCCTGTTGGAGATATCTCCATTCTCTTCGATTTGATAAGTTTCTAGCACTGGTTGGGTCAAGTCAGTTTGCTTTAATGCTTATGTTTGGTCCATTGGTAGGATCATTCATTGACAGCACCTTTATTAATACGTAGATTCAATCTATGGTTTATTTCCGACATTTGCTCTAATTATAGCTTTGGCAAGTTCTTCCCTTGATGCATGTGCCAAAATATCACCTTTTTTAAGCACCTCTTCAAAATATTAAGGAATTACATCATTTACATGCTCTTTTGTTTCAGCTGGCGTATACACAGGAATTAGCCTTTCTCATGATGACGTTTTGCGGTACTTTCAATTTTCTGAAATGGGTTTAAAAATTATGTTTAAACATGAAAAGCAATATTTTTAGAATCAACAGACCATTTCAAGAATAAATTCTGCTTAAAATTCAAGACAGTCGCCGTTACCAAGTCTTACGCTCACGGTTTTTGAAAAAAGCACCCCAAAAATGACGGCATATTCGTCATCGGAAGAAAGGTTAATTTTAAGCTTCTCGTTATTAATAACATTTTTATTGGGACAATTTCACTGGAAGGGCATGGAAGAAATTGATAACTATCACTATTAACCAGGGGAGGATCCAGACGATTGCGATTGCATTAGTAAAAAATTTCACAAACACAAATTAAATACGAAATTAAGACTAGTCTAAGTTTAGACACGATAAAAATATAATATAAATATGTACCTGACCGGGTACTCGTGCATGGTCGAGTATACCATACTCCGATATACGGTATATTCGACCATGGTCGAGTTACATTTCGGTACCTACTTTAGTCATACCATTCGACCATGGTCGATTATACCATGCAATTCTGCTATATTAACTCGACCATTGTCGAGTGTTAGCCGCCAAGAAGAACAAATATATTCGATTTGGATAAAACAGATTGGCAGTTGCTTTACTTGCTTATTGGCACACAACTGACACAAGTGTTACGGCAAGACTTTCCTTTCTATCGCAAAATTCTACTTACAAACCGCAACACGTGCTTTTTTTAATAGTATTATTTTTCAACGGCCAAAAATTTCCCGTGAGAAATTTTGAGACAAAGAAATCGAACAACAACTACAACAATGTCTGACTCAGTCTGGCTTCATTTTTCAGTAACTGGCACCCAGCCCGTGTTCGTTAATCAATTGGTGTTAATCACGGCTCACTGGCCTTGACCAGTGTAAGTATTTTTGCCCCAAAATCCCTTGTACGCTCACCATTGATCAGCTTAGCCACTGATACGCGATTAATCACCGATTAAATAAAACACGCGCCGGGGACGAGGGTGCCTGCAGTGTTCATGGCTCTATGGTTCATGGTACGAGGCTCAGTTTTGCCCAGCGGAAAGTCGTCGCGTCTTAATGTCGAGATATTTTTCCGGACTTATGGTAATCACAGATTATAATAACCATCAATGTTGAAAATTGAAACAATGGACGAAGAAGTCAAAATCAAAATGCATAAACAAATGGCGATTGAGCGAAAATCTTCAAAAATGGAAGGAGCTGACAGAGAATATATTGAAGCACCTATAGGCTAGTACTTGATCGACGATTGTGTTTTATTCTTTGCCTAAATTTGGTTTGTTATTAGCACAGATTTATATGTATATGAAATGTTATTTTATTTTTTTATCCCTACAGCTGGCTGATGCGGTGACTGCAAATATATTAATCCGTTTTTATGTTATTCCTTAGTCATTTTTTTTAAAAGGATTCGTTGCATGCGGCTGGGAACGCAAGTCATTTCATAATGAATAAAGCCTTAACTAAAGATGTATATTTTTTATTATTATTATTATTATGAAATGACATTGCTATTGAAAAGTATTCTTTTTAATCTGCCTTATTTAAATATAACTGAAGGACCTCTCAAGACATTTACTTTAGATATAGCTTCTGTTATAAGGCAGTGCATATAAAAAGGTTATCCAGTTTGCATTTCATGTGTAGTTCATTCCGAATGTTTGCCAATGAAAAATCAATTAAATGGATGCTATGTAAAATGGTTGTTTAGCCTAAGAAATCACATAGTGAACCTGAATATTGCTTTCTGTTCTTTTTGGTCTAAATGTCTATGCTACTGCAACCCATAATTACATTAACAGCAACAAGCATTCCAATTTCACACCAATATTGTCAGTATACTGCCAACACAGAATGCACCCTGCCTGGATGGTTGTTGAATAGTATTCTTTTGAGGAATAAGATAATTGATATATGTGTTCACCAGATTTCTGATCCCAATTGTCAGCTTCCCAAACACTCTGTTAACACTACTATTTTTAATGCAATTGTAATGATGATATAAATTACATTCCATTAAATGCGTTATCTATCTTCAGCTTGAGCCAGGTCAAAGACTGCAAACATTGAGTGTACCAGAAAAGTTACAACATGATTGCTATTATGTCATCTTGAATGTGATCTTGAACAAAACCTCATCTTGAACAAAATATATAATACTTTAAAAGAATTAACTTCTGAAGAGTTTTAAGGGTCTCAATTTTGAGTGGAAATCATAATAATGTACATTACTAAAATTTATGCCAGCCAGTGAGTAATGTATGTTCAATGTATCAACTATCAGTCCTTCTGCAGGAATCGGACCTATGTCAATGCGATGCCAGTGCAATGCTCTTGCTACTGAGCTACAGAGCTGGTCGCCGACAAAAGCGAGTGTGGTCTGTGTGTATTTATGATTATAATTCCTGAGAATAGTTGAGAAAAATTCATGAACTATAGGTACATCTGGAAGAAATTGTATCCACACTATTATCCTCTAAATATTTTAGAATGCAATGAAGTTAGATCTCTAAGCACATTAATTTATATGAATTTATATTTTGTACTCCAGTTGTTTATGCCTGTTTACTTATCTCGCCAGCCTTGATAAAACACTATACATCATGTATTGTAGCTTGTGAAATACATTTGCTTGTTTTGTTTTATTTCCTTTTTTGGACATATACAGTAGGTGAAAACCTGAGATTCAATGCAATGCCAAATAAGATATGTTTTAAATATACTCCTCTATTTATACTGTCAGAATTTGAGAAACAATGCTCTTAGATTCAGTTTTCACAACAGTGAATTTGGCTTACATGTTTGATTCAGTTATAGGACCCCATAATTATATTACTACGAACTGATTTGTACCTTGTTTTGGGCTAGCCATCCTCCATACGATAAGTACAGCCATATGGTATAACTTGCCTGTACGAATCGCAGCCTACATTCTTCGAGGTTCTTTATAAGCCGACACGAATGAGATGTTATTGTTTTCTTCTTGAAACTATGAGCAGACTGTATAGAGAGCTACCAAAGTCATCTGAACACGATGTCGGGCTTATTTTGCACGTGCATCACGATTTAGGCGTGCCTTTCTGTCCCAGCACTTGCATGAATATAATTATATTCTGCAATTTTGCTAGTCATATGAGTACGTCACAGCGAATTCAGAAGACCGTACATGTAGGTGGTTGGTAGCATCATTTGAAATAATTATTTGAATTCACCAGTATAGGTAATTTCTTTGTGCAAGTCCAAGTAGTGGTGCACCCATAGCTTAATGGTTAAGTGCGCACGCTGTAATGCATGACATGCCATGTCGAATCACTCCTTGACCTTGCTTTTCCATTTTACACTTTTCAAACCTTTTTTTTTCGTTTCAATTTTTTTTGAAATTATATCAACTCAACCCCAACACAATACCATTTGTTTGGTTACAGGGTTTTTTTAGTCAGCCGTAGGTATCTGTCTCGTCGTTCCCAGACTGCTAACGAGTTCAATGATGCTACCGACCGTTTACAAAATAACCAAGCAATTCATTGTTCAGTCATCACCTGCAATAGCCATCGCCGACGGTCGGCGACCTATCGAAGTCGGTCTAAAGCCTGGCTCACACCAGTGAACTTAAGCCTGGTTCCCATATGTCGCAGACAGTCGGCGACGTATTGTTTGTGGACGGTGACGGAGAAAATTTATTCAAAATAACAAAGCACTTAATTTATCAGTGATCACCGACAATGGCCATCGCAGACCGTCAAGTGACACATGAGAATCAGGCTTTAGCGCGTACACATGTCATTCCTAGTCATTCCCGGCAGGACCAAATTGAGATATTGACATTTATGTTGAGACGAGTGACATGTGTGCGTGCTAACTAAGTTCACCAGTGTGGGCCAGGCTCAAACATGCGACACGAGCATCAACGTTAGCAAAAACATAATAAACACAAGACTTCTAGCATGCGTAAGCTAAGACAAAAGAAATTTCAAAAAATATTATAATCGCATATATTTAAGTCGGGTTCTTTGATCTGTTATGTTTACTTTAACAGATAAACTTGGTCCAGCCGGACGAT